TTTTTGACTTTGTTAAGTCTAAGAAATATCCATATTCTTGCCCCTCTCATTTAAGTACGGGGTGTACTGAGAAAACCGTCACAACACATGCAGCGAACCATACATGCTCACATTAACAAAAAACACTCGCATACACACACACACGTACGGAGAGTAACAAACACACACATGTACAGACACTTTGGAAAACATCTGACATCAGAATTCATAAAAGCATTTCTCCTGCTCCCTCTCAGCCACAGTTTTCTGTGAATAGTATAAAGTCATATTTTCCCCCTTAGTGCTGGAGCCTGATATAATTGAGGTGGACTGGGAAAACTTACAGCCTTTAACGGAAAATAAGAGCCATAAAAATAATACTAACAGTTCTAGTTCCAGTCATCACCAACTCTTAGTGTGTGCAGTGGGATTTTGTGATACAGACATTGGATGGATACTTTAGCCTGCTTTTATAATGAAGAATAAATCTTCATTATAAATCTCTGTGCGTAGGTTTGGCCAATCTTGCAGCTGTCACTTTCCTGGCCTCCACACAAACTAGTCTCCTTGAGTTGTACTCAGTCATGGTACTAGTACTGGACAGTAACGGTGGATTTAAGTTTCCATTTCCTCTTCTGTACAAATGAATCCTCGGTGTATTCATTTTGAAATAGGTTTCATTTAGTTTTTGCTCTATTTTATGGTCTGGTCGTAAAGCCATGTTTTAGGCTAGCTTAGCTTTCACTTTATGAGATGTGGCTCTGAAAGTTAGATTAAAAAAAGAACCTTGGCGTTGTAGGCAACGTTATTAGCATTTTAAAACTAACGAATAAATCCGCATTGTTAAGAGAGAGGAAGAGTGTGCACATAATGAAAGCAAGGGATGAGGAAACCGTAGCGTTGCAGAGGAGGTGTATTCCTCCACCGTCAACACAAAGAGTGGGAGGTGAGAACAAAAAACAAAGAAAGAGATAAGAGACAATTGTTGGAAGGATAACATCTTAACATCAGTAGCATTAAATGCGTAAAAAGTGAAAAGATGGCAGATCAGTTATACTTTTTAGTAAGCAGTTTTTGTGGTTTTATGTTTTGGCAAGAATAAGAATGACATTAAATAACACACCCTAAAGCAAACAGTGATATCTTTTATTTGACTTAAAGGTACTGAATCCTAACTAACATGAATAAACTAACAATGAGAGTAATTAGGATTTGTGATAATAGTTGAATATGTGCTTGTGAACTATTATTTTGTGTGCACAATGTGTTTGTGGTCTCTGCCTGTGGGCTGTTTTAACATTAGTAAGAATGTGTTGCAAGATTCAGCAACTTATGCAGACATGTCCTTGGTTAGCAACAAAAAACAGAAACAAGGTGACATGGAAGGAGAAGGGGGGATGAGAACAGTGTGCAGTGCAGTTTGTGTGTGTGTGTGTGTGTGTGTGTGTGTGTGTGTGTGTGTGTGTGTGTGTGTGTGTGTGTGTTCGTGCGCGTGCATGCGTGCGTGTGTGTGCATGTTGTGATGTATCAGTTTTAAGTGACTCACAGACTGACAGACAGAAAATTGATGGGAATCATTGAAACCTCTTGCAATCTTACTATTTTCCGAACACGTCTTCGTTCTAAGGAATATGCCTAAAATAACAATCTTGAACCACTAACCACCCATGATGCTTTTTTTTTTTTTTTTTTTCTCTCCCCTGTGCCGGAAATTTATTGTGCGTTGTTGTGTGCTCCTCCTAAAACCCCTTTGTGTCTCGTTTCTCTGCACTGTTTTACTCAAGATTTTTATTTTTTGGGGTTTTAGTGACTTTTCACTTGTTGAAAGCGTTTCTACTGGGCAAACCATAATATTGTCTGACTGTAGCAACAATCCTGTTTTCCCGTGGATACGTTTAAACAGTGGTATTCAAAAATGACACTCATGCCTGTTATCACGTCTACTTACAATGACTCAAACTGTACACATACCAGGTCAAAGGGATGCTTTTAAACTTTGTCCTCCAAAGCCTTAGATGGTGAGTTTATAATGGGGTTCTACATACAGTGTTTTTGTATATGTTTATAGTATTATTGTACATCTGTATGTGATGTAGGGCTGCAAATGGTCTCTGAAATGTCAGAAAGAGGCCAAAAATATCTATCACAAGTTCCCAGAGCCTGAGGTGATGTATTCATATGTCATGTTTTGCCCAACCCACAAGACCCAAAAGATATTCAGTTTACACTAATATAAAATACAGAAAAGAAGCAAATCCTCACGTTTTGGAAGCAGAAATCAGAAAGTGTTTTGGCATCTTTGCTTGAAATAGGCTTAAATCATCAATCCATTATCAACATAGTTGCTGGTGTCTTTTTGTCTATTGACTAATGGATTATTCAACTTGTCGTTACAACTCTAGTATAATGTAAATTAAAACATGGTGTGTGTGTCTGTGTGCAGAAGACAAAGCAAACGTGTGCCCCTCCACTTCCTCACTGTTCTGTGTCAGCGGTTGCCCTAACACATGCCATCCTGGTTGCCTCAAGCAGAACTCTTATGAAAATGCTTGGGCTTGAAAAATAACAGTAAATATCTGTTGTAGAGTCCGTTATTTCATCACCAGCAGTCAGTGATGTTTAGCATGTCTTGGTTTCAAAGGACAAGGCTTCTGCACCTCACCTTCCCTATAATGTGATTTATTTCTCATATTGCACCTACCTGAATGTTTGTTCTTGGGTGTAATATGACTCATAATGCCAATATGATTTTGGTTCTTAGATCGTTGTTCAAAAAAAAATACTGATATGTCTGAGGTGTTTTGATTGCATGTGCTGGTTTCCTTCCTGCCCAACCAGTTCAACTAATGTGCATGGTCTGAACCATGAAGGTTATTTATTCTACATCATCAACAGCCCCACCACGACCCTAGATGCACTACTACCTATCTACCTGTTGGCCGCCTTCTGAACAGGGAGAGGTCGACGAGCAGATCGTGTTTATCGGAAAGTGTTCGGAAAATGGGCCGTTGGGTTTTGGAGAGAGGGGGCGCGTAGGCGACCTTGGGGGGGAGGGGTATCTCTGAATCTGTCTTCGTCAGCGTGCACTTTCTTCTGATACAACAGGAAGGAGTGTGAGTGACAGAATGAGCGAAAGAGGTAGACATCCCCAAGGATGAACGCTTAACCCCGACTTCTGACAACGAGATCAGACCTTCAAGTTACACATCTAAGGGTAGAAGGAAATAGGAAAAAAAAAGTGGTTTTCAAAGACAGAGAGAAGGAAAGCGAGGGGAGAAGGCTGTCTGTGTATAGAGTCAGTGTGAAGAGCGAAAAGATGGATGCCATGAGACACACAGTGCCTCGCCTTCAGTTGACTGTGCCCATGCCTATAAAGACGGAGAAGGTAGGGTTAACATTTGATTTAACCTCTCGGTGCTTTAACTCGTCCTTGGATGAGAAAGGGTTTGATATCGATCGATCGTGGGATGGGACGGATCAAAAAGTTTGAGCTGCGTAAAAGTGTTGGCAAGTTCTTGAAGTGTTTATCTAATTGGTTTTACTTCTACTTTTTTGTTGTTGTTGCTGTATGGGTGGAGTACATTTGTATGTTTCTTAAATATTCTGGCATTAAGATAATCACATAACAGGTTAAGTCTAACAATAGTGGGTGGGGGGAGCCACAGATTGGCACGCAATGTGTGCATGTTTATTGTATGTGTGTGTGTGTGTGTGTGCGCTCCTGTGCATGTGTATTTAATAAGGTGTGTTTTGGAGCAGGTTAGTCAGGTGCATGTGCCGTCGTTGTGCAGAGCCCTCTGGGCACTGTGTGAACACTATTATTGGATGGCCAGGGGGCTGCCAGTTGCTATGGGAGGGACATGAAGGGCAGGGAGGGGGAATCTGGAGGGTGAGTTGTTTGTGGAAAATCTGGTCTGCTCAGGTGTGTGTGAGAGATATTGTTGAGCAGGGATATTGTGGACAGGGTGAGGTGCGAGCTTAGGGATCCTAAGAAGGGTGTTGTTGGGTCTTATTACCCGCGGGCCTCGTCACATCTCACAAAGAGAAATAAAGAAAGTTACACTCCTTATTTGACTTGCATTAGGGCATTTTACCTTCAACCCACTGCTCATATTTCTGTGTCCATTAACTTTACTGAACAAATAATGAGCTAAAATAAATGAAAAAACTATTGCCTGTACTGTATGTACTGTACATCCAGTTTTTTTTTCTAAACCTTTGTAAGTGACGTAGGTTTATTCCAGTCCTCATAAATGTTGCAATTCTTCTCTTGCTGTTTTTTTTCCTTCCTCATTCTTTCACTGGTACCCCCCCCTTTCACCCACTCTAGCCTGTCACTTCCTCCATCTCCTTCGCTTGCTTGTCTTTCTTCTCTTCCTCTTCCATTCGTCCCTCTCTTTCTTCTCCAGTTATTTTAATCAAACAGCTAATGCTATAAAGGTTTCACACAGGAATTAACCTACTGCCCTTCGGTTACAACGCCTACGGTACATTGTATAATCCTGTCTCCTTTCCGCGTCATCGCTATCGATCATTTTGTTTTCCCCTGCTCCGATTATTATTTCATCTTCTTCTTGCTTCTGTATTTTACCTCTCTTGCTGGCTCTGTCCCCTCCTTTGCAGTCTTCCTATGATGCCCCAACCCCCCATCTCACTGGCCAAAATCGCCGCCTCCTGATTTAGTAATCTGGAGAGAAAGTACGAGGGGGATGAGGAAGGGAGGATAAGGGGAGAGAGTTGTTGCTAAGCCCGGTTTAAATTGTCCCTCACGTGAAAAGAGAACTCTGTGTCAGTCACGCTACTGAAGATTTACTTTTAGTATATTTAAGTTTGGCTCAGCTGAAGAGTAATCACTCATTCTTCGAAACAAAGATATAATAATGATATTGAAAATATTTCTTTAAAAAACAAAACTGATTTCATCCAGATCAGATAGATTTTGACTTGATTCAGGTACCAAACTGTAATTTGATCAAACAGACCTCAGACCACTTACCTGATCATCTCTCTCTTTTGTGCAGGTGGCAATGTCTCCTGGAGAGGACGGTCTGATTGGGATCCCCTTCCCGGAGCACAGCAATGAGCTCTTGTCCCACCTCAATGACCAGAGGAGGACAGGGCTCCTGTGTGACCTCACCCTGACCTCCCGCGGGGCTCGCTACCCTACTCACCGCTCCGTCATGGCCGCTGTCAGTTTATACTTCCGCCGGCTGTTTGGAGCAGAGGAGGGGGGCGGCGAGGGCGGAGGAGGTTTCAGTGTTTGCCAGCTGGACTTTGTGGCACCTGACGCCCTGGATGCCCTGCTGGAGTTCGCTTACACTGCCACCCTGACCATCCCGAGCTCAGGGATGAGAGATGTGCTGCGAGGGGCTCAGTTTCTGGGTATCCAGTGTGTGGCTGACGCCTGCAGAGACATCCTGGGGGAGACGGCCGAGCCAGAGGGGGAGACGGCTGAGCAGCAGAGAGCCCAACATACAGCTACCAAGAGAATGGTGGAGAGAGAGAGTGGTGTAGAGAAAGGGTCCCGAAGAAAAACAGACAAAAGGAGGGTCAAAAAAGTTGGGTTGCATCACATCAACTCCTCAGTTTTGAACCAATCGCCTGCTTCTCCCATCTCGCATCATTCACCTGCATCCGACAGCCTCCGCTCCCTGCCGTCTACCCAGCCGCCCAGCCCTGAACAGGAGCAGCTATGCCTGAAATCTGGGCAGAATGGAGATCCCAGGTCGATCAGAGAGCCAGTGAGAGATGCCACACTAAACGGAGGGCTCCTTCATTGGCTGCATGAGGGCCCGCGTATAGCCCACCCACCTCCTCCTGTCCAACCTTTGAATGACAAGCTGTCAGAGGATGATGACATGGAGGGTTTTGTTGATGATGGTATGCTGATGGGAAACACCTCCATAACTACCTCTGTAGCTGAGCGAGGAGCGGTGACACCAGCAGTGGGAGGGGGAAGGAAGAGGAAGTCTCAGACGCCCCAGCAGTGCCCTGTGTGTCAGAAGATCATCCATGGAGCAGGGAAGCTGCCCCGACACATGAGGACACACACTGGAGAAAAACCTTTCCAGTGCTCTGCCTGTGGAGTCCGTTTCACCCGGTAAAGAATATTATACACAAAAGAAAAGTATTTTGATGTATGGTGACCTGACTGAATCTTTAAATCATGTTTTGCTCCTATTGTTCTTCCCCTCTTCATCCTTCATCTTCCCTTCTGACTCTTTTCAGGAATGATAAGTTAAAGATCCACATGAGGAAACACACAGGCGAACGCCCCTACCCGTGCCCCCACTGCCCCGCCAGGTTTCTCCACTCATACGACCTCAAGAACCACCTGTCCCTCCACAGTGGGGCTCGACCATTCGAGTGCCCACTCTGCCACAAGGCCTTTGCCCGAGAGGACCACCTCCAGCGTCACCGCAAGGGACACAGCTGCCTGGAGCTGCGCACTCGCCGGCCCAGGCGTGGTCCTGAGCTGGTGGAGGATGGGAGAGGGGATGTAGGCAGGAGGGAGCAGTCCAACCCTCTGGAGGCTTTGTCCTCACAGGCTCATTCCTCGGCGTTTCTCCCTCACACGATGCTGGATGGTGGGAGTGGGTCCGTCGCCGGCCCTCCGCTGATGTTTCCAGGTGAAGTCGAGAGGGGGCGCTCTTTCGCCCTTCAGGCTCTGGCCCAACTCGGGCATCACAGGCTAGCCAGCTACCCAGAGCTTTTCCTGCGAGGGCTGGAGCTGCGAGGGGGCAGAGAGGCGGAGGGAGAAGATCCAGGAGGAACCCACTCTCCGGCTGCGCTGCGTGACCGATGGGCAGACGAAGTGGAGGAGGAAATTGGAGATGAGGAAGCGGATGAAGAGGAATAGTTAAAAGAGAGTGTGAGTGTGTGTGTCAGTGTGTGTGTGTGTGTGTCTGTGTGTGTGTGTGTGTGTGTGTGTGTGTGTGTGGTAAAGCATCCACAGTAAAAAAAAATCTCACTCAGGTGGCTGGACTAATGACCTGCTGCTCCCATGTAGAGAGCGCTTAAAAAAAAAAAAACTAAATGATATTAAAGAAAAAAATGGAAAACGGGTTTTCAGAGATATTTTAAATGTTTGTCTTCTGGCTCTTGGCATTTGATTTAATTTGTCTTTTAACTTTTATTTTCTCGTTTGCTGTTTAATTTTATGTATTTTAGGTTTGAGCTGTTTCTTTATGATTTGATCTGATTTTTCTTGCTGGATATGTGTGTGTTGAGTGTGTGGTTACTGGGATGCTTTTCACTATGCAAACTAAAATCCAGAGCTGCAACATGGAGGGATATTTGAATATGTATATTTTTAGTTACAAAATAATGTATTGATTCAGGTGCAATTCAGAAGTCATATCATATAGATCGCAAGAATGAGTTTGTGGGCTCACTGTCCTCTGGTGGTTATCAGTGGAAATGCAGTCTTATTAATCAAACTTGTTCTGTGCATTGTAAGCAATAATGTTCTTGTATCCTTTTCTTTTTAGTGGTAGAATCTTTGCTTTGATTTGGTGCTTAAACCAAAGATTTTAGTTGAACTTTTTTTCTTAAATCTTAAGTTAACAGGAGTGGAGAGAAGTGAATTGTGGCCAATGTTGGGTTTGAAGAGGAAATCCTTCCCAACGGTTTTGATCGCCATGAGAAAGAATCTGCTTCCATGTTTGAGTGTTTCAGAGCTTTAGAGCTCTGCATTAAATGCCTGACCAAAAGAGACAAAGTATGGATCAATGAGTCGATTAATGTTGAAGACAGTTCTTATTTTCCCAAAGGCTGTGGATTTCAGTCTACCAATGCACTCATTTCGGTTCCTTGTTTGGAAAAAAAAAAGAAAAAAAAGAAAAGGGGTAAGGTGAGGGTATGAATGCGATGGCTTGCCCCTTTTTTCTGTATTTATTTATTTATTGTTATTTATTATGGCTCTTCTGCTGAAACTCCTTTGAGACCAGATCCAGGGTTGGACACAGATCAGGGTCCATTTCTCGTCTAAGTCTTACAAGAAGCTGCATTGCGCTAGAGATTTTGGCAGAACATCTCCATATACCTAAACGCCTTTTTACAGGCTGCTTGTCTTCTTTTGGCGATTCTTCCTCAAATGCATTCTTTGCACATTTAACCCCGTCAGGTACTGCAATAACACAGGCACATTCCATCCTCCGGGGTAGAGAGAAGGGAACAGAGCAAAGAAGAAGTCAGGGGGTTTAAAACCTTTGCTGTAACTGGAACACAGAAAGACTTTGCTGTTTGACATTTTCATCATGCTTTTCTGTTGTTAAATCAACATGTATAGTACTGTATCACGTTATTGCATGGCAGTTCTTATAGATCGGCCACCGCTGCGTCTAAAGGGGCCATTATCTTTTTGAGTTTATCTTCGACCAAAAACCTTTTTAGTTTTGTTTTGTTTCTCTGGACCAGTACATTAAGGCCTGTTGCAAGGTATAATGCAATCATTAATGGCTTTAAATGAGAAGCAGTTGTCTTTTTATTTCCAATTCTTTTGAATCCCATGTAGTCAGAACCTGCTGTAGCAGTCATGCTGGTCTGGCCTTGTGTGCACTATCCGCTCCTTGTTGTGTAGTAAATCATTTTTTATTTCCAATTTATTTGCACTATGAGATTTGAGAGCTTCAAGCCTTTTTGTCTGACCTTCTATCTAGTCCATTAACTTACTCAGTACCATTTAAAATTGTGATTGAAATAGACAGTAGGCCTATTTCCTTAAAACCCACATACATTGAATAATCTTCCTCCTGCATATTAGTCCAGTTATTGTCAAATGTAATATATATTGGGAGTTGCCTTTTGGTTTTTTTGTGCTGCAACTATTCTCAGGAAATCTTGAGCAATGCACTAAGTGATTATACAAAATATTAAATGGGAAGAAATTGTTTGGTGCTGCAGGGCGATTGACACTCTTCATGTAAGTGTAAGACCAGTAGCTTAAAAATCAGAGATTTTGTAGATTTTGTATTATATAATTTCCCATTTTAAAAAAATCAAATGATTTAAACCTATTGTGAGGTAAAAAAAAAAAAAAGACAAACAATAGTAATGAAAGTAAACTACTGGCCTTACTGGAACCAGTCCAATTGGAATGGCAGTGTGTCAGCTGGTCCTGTTCATGAAGGGTGTTGGTGCTCCCAGTCAGAGCTTTGTGAATGAATAAGGGTTAACTGATGCCAGCTGTGAAATGTGTGTTTCTATGTGAGCTGTTTGTTTTCTTGGCTTCGGTGAAGGGACATGGGGTCTGGGATGAGTAGAGACCTCGCTATCAGGGATACATTTTTGTCTTTCAGTTTTTAGTGGAACCTTCTCAGAGATATGAATTCATTTTCCCATCATTTGTTTCAGTTAATGTAAAGAAAAGAAATAAAGATATCTAAGCTTGCCGTTTTTGTTTGATGTGTTGTTTTATTTTACAAAGACCACTATTTAATGGCTTTAGTAACCATAGACTGTTCACTGCTGGGTTTTTAGGCAGATACCAATATCCTTATTTAAGTGTGTAAAAAAAAAAATAAAAATCAGATTATGATATATGTGCAATTATACAGTTGTTTAAACATAACTGCATAACACAAACAAGCATTTTTCATCATCTTTAATTAAGATGTGCTGAACAAACAAACTATGACAAGCAGTAGTTTCTGTTTGGCATTCTGTATTAATATATCTTGTTACTCATTGGCCAATGCTGTATATACTCCAATGTATCTGTGATAAGCAAATATCATGAAATGGTGATTTAGTGATTTATCAAACAAACTCTATTAGTAACCAATAAAAATGTGACTTTTTGAATCAGATGTACTTTAAAAAAAAAAAACTTAAATTTACATCAGTGTCAATTACTGTCAGTCCTCCATGAAAATAAAAAGTCTCTTTGAGTCTAGTAAAATACCCCTTCATTTTTTGGACCACTCATTTTCTGATGTAGTTCATTAACATTTCCTTAATATTAAAAATCATAAAATTAACAGTGGCTGAATTTCATTGAGCAATTTCAGTTTCAGGATCCTGGGTTTGTTCATGTTGACTCACTGTGACCGTGTCATGATTTATGATATATATATATATACATATATGTGTGTATATATGTGTATATATATATCTTTATATTTTAACACTAGGACTGCCAGCATTCTAGCACCCATAGGCGCCACAATGGGCTGCCAGACCATCATATATAATTACTTGGTTTGGGCTCTCTGCTCAAGCAGTGGAAAAAATAGATGCTACTGTAAGTGCTACTGTACTTGGCTGGGAAACTGTTCGGTAGTTTTAATATGAATTTATTTATTTATTTGAAGGTTAAAACTGTCAGATAAATGTAGGCCCAGTGAAGTAAAAAGACATCAGGGGGAATAGAGAAGAATTGGTAACTATCCAATTGCAAATTAACGTTTTTCCATGACGTTATATTAGGCATTGAACACAGAAAAAATGAAAACATTTTAATGGGTGGATGGATGCTTTAGGAAACATTTAAGAAATGTAAGTCCAAGAGCATAGGTTTGCTTATGGGCGGACTGTAGGGACATGTCCCTACCAACATTTGAGTGCACTCAATCACACTATGTGCGGAGTTAAGTAAGCTCATTCCATTGTGCCTTCCAAGAGTCTTCGTCTCCAAGACAACCAATTTAGGCATGCTTGACTGATGAACTTTATGCCTTACTATACTATGTCGTTATGATTTTTTATGCCTTACTAAACTATGACGTTTTTCTGCCTTCCTATACTATGACATTTCTATGACTTTTTATGACTTTTTATACTTCACTAAACTATGACTTTTCTGCCTTTTTCTGCCTTACTATTCTGTGACTATTTTATGGCTTTTTATATCTTGCATTACTAGGACTACTATTTCTTTTATTATTTGTGCCTTATTATACTATGACATTTGTATGACTTTTTATGCCTTCCTATACTATGATATTTTTATTGAATTTTAATGCCTTACTATATACTATGACGTTTTGGTTACTTTTTACGCCTTAAAATACTGGGACATTTTTATAACTTTTTCTGCCTTACTATACAATGAAGTTTTTATGACTTTTTATGCCTTACTATACTATGATATTTCATGCCTTATTACTTTTTCTGGCTTATTATACCATGACGTTCTTATGACTTTTTATTCCTTACTATAGTATAACCTTTAATGCCTTACTATACTATGATGTTGTTATGATTTTTAATCCTTACTATCTTATTTAATCCTGTACTATGACGTTTTGGGGCATTTTTATACTATACTATATTATTTCTTACTATACTATAACGTTTCTATTACTTTACATGCCTTAGTATTCTATGATGTTTTTATGCCTTACTATTTAACCAAAGAAACACACCACATAATAGGTTAGTCAATTCAGGTTTATTCATACTCATCTCATTCAACCAGTGTCTCCATAATCAGATGATGTTCTCCTCCACAGCCATTGATTCTGAAACAGAGCAGGTGCAAAATGCTGCCTTTAATAGAAGCAGCAGCTACCTGCACAGGTGTGCTAATGGTAGATGAAACCATGCTTCACTGGGTTAAGGTTTATGTTTCTGTTAATGAGTAATGTGGTTTTAACCTAAAAACTGGCAGTGGAATTGCATATTGTGAGAAAGGGATGATAATTGATGTAATTAGATTTTAGTTGGTCAAGGGGGAGGTGCTTAGCAGTTATAAGCCTCTCCAGTAGTAGTCCAAGCCTCTGAGGGTGGTTGTGAACAAGACAGGTGAATTTTGCAAGTTGTAGATAATATTGTAGATACATTTTCCTCTCTATTTTCACACTTTTTTGACTTACTATACACTGGCTTTTTTATGCCTTAATATACTATGACGTTTTTATCACTTTTTACGCCTTACTACACTATGACTTTTTATGATTTACTATACTATGACTTTTTCTGCCTCACTACTTTGACTGTTTCTGCCTTAATATACTGTGACATTTTTATCAATTTTTACATCTGACTATACTATGACCTTTTATGACTTACTATACTATGACCTTTTAATGCCTTATGACATATTTGTCCCTATATCAAGACTGATGTAACCACGTGTCATCTAAAAGAGGATATATTACTGTATTACATAAGTTTATAACATATATTAAATACTTATAGTAAAATCCAACTTTATTAAAACAATATGCTTAAACTTAAAATTCTATATGTTTGTATATGATTTTCTTAATAATTTCTCATTAAATTTATCAATACATGTCTATATTTTATATTTACATTTATAATGAACATATACTGACAGGTTATGGGATGGATGTATATTTATGAAACATATGTCTATTAATATAAACCTATAACATAAAGAGACATACTAAAATACATGTTTCTATTAGCTAGACATAAATATCAATAAACAAGATTATACAGATTATAAGATATATACAGATTTCATGTGTGATTCTTTTTTACATATATAGCCTATACTGTATACACATATATGATTTTACTTCATATGTACATATCATATATGTAAATTCAACACATGTACATATATTACATTTCCGTAAGGGCATTTCTGAATGTAAATTCAGATCTTATATGTTAATAAACCGTTTGGTTGAGGCATTACAAAATCAATGTATTTGTTTTGGAGGGGTTGTTGCGTCCCTACCAATATCGAGACCAAACCTACGCCCTAGGCCAAATGAAATTTGGCTTGGGGCTCTGATTAAATGTTATTAGTAACACCTGTGGTTTTTCTAAATGTCTACGCTATCAAACCTAGCAAATGATGGTCAGTCAATGGTTATTCAATGCACCTTAATGAGACTGACCCCTTAATGATCTGCTGATGTGTGCACGTGCACATGTGCATACCTGTAGACGCAGTACGGGCAGCTGGGATAGGATGTGACGTACTTACCTAATCCTCTTAGTTTAATTAAGCTAAAGTAGCAGGCCTAACGCTGCAGCACCCTCAGTAGCAGAGGTTTCGGGAAATTGAATCGACCATAGCAGAAGTTGGACGGAGACTGGAGTTAAACGCTTTGGAGAGTAAAACGGTTTGAAAAGAGTTGGAGGTGTTGGTCCTCAGCCACCTCAGCAGGATGCTGTCGCGGCGGATGCTGTGGGGCGCTGTGGCGCGTCAGATCGCTCCGCGTCTGACTTACAGCACTGCAGCACAGCCACAGGTAGGCCTACACTCACACAGCAATACACTGCGATGTGAAACTCAGTGAAACCTGCTCTACAGGCCCACTGTAATGTACTCAGAGCTACTCACATGCGAGACTTGTACGCAGCAAGAAACAGTTATAAGTCAAATAAGAAGTAAATTTTCCAAAGAGACGAAGATATCTAATGTGATGATACTTTGAAATGAACTTATTTGTTTTTTGTTCTATATGATTATGATATATGATTTAGAGGTGGGTTTGTGATTCTGGAAGTAGATGTTCCATAAATATACTAATAACACATTTCAGTTATGTAAACTATATTGTCAAGTGTTTTCGACATGCTGTATGAGTCCCTCTCACTATGCAATAAATTTAAGGTTATTTTTCACAGTCTTATTTTTGGTTTTGGGTTCTGTTAGGTGCCCAATGTAGTTTTTAAGTTTTAAAATTTCTTTAACATAATGGCAATTTTAGTCACTGACATGATGACATAAGAAAAGGCAGCTCAAATTCAGCATCATTGATCTTGTAAACCTCCGTCCTGACACACGGCTGCTGTGTAAATCACACTTTTCTCATATCTTCCTCTCTGTGACCAGGTGAAGACAAAAAAGACCAAGTTTGGCCCTCTTAGCGACCAAGATCGGATATTCACCAACTTATATGGTCGACATGACTGGAGGTAAAATATTTAATGCAAAACTGTTCTTGCTGGTCTCTAATGACCTGAAACTCTGTAGAAATAATTGTTCATTTAATCATCTGTGTCTCCCTCTTCCTGCCAGACTCAAGGGAGCACTAAAAAGAGGAGACTGGTATAAGACCAAACAGATCATACTGAAGGGATCAGACTGGATATTGAATGAGGTTAAAATCTCAGGGCTTCGGGGCAGAGGTGGAGCAGGCTTCCCCACTGGAATGAAATGGAGCTTCATGAACAAACCCAGTGATGGCAGGTAGGAGCAAGAAGGAAAAGAAAGTCAATATTTGATTAGTCAGGGAGACTTTGGGCCCACATCACCCTCCACACCATTAATGACACTCTGTTAATGTATCTGTGCACTGTGTGTTTCCTTCTTCCTCGTGTCCTAGGCCTAAGTATCTGGTGGTGAATGCTGATGAAGGGGAGCCAGGGACGTGTAAAGACCGTGAGATAATGCGTCACGACCCCCATAAGCTGTTAGAGGGCTGCCTGGTGGCTGGAAGAGCAATGGGTGCCCGTGCTGCATATATCTACATCAGAGGAGAGTTTTACAATGAGTCATCAAATCTACAGGTATACAACTACACAGAGGGACGGCTTGCAGTTTGTGTTTCGCTGCGTGTTGTTTGTGATGATGTCTTTCCCTCAAACAGGTGGCTATTAATGAGGCGTACAAAGCAGGGCTGATAGGGAAGAACGCCTGTGGCTCTGGGTATGACTTTGACGTGTTTGTGATGCGGGGAGCTGGAGCCTACATCTGTGGGGAGGAGACAGCCCTCATCGAGTCTCTTGAGGGCAAACAAGGGAAACCCCGACTCAAGCCACCATTCCCTGCAGACATAGGTGAGGTAGAAGCTCCACAGTCTCCTACATCTGGTTTCCTACAGGGGTTAATTGTGGGTTAAGAAACAACAAAATGGTTATAATGTAATTACAGTCCTTAGGTGGTTATTCACTGCCTCTGCATCTCTCTCCCTTAAGGGGTGTTTGGATGCCCGACGACAGTTTCCAACGTGGAGACGGTTGCTGTGGCGCCTGCGATCTGTCGTCGAGGCGGAGCCTGGTTTGCAAGCTTTGGGAGGGAGAGGAACTCTGGGACCAAGCTGTTCAATATCTCCGGTCACGTGAACACACCATGCACAGTGGAGGAAGAGATGTCTATTCCTCTGAGGGAGCTAATAGAGAGACACGCAGGTGTGTGTTTACAGTCCTCTCTGTGTTGATGTTGGTTTACTTTATGAGATGTTGATATGACTTCCTCCCTCCTCTTACGTGATTGGTGCAGGAGGAGTGAGGGGTGGCTGGGACAATCTATTAGGAGTTATCCCAGGGGGATCCTCCACTCCCATCATCCCTCAGCATGTGTGTGATGACGTTTTGATGGATTTTGATGACCTGGTCCGTGCAGAGACTGCTCTGGGAACTGCGGCCATTATAGTTATGGATAAATCGGTAAACAAACTCCTGAGTAATCACACAATGCACTGCACCTTCAGTTCCAATCAGTCTTCACTGACAGTCTGTTAAATGTCTTTTTCCTTCAGACCGATGTGATTCGAGCCATTGCACGTTTGGTTGAGTTCTACAAACATGAGAGCTGTGGCCAGTGCACCCCCTGCAGAGAGGGTAAGGAACTGCAGGATGTGTGCACATGTTACACTGCCACTCACCATGCAGTTAGTTTGTTTTAAGGTGTATCTCCTCACCCTTTTTCTTGTCTTCGTAACTAACAAACAATCTCCAAATTTTTATGGACGTTCTCTCTGTGCATCCTTTTCCTCAGGTGTGGATTGGATGGATAAAATGATGTGGAGGTTTGTGCGAGGAGAGGCAGCAGTTTCAGAGATCGACATGATCTGGGAGCTGAGCAAGCAGATCGAGGGACACACTATCTGTGCCCTCGGGGACGGAGCCGCTTGGCCTGTGCAGGTTATGTTTCTTGAACTGTTTTATAAACCATTTTAATAAATGGACTTCAACATGAAACAGTGCTTAAGGCTACAAATTCAAACAAGAACTAATTTGAATTTTAACGGGCAATTCTGTTCTTTTTCTTCAATCTTTAATCTACAGGGCCTAATCCGTCATTTCCGGACAGTGATGGAGAGCCGCATTGGTCAGTATAACAAGAAAAACCCTCCAAGAGAGCCAGAGATAGAGATGATCTGAAAGTGTGCAGATGTCCATTTCAGCAGTATTATTATATAGCTCATCTTGTTATACCACATTGTTCTACCACTTTTGAACATAGTTTTCAAAATGAGAATATTTTTCTTGTTAAGATTTTACAGTGCAGGTGCAGACTGCAGAATTTTTCTTCCAAGTTTCAAGTTATCATCTTTGAATAAGTAGTCTATTTTTTAAATAGATTCTGCTGTAAAATGGTCATTTAATCTAGTTTATTTTGCCAGGCAGAACTGTTGACAGCTAATTGGCAGATGTGACTGACTTGGTTTGTGATGATCCCTTTGCACAATCTCTTTATCTGGACAGACTTTCATAAGGAAAATATACAATGCATTGAAATACAAGCTCAAACATGGCAATAAATTAAGTTTATTTATTTCATAAAGGCATGAAATAAATTCAATAGATTTTCCTACATATTAGTCCAATTTCATCTGTACAAAAGACCAGAATAGGAAAGAATGGTGTCACAAGGAAAGGGGTTGAAAAGTAGGAAATTTGGGATAAAATAAAAAGTGGTCAGTGATGTACAACATCATTGCCATGTGATATTGTTTTTACAAAGACACTATATTCAAACACTTGGCATGGGTTATCATTCCATTCAAAATAAAACTGGATCCAGAATATCGCTCATCTGACCATCTATACATCCACAAAATAGTTTGGAGTATGAGTCTTGCAAATGTTCATATTCAAACTATAATGTGGGCACAGAAAAAACAAACAAGAGTCTTGCAAAACATTAGAGAGTGTCCATCTGGACCCAAATACTAAAATAATGCTGAGACCAACATATAGCTAATAAGAGTCATCCATGTGGTGAATGGGTGATGAGTGCTGGAAAAAGATGGGCTCAGTTTGGGTGAAAATCCTGTAAGACTTGGTAGAAAGCACTGAGGGAGTTTAAGATTTTTCCTGCTTCAGGGTGCCATCCAGAAAGGCATCGACTGCTGCTGTGGCTGTGTTTTAGCACGAGGGGGTGGTGGAGGAGGGCATCGATAGCCCTGTGTCCAGCCTGAGGTGGAGGTGGGGGGAACTGCCCCAGGGTTACCTGGCCCTGAGGCTTTGGAGGTGGAGTGGTCTTCCTCTTCATCAGAAGAGTCACCGGTGTACGCTACTAAACCTGTTTTCAATCTTTTCACTGTGGGCTCTGAAAGAAGAAAAGGGTGGACAACCAGAAGAAAGGAAGAGATGGCAAAAGGGAGGGAGAGAAAAGGCACACACATACAACAACAAAAAAAAACAAAAAAACAAAAAAAACAAACCACAACAGCAGCAACAAATTTCAAGTAAGACAGGTGCAAGTTAATTATTCCAAACACATTTTGGGAGAAACAAATAGTTAATAGATTTAAATCAGTTTGTCAGCAGAGTAGAGGAGGGGGCAGCCATTCGAAAGCAGCCATTGGTTGGTGGGGAGCGACAGTGTTAGGGCCGTCAATCAAGTGGTAGGACAGCGTCACGGGACGAGTCGTGCCCCACCCCCAATCAGTATCCAGCATCACCCCAGAGACACATGGAAGAGAAGAAAAACACAGAGAAAAAGAGAAAAACACAAAAACAGGAGAGATTCTCGTTAGTGAGGAAATCAAACAAACTACAGACACTCCAGACTGATGATGTCATCAGATCGGGACGGTAAGGTGGACTCGACTTATCAGACGTCTTTACAAATGACTGAACAATGCACAAAAGATGTTGAGTCATAGCACCACCTCACTGTCTGCAGATTTCTAGTCAGCAGCAGAATCCTGCAAGAATCATAAGAAGCATAAGGGCCAGTTTGAGGGTGTGTGTGTGTGTGTGTGTGTGTGTGTGTGTGTGTGTGTGTGTGTGTGTGTGTGTGTGTGTGTGTGTGTGTGGTGTGGTGTGTCGTGTGAGAGAGTGTGTGAGAGTGAGAGAGAGAGTGTGAGTGCATGTATTGCTGCCTTTATCTAATCTGCCACAAGAACAGGGGGTTTCATTATTCAAATCCAAATGAAAAAGCTTACTCTTTTTGGATTTGCCAACTATGTGTCTTGATACGTGTGCTGGGACTGGCAACAGCTTTACTTTGTCAACAATCTCAAGTAAAACCACTGAAATCAAGACACAGTACAGTGGCCCTGGAGAGGATTTACATTTTACTCTCTGCAGCTCTACATTAAGGCTGTGAATAGATCCAGGCTGAGCTTATAAGGGGGCACAGTCCAGAGTCAGGAACTGTGGATTTGGATTTGGGCAGGGATTTGTCAGTCCACAGGATAATGCCCTTACCCACGGGGCCTTGCGGTGCCCTTCTCTCCTCCATCTTGGGTCTCACTCCATTCACAGGCAATGGTGGTGGAGGCATTAGCTGCCTACTAAAGAAAAGAAAGAGAGATGGTGTGAGTTAACTATGCCTAGTGACCCTTGAACACCATTATTTTTTTTATTAATGAAATGTAAACAAATATAACAAGACTCTGTGTACCTGTCCCTCTCACTCGGCGGGCCAGAGGAACTCGGTTGAGGGGGTCCTGTAGTATCGGGGCTGCCCACTGGGAAGCCTGCACCTAAATTAGTCATATGAATGGGTCCATGCTATGAGCAGAAAAACACACAGGCGCGATTAGCAGACATCCTCTACTAAACCCTGTCCTGACACTATAATCTATAATAATATACCTCTTCCAGCATCAAAGTGAAAAAAATCTGTCAATGCAAGTTATAGCTTACCACAAGTGTGTGATTACACTGACATTTTTCCCCGTCCACTATGAAAGACACTTAAAGCTCATCAGAAATAATATCTCTTTCTGAAACTCCATATTACCACTAGAAACACATAAATGAATTGCAAATGAACAACAGAAAAAGGCAGGCCATGCTATCTCAACCACTGTGCATAAAACATTTGGAGAAAGGAACGACGAAAGCAAGGATGAATCCAAGACAGAGAGCATCTTAAGACACAGACAACGTGCCCGACTGATGAAAGTGACTTAACACAAGCTGCACTCTGGTAAAAGTAAAGACAGACAAACAGGCATAAAACGCAAACAAGGGGACTGCAGGATGGAGGATAAGAAAAGAAGAGTGAAAAATAAAAAGCAGCAGATAACAATGAGGGGCTGTAAAGGAGGAAGAGCTGTTTATCACCTGGTATCCAAGCAGGCCGCTGTCCCTCTCGTCTGGTACTTCCTCTGTGAAGCGTCTTTTCTGTGGCGGATTGGCTGGGGCGGCAGGAGGTGGAGCTTTGGGTGGCGCTGCAACAGATGGAGGAAAAGGAACAGGAGGAAGAGTCTGCAGAGAAAAGGATACATACAATACAGTAGGTATTATTGCTTTAAATTATATTCAAGTGGTTTAGTAAATGTCCAAATAATATTTTTCTGAAGGGAATTCATTTGGCAACAATTCACCAAAGAACTGGTTTATTATTAATAAAACAAATTAGATTACAGAAATAGAAGATGTGATGGCTCAGCCTTACCTGTGGCATAGTGCCTGGAATGGGAGCAGGAGCAGGGGCAGGAGCTGGAGCGGGGGCTGGAGCAGGGGCAGGTGGAAGAGGGTATTGAGGAGGCACACCTGTGGGTGCTGCCGGAGGTATAGGAGGGGGAACAGTGTAAGGTGGAGGAACAGGCTGTGGCTGAGGTGGGTGTACAGGCATGGGGTAGCCTGGCTGATATCCAGCAGGGGGGTAGTAAGGAGGCTGAGGAGGCATCCCGTTCACCACTGGAGGCTGTGCAAAGCCTGGAAGAGGAAGAGGGAGACAGATTGTGTCAGGCTTTCTCAATGACTTCTACAATCATGTCAGTATGTCTGACTGAGAATGTTAAAACTGTTGAAAGAAAGACAACCGATAGTTGTGTACCTTGTTGTGTCGGCATCATTGTGCTCATTTGATTGAGGAAGCGAGAATACTCTGCATGGACCTACAGAGAGAGAAACATTGTATGTCAGGCTTGTTAGTGGTTCAAGGAACATAAGTAAAGTATTATTGCGGGATATGATTGCATCATATTAAGAAAACTTTTTAAAAAATGAAATGTGTCACTGTATTACAAAAGAAAATACTGTAAATGTGATGCAAAATGGAAACAATTGCATTTTTTTGACTTTTAGCTTTGTTTTCCAGAATGACTGGCAACAACAATAGATGTAGTTTGTTTAAGAGTGTTTAACAGTTTGTCAGTAGTGGCCACTTGGGATATTATTTATTGATTAACAATAGATAATCTATGGCTAAGAATTTGATCATTTAAGAATATACAGTATTAACTGACCGTTTGCTAAGTTGGTGTGCATCTCTGGGACATTTGTTTTGCTCTGTTTAGGTGTTCTCAACAGCTTCCAAATAGGTGGAATAACACTGTACTATACAACTGTGGTCAGCTGGTGCTGGTCAGTGATCAAGCTCTTCCTCCAACCAGTTAACAATGGCAGATTATGCCAATTGTTCAAACAAGCTTACACAGTGGAAAAACATGCATTTGGAATTGTATACGCTTGTAATGAGAGGCCAATTGTAGTTGAAATGGGAGAGCACAGACCTGGACAAAATCTCATGGTTACAGTAATACAGGAATTTACTCACTGTCTGAAGTAAGTTCTCACACAAGGTTTTTGCTGCTGCAAGTCCTTCTGGTTTAGGATGACTGGAGAGCAAAGAGACGGTATTTATCTCTAGACATCCCACAGTGTGGAAAAAAGAAAGCTTGTGGCTAGCTCATGTTACTGCACAAGCAGGAACTGTCTCTGAAAAGCAAAGTTTACAATATTTCTTAATTTATAGGAAAGCACCCACCTGATGTAGATGTACATGGGTTCAAATGCCTCCCGTCCAGAGGCAGGCTCCAAACAACCCGATCCTTTTCCTCTGAGGAAGACTTTGGCCCCAGTCTCAGCCTGAATGTGCTGCAGGTACGAACAGCCGGGGCCTTCAACGCGCTCTTTGACCACAAACCCTGGGATAGCGTGCTCCAGTCCCACGAAGACTTTATCTTGAACATAATGCATCTGAGGCCGAAAGACAACATAAAGGCATAAATACAACTATATGCACTACTGTAAGTAATTACAACTAACCACCAGCCAATAACAATTCATTCTGACTGACCATACTGGTGAGAATTTCTTCATATTTATGTCAATTTACTACTAATCACATCTGTTTTACATTAATTGCCATACTTGCAATACATGGACTTTTAGTTTGAGGAATATGCACTTCTATTTTCCAGGAAACGGTTTTAAATTTATCATAATGATGTATGAAAATCAAGGTACAGACCTGGACCATTATGCAATGAACTCTCTCACAAACAGAAACTTATTTATCATCTTTTTAATGGTGTCCAATGTTATTTAGTATTCATTATTCAAGTCTGATATCCAACATTGCTTGTAATTATAGGGCTGCACAGCAAGCAGATCGAGCAAGTGCTTCAGACGGTGTCATCAAGAAGTCAAACAACAGTAAAACTGATGTAAAACAAACATTGCAGGTGCTTAAAGGTGAGGTAAAAAAAAAAATTCTAACTAAAAACTACTATATGCACTGAAAATGGTTGACAGTAATTGTTAACGATATGAAATGAAAAAAGGGACAAAGGCAAGCAAAAGAATAGTATGATATTTAAGTCTGTCTAGTCTTGTCAGTAATTTTGGAAGAAAAACAACTGTAAAACATTTTAAGGTGTATACTAAGGTTTTCATGGTGACATCCTAGATCATGAAAAGTAAAATGACAAAAAGGGAACTGTCTTACCCCAGACTGAAAGTGTGGTTTGTGGTGGGTCATGGGGGGCAGTGAGGGTGGAGGCGGGTTGTGCTGCTGGTAAACTGTGACTGAAGCCCCACTGGGGGAAAAGGATGAAGATGATGATGACGAGGCAGTTGCAGCCTTGACCACACCATTGGTGATTATCTCCTTGATTCTATTAACTGCCCCTGGAGAATGAAGGACAAAAATAATTAGTCTAATTACAGCCCATATGAAGACGTACATTCATTACTGATTAAAGATAAGTATGACAAAATACTGACTATCAACAAGCTCTCTTGTCTGTCCTTGGACATGCAGATACAAAGGTCGATCCCTGTATGGAAAGAGCAGAAACAAGGTTGTGTTAACTCGACAACAATAAACATGCAAACAACTCGTTTGATGATCAGTTACCCTGGTAGAGCTTTGCCTTTCTCCTCTGCTGTCATGTAACGCCCTCTGGTTGAAACAGCAGCACCGCTAACTTTACTGATCTGCAGATCAACCATGTGAAAGGCACAAAACATATTAATAAATAATCCACAAGCCTGCTGATGAAGTTAAATCTGTAAGATAGGATTGTCCATATTGCTGCTGACCTCATCCTGTGTTTGCCCACGTGTCAGGAGATTTCGACAGGTGATCGGGACATCATTGATCTCAACCTCAGCTACCACCAGGTCATCTTTGGCTTTTGCTGGCACTGGAGGCTTCCCAACACCCACAGCCTGAGTGAGGAGCCAAGAGATGAAGTATGTGTCACTCGAAATAAAATGGGGTCATTGACACTAAATTGAGGCAAGAGACTATACCAATATTTAGAATAGAAATATCTGAAGAAAACTTGTGGAGGCAGCAAGATTTTGTGGTGAACTTACTCAACATGCAACTAATCTCTTCACCCACATTAGGGCTGTCACTTATAATCTCGAATGTGGGTGAACAAGATGAGATGTACTAGACACAAAAAATTTGCAACAGATAGCTTTGTATGACATAATGTAATGATGACTCTTGAAAATATTTAATTTAATAGGAGAGATATGCTGATAACTGTGTGTAGAACATCTTTATCATCTGCGTAACTCTTGTGCTACACTGACTGGTAGTATTTTTTCAGCTCATTTGTCTTTTCTTGATTATCACTTCTAAGCAATTATGAAGTCTCAATGCAAACTCAAAATGGCAGTTTCAGTTTCACATCCAATCATCATGCAACCTAATGTACTAAACACCAAGTCATCACTCTACACAACCACAAACATTTTATTATTTGAAAATATGAGGAGAGTCTCTTATCTATTATTATTTATCTATTATTTTCAACATAATTAAACAGAGGTCTGCTCCAAGGTAAAATCAAATATATTGTGATATCTCATCAAATTGATGTTACAATCCTGTTAATCCAGTACTGCCATTATTCAATCATGTTCATTGATTTGCAAAATAGCCCAGAAAGACCTTGTACAATCAGAGATATCAAACTGATAGTTACCATAGTATTAACGGTATAGAAAAAGGTCTGGTATTTGAAAAATTTATACTGTCTCACGATATATGCTCAACTCACAATTTATTAGGGACACCCAACAGTTTGTGTTGAAATCTTTAAAGAGGTGCTGATTCAACTTAATGATCATTTTTGGAGGCTGTGGTTTGTGGTGATGTTGAACTGTACTGTGCTAAACTGAAAGGACTGCATTAGTTTTAGCTAGGTGTAGCTAATAAACTGGCAGCTGTTTGTATATTACCCACTACAGTAGTATGATGGTCCTGTGTTTAAGCTGGTAAAGTTATGAGATAACTCACCGGGTGTATGATCTAATTATTTAATGATGCTCCTTACCTTATCAGGAGGTCCTGGTGTTCCTATCTGTGAGGGTTTCAGTTTGCCCTTAGCCACCAACATGGCATTGATCTTGGCAGCCACAGCAGCTGCAGCATCCAGAGCACCAGTCGGTGCAGCTTCAGCCTCCCCCATCCCACCAGAGGCGGGACCGGGCTGGTCCCATTTGCTGCGGCGGCTGGAACGACAGAGAAAATGTGATGAATTGGGAAAAGAAAGGGGGACTGAACTAACAGTCAATCCTGTTATAATCTAAACTACCCCAGAACACCTGCCGCTAACTAGCTACCTTAATACCGATACTGTTGTTTATGTTTCAACCAAGAAATTAGTTTCTTTAAGGTCTTACTTCTTTTTCCCAATGATCATTTTGATTTATTGTGATCAGTCATGTAAACACAAGTGCAGGGACACTTTAAACCCGCAGGTATTCTTCATGTTAACATGTAACTTAAAGAAAACTGGCATGAACCAGTGCACAGTGGCAGCCCGACAACAGTCCGCCATGATTATATAAATTGGATAGCGTTAGCTAGCTAGCCGGCTAACTGAAAGCATTTGGACGGCGTCTCAAATACCCCAGAAAAACACAAAACCACCCCGGTTTAACACACTCACCCGCCGTTTTGAGTTCCACAAAATGACATCAATATCCTGTTTTACTCTCTCTCCTCTCGGTGTAAAAATAAACGTGAAAACCCTCCACTTGACTTCAGCACAGCTAACACAGTGTTTTGGGTGCTAGCTTCGTGTCTTGCCGTTTCCGCCTCCGGTTAAAGTTGTTTGCTAGCAATAATACCAGAAGAGGACGCCAGATACCAGCATATATTTGCAAGCGCAGGTGCATCAAAAAAAGTTTGATGTGTGATGCTCCTGCCTCACCTGCCCCGGCCTTTCAACACCTCCGCGCCAGACTCGGTGAGTTTCTCCAGAGGAGACATTCAAGTTTCCAGTAAAGAAAGAAGCGCTGAGCCGTGGCACATGCTGCTCGTCCAAACAGGCCAGGACATTAGTCAAGGTAGGTTTCAGCAGTTACACTTCTTCTTAAAAATGTGAGTGTAAAGCTTGTGAAATGTACGCCTCGTGAAACTTTTAAAACACGTGTCAGGATTTAGTTTGTGGCAAAGGTTTTACCTTTTGTGCCACTGAAGATGCAAACAATGTGAACGATGTGTTCAGCTAACAAAAACTTGAACACGATCCTCTGAAATCTTATCAATCAAATGTGACTCCGCATTTGACAGTGAAGTTAATATAGGAAACAGACTTTCCATACACATTTAAAAAAAAAAAAATCTCTAATTAATGTCTATTTGAATACTCATAGAATAATCACAAGCAGCGTGTTGACTGACAGGACGGTAGATATGTTTGTATTAGGTTAGGCTCATTAGCATAGTTACAACACTGTGAAGGCAAACATAAACTAAAAAGAAACAACTATTTATGATTAAATTCAAATAGGGCCTATATATTTAATGATTCTGCAAACATGACCTGTTCATGGCATTTTAATGTGGCTTACTTTCTCTAATTGTCTTTTAACCTACTGGGAGCATTGATGTCTCTTTGGCAAATAGCTCACAAACTCCTCTTCATCTTCCAGTCTGAACATGGTCAGAGGTATAAGCTGACAGTGTGCTCTCTGAACAGACTCAGCCAGAGGATGATGCAGGATGAGACCATCCAGCATCCTGTACATAGACAGACCACAGCATCCTAATCCGCTCTGATGCACTGGGTTACTCAGAGTCACTGTGGCAGGTGCAGGTGTTCAGTTTCTGACCACCCAGGAGCTCAGAGACACAGCCAGGAGGTGCAGGTTTCTGTGGAAGGTGAGATCGCTGTGTGGGGGCGACATGGATCAACAGATTGAACAACCAGCAGCCCTAGTTGAATTTCTTTTGTCCTGTGCTGTGGGGTGTTGAAAACAGTCTTCAAAATTCTGCTTGCCTGAGTTTGATTAGGATCATGGTCTGTCATGTGTGCGTAAGAGGAAATGGCTTGTTTTTTGCGCTTGCTTTGTTTATGCTCATCTACTGGGACCTCAGTTATTTTTGTTCTGCCTTTTTTAATTTAAGAGGTAATGGAAGGTAATGGATTATTTTTTTCCTGCTACAGTAATTACACACCGTTTTGTGCAATAGTACTACTTGTTTTTAAGTTTGCAGTTATGTTTTTATTGAACTAGTTGGCTCAAGAAATGTGTAAAGCCAATTACAGTGAACAATCAGTCCATTATAAAGAGAAGTGTAATAATCTTGACTTAAAAAAAAAAAAAAAAAAACTTTAACATATTTTGTATTTGACATTTTTTACTGTTAACATTATGTAGTTTGAACTGTCTCATCCCAGCATTTTAAAGTCATAAAGATCAGTGTTCTCCTTTTACGGAGCTGATGGGACATTTTTAATGAGCTACATTTATTTTTTATTAAAAATAGATTTTATTGTCATTAATAATGTATTAATGAAGTTACGTTACAGCAGTTGAGTAGAACTTTGCATAACTGTTTCCATCACTGTTCAAATTAAGCATCTGAACTGTTGATACAAGAGCTTACAAGCTTTGACAACAAAAATTGTTTGTGTACACTTAAATTGGACATAAATCTTGTTTGTAAAAAGGTCAGTATTCTATTTATTTTAATGAAATCATATTTCTTGTCAAGATATTTGCTCTTTACCAGGTGAGGAGCTTGTTCTGTAGTGTTGACCCCTCAGGATGGGAGGTGTCCTCCCCTCTGGGGACACTGTTACTGGGATGGGTCAGTTACCGAGCCATTTGAGCTGGAAGTTTAGTCAGTGCAAAGACAGACAAGAGGAAGAACATGTTGTGTAACAGAGACACAGGGAACAAGTGCAGCCATTTTATAGCTGTTAATAACCCCAGCTGATAAAATCTGCAAGTACACAGCATCATGTTTGTACAACATCAGTAGTCACCCAAAGGGTTTGTTGAAGTACCTGGCTGAGTACAGGCATGGGAACAGTCCACATTATATGGTGGAGAAAAAAATTAGATACAGTTTCGACTTGACCTTGTGATATAGGCTGAGTGTTCACTAGATTGTTATCACTGTAGCTTCTTCATGTTTATCAGGGAGGATGAAACTCTGCAGCATCTCCCTCTGAATGTTCACCCTAATGTGCTGTATGCCCAGCATTAAGTGGCAATAAAATAGCAGAGAGTCATAAAACCAGGCAGCATTTTTTAAGACTGAATGCAAAGAAATTTGAATGTTTGTCACACATTGAGTTGTAAACTAGCTCATTTTTAATACAGAAACCCTTTATTCTTTATTGGCAGTGCGGCAGCTGTGAAGCAGTAAATGGGAGAAACGTTAAGCAATGAACAGGGCCAAATAGTTTGCTTGCAAATCTTCAGTTCTTCTTTCATTTGTCCTGCAGGTGGCAGTCTAATTCTAACCGTTACCTTCAGACCATAGTGTTCACTCTTCAACCTCACACACGCATAATGACCTGCTGCTATTTTTTCTGTGCTGAACCAAACTCGCTTAAAACCCTTTAATTTAACTTTTAATTTGGACACTATTGATTAAAATTACTCATAGCTGTTATTCCTTTGTTTGAAATGCAAGTAATAGTTATTTTCTTCAATTATGATCAGTTATGTTCCTGATTAATCGATTGATCATTTGATCTAATATCAGAAAATAGTGAAAACTAAGAGAAGCTGCAAATCTTTTCATCTGAAGAGCTGGAACTAATGATTTTGTTTAGTTTTTTTTAAATGACTGAAACAACCGATTGTACTGACATAGTCACACGTCGACTAATCAATTAATCAACTAATGATTTCAGCTCAAATACATAATAGGCTATACAGGCTTTTGTTCTAATATTGAACAGTGTCATGGAAACGCATAGTGTCCCTCCTTAGCCATGACCTTCCTGCATGAACAAACCACGGGGATCAGATGAGTTAAGTGTCAGAAGGTCAGAGGTCAGGGGAGCTTTGACGCCTGAGTTGACAGGGATGACTGTTTACGGGCAGTATGCTGCAAGAAGGAAAAAGCAGGAGAGCACAGAGAAATGGTGAAACGCAGGGAGGGAGAGAAGGAGCGAGAGGGGCAGACGTGCCATATTTACTGTCTTTCCTAGTAAGAGCTCAGGTGTGAACTGTAATGTGTATGTCGGTTGATGTAACCTCCGGCCTTCAAGGCACACAAGCCTCGGTCTGGCCTGATCCTGGCGGCTGACACTGTGGTGTGAAGTCAGGGGACGTGATGGGGAGGAGGGCGCCTCACAGTGGGGTTACCATGGGTTGAACAAAGAAACACTGTGAGTGCCTAGGTTTCAGTGTTTGCTGTCAAACCAGCAATTACAAGCAGTATTTTTAATACCGTGTTCACTACATGTGCGGGTGTCATGAAACTTGAATTAGTGCGTTTTGATAGACGCTGCTGTGATGTTACAGATGTTGAAAGGTGGAATTCTAGTGAGTGTTTTTTGTCATTCATAATGCTAAAATATACAGTGAACTTCATAAACATTAGCGTCATATAAGGTAAGACCCTGCAGAGGAATTTAAAGTGCAGGCGAGGCAGAAAGTGCAGAGGGGACAAAAAATGATTGAGAGAGGGAAAACAGATGGGAAAATTGAATTTTAGAGGAGGGCAGGCAGAGGCGGACTGCTAAGGGAATCTTTTTTGTGTATGTCTGGAGAGAACGGGAGCCTCTTATACACCTCACAGCGTGAATTTGGCCCGGGCTGCGGCCTCGTCTCGTCTAAGCAGCGGGGTGCTTTCCTGAGCAGGCTGCCCAGGGGAGGGGCACCTGCAGCAGCCTCAAACACTGGTCAAGAGGAGAGCCTGACAGGCGGGGCGAGGGGCGCCGGGATGGAAAGATGCTTGGTGGTTCCAGGAAACGGACATGTGCTGGTTTTATGAAATCTTCAGGTAGAGCAGAGCGACGCTCTCAAAAGAAAATATTTGGCCTTGTGTTTTCCCCATGGACTAGAGAGGAGGAGGACACTGCCTGTAATCTCAGGATGAAATCAGAAGCTTCTGTTGCAGGAGGACAAAAGTTATGATTGGAGCAAGACGGCCTGTGCTGGCAACTACTAACACAAGCAACACAAAGTTTATAGATCGGCCAGCCTGCCAACTGAGACAATATTTTCCATCCATTTGGTTGGGTTGACCAAACACTGTGTATTTGAGGTTTATCAAACACTCAGTCATCCCCGCAGACCCTAGGGAAGACTTAATCATCTGATATATTGAGTTTTAGAATACACAGACACCTAAAAATCTGTCCACTGCGAAGACTCTGAAAATTGAGCAACAAGCTCTCTGTGCTTTAATATCCACACTCTTTTTTTGGGAAAGGTTTTATCTTTACACAAGCTACACCCTCCATCTCTTGTGTCATTTTGGTATGACCCAGGGGTCCAAAAATCACCAAATCTCACATGAGGCCTCCTGATATGAAATGTATATGGAGCTAGCTCTTTGTCTGTAAGAAATTCCATTTAAATGGACAAATGTGCTGAGAGGGCCCCAGTTGTCTGTGAAAGGTGGATGGATATTACATTAACTTCACAACAGAAGCGCCCCCTGAGGTGTAACCGCACAAGGCTCCAGATAATAACTGCATTGGGAACTTTATGCTCAGAGGTAGCCAGGCCAGGTAAATGGAAACACATGGTAGGCAGCATCGACTACAGAAGGGCCCTACAGCCGCAGAAATAATGGCATCACAGTGCAGAGAAACACGCAAGCTCCCTTGACAAATGCTTTTGGTATGTGTCTCTTCAACCTGTTGGTATTACCATGGTAGTAAAGCCCTGCAGGGCTGCTCAATTTCTCCTGCAGCACCTCAGGTTTTCGTTTCCTCAATGAATGTTCCTGCATGTCTTCACTTTACACGCAAATAAATAAACCGAGACTTCACATAACTCGAGTCTCTTTTTTACGTTGCATTTAAAATGAAATCACTCCAATAAGTCATTACCTGGGGATTATGTACTCACAGAAGTTATTGAATGTCAAGTCAAAACACAGTTAACCACAGTTAATAGAACTTAATGGTCCTTCTGTGTGATTTGGGTGGACAAAGAAAAACACTATTGCCCAGATATGTCACTTGAGACCAGCTCTTAACAACCAGTGATGAAATTAAAAACGTAAGGGATCAGTGCTGCTTCTTTATCTGCTCTCCCCATGCTGTGTGGTTTGGAAAGTTATTCAGTATGTGTATCTCTTTTTTTTTTTAAGAACTACCCTTTTCAGCATGAAGATTTGAATGTAATTTTTGCTTTAATAATTTCATTTATTTTATTAAACAACACAACAAGGCACGATAACATCAAGACACCCCTCCCCCCCAAAAAAAAGAAAGAAGAAAACACCATGTTTCTGACCAAAGCACCATGCTCATGCGATACTGCCCCACCCTTTTTGTCCCATCATCCCATCCCCATCCTTACTCCTCTCTGTCAAACAACAATATTTGCTCATCTGCGTCAAAGAGCAGCAGGGTTTGCGATACAGTACAGTGCAGCCTTTGAGTCAGACAGACAGAGACGGAGCGTTGCTACAGGGATTCACAGAAACACCGGCCAGTGAGTATATACACAAGAGCGGGGAAGACCTTCTATTGCTGACGTGCTGACACAGACACACAAACAGCATATGAATGTGACTCAGTGACTTCTCTTCACAAAGCAGTTTTGGGATATTGTGTTTTTTGGGGTTTTCTTAGCACACATCATCATTGTTGTTTCCCTGACTTTTACTCCTTTTTACATCTGTTATATCCATGTTATATCCATATAGCGTTCTTTATTTGCTGGGCCTATAGAGCCTATAGATAAAGATCCAATGAAACAGTGAATTACAGGAAGCATACTCTTTATTCGAGGCTATATATTATGCATCATTATAAACATCAGCTACAGTCAAGACAAATTGAGGCCATGCAAAGCAATGCATGATTCATAATAATAAGTACATTTTCAAACCCAACATGCAGGTCATGATTATAAAAAAAGTGAGTTGTTTTAGATATGTCAGGGGTCAGTGGAAGCGAACAAAAGACTGTTGACCGGCTCAAACATAATTCATTATGTCAACAAACAATGTCTCTGAAAAATGTCCCAACAAGGCCCTGACCAGTTACAACCAGTCGTTCAAAAACAAACATTTTCTTTGATATTTCTCTGAAAACAAGCAGAAGTGCATCAGGGTTTCTACTGGAAATGTTTACAAAATAAAACTGTTCATCTGTTGATTTTAGTTAAATTGCTTTTGGTTATGTGATAAATATAATTACTGTAGTAACCACTTATGTAAAAAAAAAAAAAAATGACATTGTATTACATTGCCATAGTCACAAAAATAATATCAATAAAACATTTAAAACCAGACTGTGTATGTAAACTTGGTTACTACAGCAATTAGAGGCATTATTTGATATGGCCACCAAAGTTTGGAGAAATTCTACAGAGAAAACATTTATTAGGTGACACATTACAGAGATTGTCTTTTTTTTTTTGGCTGGTAAAACCAGAATATAATTAACATTTAATCTCCTAATAGGAAATATTGTCCGTTCACAAAGCATTTATCCAAAGTGCTGTCATTATTGTCATTCTGTTTCCTCAGTTTTTAGGCTAAGGCTAAATCAATTGTCTTTGGTGCCAATGGTGGAACTCATGAAGCATTCAAGTACAGTATCTTTTCATATGTTTGCATGCTGTTAAACACACATGTATGTACACGTTCACATTATTGTCTCTGCTACTGACTGAGACACAGCACTACTGCAGTGGACTGCTCTTGCGGCAGAGCTGATTTGCTGATGTCAGCGTCTGCCTGTTGTGTCTTCGTTTTCCCGTCAATAGTGTGTAGAAGAATGGATTCACACAAGAGTTTCCATAGGTCAGCCCAGTGAGGATACGGTTCACTGTCACCTGTGTCCCCACTGGTACTGTCCGCAGCATGTCAGGCTGGTACAGAGGCAGCAGCTGCCAGATCCAGAAAGGGAGAAAGCAGGCCCAAAAGGCCAGGACAATACCCAGGATGAGAAGCAGGACTTTGGGTTTGGGAGCACGGGGAGGACAAGCAGAGTTGCTCCCAGTGGCCCAGGCCGGCCGGGTCTGAGACACCCAGTAAAGCCGGCCCAGAGTGGCATACAGTGCTCCGATGGCCAGCCCGGGGCCAAGGATGCTGGTGCAGAACAACACACTCAAATAAGCCTTGGAGCTCTGCTCGTCCCATGCCGGCACACACAGCTGGCCCTCCTGGTTCTCCCCATCCTCCAGGTGCAGGGTGATCATCATGGGCAGACTAAGAGCCACAGCCAGCCCCCAGGCCAGACTGACACGCAGCAGGCCAGAGGAGTTAGAGGAGGAGGTGTGCAGGGGGTGAGCCACAGCCCGATAGCGGTCCAGACTCATGGCAGTCAGAGTGAAGATGGAGGCGTGCATGGTGAGGAGGTCCAGGCTCAGGAGGAGGCGACAGCCCAGCTCACCAAAGGCCCAGCCAGATGCCAGGCTGTCGTACACGATGAAGGGAGCAGTGAAAAGGTAGAGCAGATCAGCAAGAGCAAGGCTCAGCACCTGGAGGTGAAGAGAGGAAGAGGAGGAGGAAGAAGAGGAGATGGGGGAGGCTGAAGGGGAGGAGGAGTTGGCAAGGCAGGATGGTACAGGTACTCTCATTAGGCAGCAGTTTGGCCCTACGCAACGTCTTCTACTTCTCCTACGCCTCAGAAGGAGGACTAAAGTGTACAGGTTTCCTGTGATGCCCAGCAACGAGAGGAGGGAGAGGAGCGAACAGAAAAGAGCTGTGGATGCCAGGCTGGGTGATGGAGAGATGGAGGGAGAGGAGGAGGGCAAAGAGACATTGGGGATGACAGGGAAGGTATATGGGGAAGGTGGAGGCAAAGAACCTGAGAGGTCCATAATGTGACGTTTTGAAAGTTATCAAGAATGCAGCCAATTAATGCTTAAAGGTCTGTTTCAGATGCAAAATAGAAGATGCCGTTTCAGCAGAGACAGAGAAGGGAGGTGGGGTGGAGGGGGTCAAAAGGAAAAAAACAGGTGGAGAGGACAACAGAAGAATATTTTATTAGTTTTCATCACGATTTTCCTCTTTGTCATGGCCTGGTTTGTGGATATTTTTTGTTTGACAGAGTGGTTAAAGACAGCAAAGCTACAAAACCGATATCCATATCGTTTTTGTAGCTCTGAGGGCGCTTCAAAGTCATTTATGTTCAGTATATTTTTGGTGACACCAGATAAAGTAAATAAAGTCATATAAACATGTAGAAATGAAAATGTCAGCTTAACCAGGATGGTTTATGTTTTAGCAGAAACCTGCTCTAGTTGGCACAGCCTTTACAGTTTTATAGTTTCACAGGGAGCCAGGCAAGGCTGTCATGGTTTTAGTAAAATAATTGGATTTTCAGAGTAGGAGGGCTCCGTTTGAAGGCTGTAAATCTAGACTGAAACCTCCAAAGGCTTGTTTCTTCTTAAGGTCAGCAGTTGGGCAACAATTAGGCTAAGTGGGATACGAAGAAATCCTAAAAGTAATATGCCTTAAAAGTTGGTTCATGAAAAGAGGTTCTAAATAGGCAAACTTTAGTTTACATTTTTCGGTTTATGTTGTGCGTTTTTGCGCACCGGTGGTTTGGACGCGGACCCGTGCATGCCGAGTCAGTGGAGAGCGCAGGGAGCCGGTCAGGACTGAAGACAGCCGCTGTGTTTGACTTCATCTAATATACTTTGATTTTAAAGAATGAACCGCATATTTAGCCAATTATACTTTATTATATATTTTACAATCCTCTTTGTGACATTATTGTCGTTTGAGAAAAAAGCCAAACACTACTCGTTCAAGACTGATGATCTTGTGGAGAAATGTAATCTGCCGCGACATCAAAGCGGACGCGGGGTGCCTGACAGAACCGGCCTGTATGACACATGGTGACCCAGGCGGCTCCGGGGTTAAGAGCTACTATTGAACTATGGAGGAGCAGCCAAACCCCCGCGGTGCTGCGCGCCTCCATACGTTACCGGCTCCCTCTATATAACAGCTATGGGTAGGTTCATTCATCGCAGGGCCGAAGAAGCAAAAAGCCGTTCCATTATTTAGATCCATTCAGCCAAATTCTTCCAATAGCTCAACTACAATCTTTGATGCAGATGGCAAAAGCATATATATGGATTTTTAAATAGACAAATAATTCTGTTTTGTCAATAGGCGCCAGCAATCTGATTCAACTTGGCTTTGACAGGACATATTTGAAGACCACGCTGTTAGAAATAAATTGAAGGCCACTTTCTATTTAGCCCAGGCACTAACTTTATAAAGGACATTGGTTTCACATGTTATAGGCATATATCATATTCATATTAATATTGAGATATAAGTGGCCTGAGGAAAAACAACACATTACGCTCTTGCATGTGTTGGGACCTTTATGAATGCTACAGAAAAAGGGCTATATGCAACAGGCCTATAATCCGCACAGTATTTATATAGACTCAGTCATTAATTCTCCAGATGTGTTTTTTTTTTTCTTTTCTCTCAAACTTACCCTAGAACAGTTTAATCCCAGATGCTGAGAAAATAATATTCCATGGGTTTGTTTGGTGAAAAAGCTCCATCTCCATTTTGAAATCTCCCTCTGTTGCTCATGTGTTGTCATGAAACCCCTCTGACCTCTTCTGACACAAAATCAGGATTATCTTTATCTTCAGCAGGAGGAGGCGGTGTAGTTTATACGGTGAAAATCTTCACTCCAAACTTTGCGATCTGATCTCCGCTGTCTGTCCTGTCCAGTCCTCAGCGCAGCTCTGTCTCCTCAGCTCAGTCTTTGATGTGTCTGAGTCAAAGGGAGAGGAGTGTGTGTGAGTGGAAAGGGGGTGGGATGGGATGCTGAGTGAGGGGGCCTATCCTGCATAGGACTGAATATTAATATAACGTTGTGTTGGCCTGACCTGGGGTCCCGGGAGCCCCCCACAGAGTGAATTAAATGTTTATTTTTTCATTCATTGGAAGCACTACAGTGACAGAATATATAACAATGACCTCCCGAATTATAGATTTCACTCTCCAACAATTAATAGTGGTAGGAAAGATATCTGAACAGTCTATTTTGGCCTTATCAAATGGGATTTGTGGTTGAAAGCTGCTTGAAAACTTCTGAGAATCAATGTGGAAAACAAACAGGTTTCCTCCTAAAAACATTCACTCTATGATAATTGCTTTTTGCCCATTTCAGTTAGTTTGAATTATGACTGAAAAAGCATTCTGAGTAAGCCAGCCCACAGCTGTGCTGAGCAGTGGTATAAGAATTTAAAACACAGATAAAGTTAATGTTTGTGTCTGTTTGAGCCACATTTACTGTAAGTTGATCATGGTTTGATGACTCTCTAATGGTTTCAATACCTTTGAACCAGGCATAAATCTCACTGTGAACGCACAGCAAAGTCTTTCCATGAAAGTCAAGAATCTGACCATAAATGGTATTGCAACATCATATTTTGGCAAATAATCAGGTGCTGTATAAGTCAAAGATATGGCCTCTGCTTTAAAGTTTGAAACCAGTTTATTGTGAAGGATTTATGTAACCTGGATGTTTTTTTCTAACATAAAGAGAGGGAACAAGTTTATTCAGTCTGCTGATGCACTTTGAAGGAATGATTTATATTAAAACAAAAGAATGTAGTGACGAAGATAAACAGTTCTTCACTGACAAGTGATCTGACCTTTTGGACTCTAGATGTGTTTTTACTTTAATCTACACTCACTTTCATTGTTAGTACACACAGAGAGTTAAGATAGAGACAGTATATGTTGGAATACTGAGTCAAGAAGTCTGTTCTGTAACTGCAAGGTCATGGACTTGAACCCTGACAACAGAAACAAGTCAGGCAGTCCTGTTGCCTGGGACTTGGCTCTCTTTGTGAATGTGTCTCGTTTTCTGCTGGATACCTGCAAAATGTAAGCAAATGTAAAATTGCACAGTTGATTCCAGTATGATTGATTGAATTTGACTCAGGAGAGTTTAGACTCTGTGGGCAGGGCAGAGAGACAAACCTACTCAGCCAGCGTATCATTGGGATTTGCTGTCATTTCATGACGCACTGCAATAACTAATGCACTTCAACTCTGACCCAATGTCAATACCACATCAGCTCGTATTCAAACACACGGCGTCTCACACTCCCGCAAGAACTTTATACAATGATTTGGTGTTTAAATTATAGAGGAAATTAATTATCAGTATACTCGCCTGTAACAACATTTTTCCATGTCAAGGAAAAGTTTAACTGGTAGATTTAATAAGTGGCCTGACTTTAAGCTCGGACAACATCACTGAATAAACGGGTCTTTCAGCAGTTATCAAAAGCAACTTACAGTTGCCTGTTATCCACTGAGTTGTTTTTGGCCCAGCAGTTGTAGAACCCACAGCTGTGGTTTGCCAGCTTCAAGAGGCTGAACAACTTGGAAATTATTTAGTTGTGACTAGCCAGTAAAATGTGTAGGCTGTGTGCCTCATGCTGGTGGTGGGGAGTCCATGTTGGCTACTTCATACACGTACTGGCGTACATAAGATAGACAGAGACAGGCAGTAAAGACAAGAGAGGGACTGGGGGGGGGGGGGGGGGGGGGGGGGGGGGGGGAGACATACCTATCCCCACGGGGTGTGAGGAATTTGAACAAATACCTGGCACAGGCATGCCAAAATAGGAGGGGGGGGGGGGGGGGGGGCGCAGAGGCATGAGAAACCCAGGCTTCCTCATGCAAGGAGATGGACAGGTAAAACCATTTATTAGATGGGACTGGAGAAGGAGTGAGGAGTGTGAAGGAGTTTTATTGAAGGGATAGTAGGTGCTCTCTTGGTATCAAATTTACATAGAGGTGGAGAAAAGGAGTGAGATGATTATGAACTGTGAAACCAGACATTTGGCAAAAAAATGTTGCTTAACTTTAACATGCAAACATGGAAAAAAAAAAGAGTAGGGGGGCTGAAAGGGTCTGAGTACTATGCTGTTTATTTGTCTTTGTCAGAACACATCAATCTCAGTCTGTGAAAACACATTATATGATTTTTAATTACATTTACCTGAGCTGTGGTCTTTGTTCCAGTGCGCGTGTCTCCCCCCTATTAATTCGTCTGCATCAATCTCAAGTATGCAAATACAGAACGTATGAAGATGATAGCATTGAGAAATTACTCAAGTGCTCCTTTGTTTTTCTGTGCTGATATTGTGACTGCAGCGGTCAATGTGAGGACCGGGTCACTGATTATAACTGGAGACTGTGCCATGTAGATTTTAATAACTTCTCATAACATTTGTGTTTTTAACTGTAATACATTATTTTATTTTCTGAAATATCCCATAAAATGTTTGACCATATCTACTGCATATATTAATGCTGCAACCAGTTATTATTTTTACTGTCAAATAATCTGCAGATTAATTTATGAATTAATTAATTACCAGCAATAATTGCCTTGTGTAGGGCATTTTTAAAAATAGCAAAAAGTTGCCTTTTCACAATTTGTCAAGCCAAAGGTGACTTCATTAAATTGCTTGTTTTGTGTGACCAGCAATTTAAAAAAGTATTCAATTTGCTCTAAAAGAAAAACAAAGAGCAGAAGCAGAAACCACATATTTGATGAGCAGGAACAAGGAAGTGTTGGTTTGAAAAACAACTTTTTTAGGATTAATCACTGAATTTGCTGCAGATCATTTATCTGCCGTTCGGCTGATCAACTACTCTACTAATCGACTCACTGTTTCAGCTGTACTGTATATACAGTAGATACTATCTGATCTCCATACTTCAGTTAATATTTGTTTTATTAATGGAAAGAGAAAACTCTAGGACAGCCTGGTCTACTGGAGTTTATCCTTCATACTAAACTGACGTGTTTCATTATACATATTGTGTGCTGGTCACATAGAAACATTCTCCGCTACACATTATAGTCTGGGGTTTCTGCACCTGAAGTGTCGAGATAACATGAGGCCAAACGCTCCCTGAGATATCTTTGTGCTACTGGGAGTTCACAAGAGGTTGAGCATGTAAAAACAAAATGGAGCTTGAGATCACACTCGTTCTCCCTTGAAAAAACAGTCTTTATTATTCTGTATATCTTCATCTATTTATGCAGCACTCCCAAAAGAAGGGGCTGTAACATGTCTAATCAGTGGGTAGTCACAGTATGACAAACGCCCAACCTGCAAACACTAACAGCTCCCTAACCTTTTCCTGGCTGTCCTTGCTGTCTTCGTTCATTTCATTAATTAGCTTACCCATTTCTGAGCAAACTGACTGACAAATTGCCTGCGGGCTGACCGTCCTCAGTATCGTAGCCTTGATTAAATGGGCGGACGTTTTCGTGTGTGTGACAAATGGTTGTTGGCTGATTCACAACTTGTGATGAGTTATTGATCCCCCACCCCCGCTGCCTGTCTGTCTTTACAGTTGCACATCAAATTTCTCCTGTTCCTTCAATACCAAGCCAAGAGTCTATTCTGTGTGTGAGTACACCCTGGTATTTAGCGTGTGTGTGTACCCTGATTTACCTCTTGTCATTCTTCCTTATGTGCCTTTTTTTTCATACATTGCTTTGAAAATTTATTTAACACATTTTTCTTAAAGATGGGCAACAACTCACTGGTTCCAGATCCTCAAATGTGAATATGTTCAGATTTTCTGGTGCGATCAAGATTATCTAGTGTTATGTGATAATAAACTCAATATCAGTGGATGTTAGGCCATTGGTCAGACAAAACAATACATGCATTTTTGTTGATTGATGACATTCTGCAAACCAAACAATATATCAAGAAAACAGTCAGTAAATGAATCGATACCTACAACCCGAGAATACACCAACTTAGGTCTCGTTGCCCTTTGCTCTTAAACTGATTCAGCAGTATTCATGACCTGAGAAGATATTTGCTTGTGATATTTAGTTTTTAGAGTGCAGTCTCCCAATGTCTTGTCTGAAGTGCAGAGTATATGTCTTCTGTGTTGGCCCCTGACGTCTGCAGAGGGCAGACAGCACACACTGAACCAATATTCGCTTACTCCTGAAGCTGAGCATTATATTTGGATCTTGTGTGACCATGACAAAGTCTGGAACCTGTTACAAGACGCCGAGCCTGGGTTTGCTGCCCCATCTGCAGAAATCAGATCAGCCTTTTACAGACAGGCACACGTGCAACGTTATCATAGCAGCAGTATCTACCCAGCCAGCCTGCAGGGAAGTGAACTCTTAGTTTAGTAATGCCCTTCCCAGGATTAACTGTGAATAGGTGCAAAGGAGGAATGAAATAGACTGAAAAATGACTAAAATCCCACTTTTACTTTAGAAAAAACGAATTAATACTGACATCCATTTCTCTCCTTTCATCTGTGGTTAGCATCTTCTAAGTCGTAAAACACCCTAAGGGTGTGAAGTTCTGCTCCTTTAGTGTCTGCACAGCTGCTGATTTAAAATCTTGGCTTGTAATTAGGCCCTCAGAAACCAGGTGCATGGCCCCTGGTCAATCTGCAGCTAATCACCAGTTTAGAATGAAAACTTTCAAGTCCTAAATTGATGCACAGTTTTTTAACTGCAGGGTCACTGATGGATGCAAAAATTGTTTCAATCTGCCCACTGGTGGCAGAGAATCAGTATTGCGTCCCAGCATAGTCATCCAGTAATAATAATGGACTAATTGCACATTGCTTCAGTGAGGACTCACGACAGCTTTCCAACACAAGGGCTTGAACCTGGAGTGTCCAAAGCAAAGTTAATCCCCCTCCTCATGCTGCCACCCTGCTGCAGATGTTCCCGCTAAATGATAAAAACTGAAGTTTCCAAATTACTGATGTACATTAAATGCTTCATTGTAAATACCATTGTATGAAAGTAACCCACGATCAAAGCTAAACAGTGGAAATGTTGGCTCATCATTGAGTTGACTAGAAATGAGCACGGCTGGTGGTTTTATGCATCATTACTAGTCAAAGAAGTAAAAAGGAAAGTTCTGTCCCAGATGCACGTTTCTCATTGTTTGTTTTAGGCTACAATGGCTGCACCGGTTCTCCATGATCAAATCAAGTCAGGCATTATTTACATGACACATGGAGGCTCACAGTAACGCATAGTTTACCATATTTTTTAAAGTGGTTTCAGGCATTTTATAAGAGAATTGATAGGAGAGAGATGACAAGAAATGAGCAGGGAGAAAGAAAGAGAGATAGAAACTTAAGCAATAACTTTAACCTTCATGCCAAAAACAAGTACTTGAATTTGAGATAGAGGAGGAAATGTATCAAATGTCCCAGGCTGTTTGGCAGCCTGGGACGTTGCAGGACGTTGCACCTTAAACCCTAAGGCCACCAAGGCATTGGTAGTAAGCATGTGACAAAAAAGAAAATGTAATTTCTCTGAATTCCCCCATCAGGAGAATTCATCGACCGAGTTGCCAATCACTCACGAAGAGGTTGCTCTTAAATGATTTTCAAACACTCTTCTGCAGTGTTTGAATCTGCTGAATCTTGGTGTGTTATCCCAACAACTCGCCCGGCATCAGTAGGCAAAAATCTCACTTCTGTTATAATCTTATACAGCTTTACCAGAAGCAGCTGTGGAGTGATTTCTCTTATTTTATGTCTCTGGTTTTCCTAAATTTGATCTACATTAATATCATTCTGCTGATTCTGTGTAAACCTTCATTTGTTACAAAGACTGACATCATGCTTTCCCACATCACTTCCTTTCTGTGTCTCTGCGGCCCCTCCCCTGCCCTCCCCTCCCGGAGAGTTTTCCACAGGTCAATTACAATGTGTGTTTTTACTCAAACACTTATGCAATTTAAAATGACAGGTCATGTGTAATCCATGTGACATCGATAAGGTTTATTGTCATGTCAACATATTTTTCGTACCAACAGACTGAGATTATGCACTATACATAGTTTTGTAGCCGTTTTCATAAATGCGCAAGGTTTTTGTATCCAAATGTTTACAAGCTTATGTTGTTGGATGCAGCTGATTGTTGTGGCTGCTGCATTATGTCGGTTCTCAGTCATCTTCAATCTGATCCTTATTTCCATAGAATGACTGAGCTCATGACATCATAGGTCACTTCTTGGGCGCCTTGACTGAGATTAAATCAGATTAAGTATTAGTAAACACACACTGTCGCTGTCTCCCTCTCTCTCCCTCTCTCTCACACACACACACACACACACACACACACACACACACACACACACACACACACACACCCACAAAACTGAAGTCTGGTCTGGTCTGACATTAAAAATTGCAGACAAATTGAAGAAGGTTAAAATGTTAAGACTATTTTTTTAATTAGCCCAGAAATGTATAAAGGCATTAATGTTATTATCAACAATAAACTAGAGACTAAAATAGTTTTACGTTGCGATATCTTTACATGTAGCGTACATAAAAAATGCTATTTAAGTCATAAGCCATTTGTGTGACAGTTTTGTTATATGAAAAAAATGTTAATAGAAAGGTTGAAAGGTTTTTGAATAAATGAAGTCAGTCAGTCGGGATCAATAATCCACGCGTATTGAACAAATAAACTCTGATTTAATATCGATGAATCAGTCATTGTGATATGACAAGGTCACTCTGGCGGTCCAGAGAGGCGCGTGCAGTGTCCCACTGGGGACAGATATCGCAACGTGAGCGCGCTCATGCTCCACCTGAGGGCTCGTGGACAGATGACAGCACCGCCAGCACCGGACGGCTCGCGCACGGTTTCCAATCAGTTTTGTTTTATTCGTTTAAATTGAATTTATCAACCATTAAATTCGGTTAAAGACGGAAGTGAAAGTACATTTAGGTCGTCACACCACGCTGAATTAACGGGAGGAAAATGTCAGCAGAGGGTAAGTGCTGACTGCATTTCACTGCGCAGGAAGTTCTTTATCAACACTTTTGGTTAGAATATACTTTCAAGTTGAGTTCATCGAATCACTGCCGATTCAATTTTGCCTTCGTGGCCAGTGGATTGTCCGTAAACTACCTGTGAACTTTTAATTTCCAATAAAAAGCAGGTGAACTCAACACGCTTTTTAACCCCTGTAGCAGAACTGAAAGGCATCAGGCAGATGTTGCAGAACTGCACATCTGGGTTTTGGTTACACCAACCGCCCCGGTGATACTTACACAAGTGCTGTTTATGAATTTTGGTTTTAAGGGTTGTTATAGGCTCCAGGTTACTTTGCCTTGAATGTATTTTTTCACATAACAGCTTATCTAGGAGGGAGGTTGTCTATCAAAAATTCATTCAAAGTCATTTGAATGAAATCGTCATTCAAGTTGGAATATTATAGTTTTACATTCATTTCTGGCAAATTAATGTGTAGGTCTACTGTGCAGGAATAGAAAGATGTTACTATAGATGAACAGTGAGCAATGAAGCAGTGACAGAGTAAGTACTGAACAGATAAGGTTGTCCAGAGAGCTCTGTGTGCCCTGATGATTGAGACTTTAATCCTTTTTTGTTTTTGTGAGTTGTGAACTGATAGAAAACACAGCTGTATTTTGAAATAGGTTTTAAAATGACGTAATGCTTCTGGACAACTGACAAACACAGTGAGACAAACTGCTGTGAAACACATGTACAGTACACATGTATTGTGATTTTGAAAGTATGATTTTCTTTGCAAAATGTACAGTACAGCAGCTAGTTGCCTACACACAGGTAGATAGACAGGTTTCAAACATTTATTGCTGCCGTGTCAACACTGGTAGATAAATCAAGCAAGGCATGGGTCAGGGTTTTTCAGGGAGAAACATGGGTTAAAGAGGTCGGATTAAAATAAAAACAATTTCCCCACAGGGATCATTAAAGTTTTTCTGATTCTGATTATAAGATGACAGCAGTTTCTTCCCCAGCTGATTCTCTTTTAAAAGTTGCTCATGGTTCAATTTTGTACTCGATTTGTTCTGTAAAATGAGCCACAGTCAACTCAACATTTTTTTACGGTAACCATAATTCATAATAAGTTATTACAAAGCATCCAAGGGAGTTAGCAAGTTAACATAGCTAATGATGTTAAAGGGTACTCCAGCAGTGTAGTATTGCACATATATAAAGTTAGGTTACATGGGAATGACGGATTAAAAAAAACAAAAAACATGGTCAAAACTGATGAAACAGAGACCCAAGGTGTTTTATTTTTAAAACACCACTTTTTTTTTTTTTTCAACCTACAAAAATCCTGGATGCCACTTTCCCATAATACAACTTAATAGCATATTTTGCTGGACCCACTCTGCTTGGTTAAGGCCTACGTCATTCAAACGTCATGCCCCATTTTGTTTTTTGTTTTTAATTCCAGAAGCAGATTAAAACATAATTTTTTTCCCAGTCAAGCCACTTTAATTGAGGATTTTAAAAAGAGGCAGAATAAATGATACAACAGTATAATATGATATTGTGATATAGTATCAATACATCAATATTGCAATTCAACTGCAGCATGGCTGTGTACTTTTACTCCAGACAGTTTAACTGCTCTGATTTCTACATTCAGCATTTTTCCAATTCATGTCTGTTTGATATTACGACACAAGTGTATAACATCAAACTCTACAAAAGTGCCATCTTTTCATTTCCAAAAGGATATTAAATATGCATTTATAGAATAGTTTAGTCATGCACTCACTTTGGACACTGACAACGTCGTCATAAGCAGACATTCTGGGGGCCCCTGACACGTTGCTTTTTGTGCACATTTCAGATGCATGTGCTAGAGCAAAGAGCATCACTCTGTGCTGTTCATGGGTAGATAGGGCGAAAGCAGCTGATGCAGTCATGACATGCTGTGGACTTGCGCAGTGCTGTGTTGAGATCTTTGGTGACTGGTGAGCTTGCAGTAACTTGAAATTTGGATTTTTTTTTTTTTCTGTAAATTTACACAAACTAGAGAAATAGAAACCTGTGTACATTGTCATTCAATCCAATACAACAGTCAGGAAATGATTACTAGCTTTGGGAAGCTAAAAAATTGTTAATTGGATATGCTATGTCAGAGAAGTGTTACTTGAACTTCTTGGTCATTTTTAAGGCTAGGCTATATTTTGTGAGGGCATTAATAAAGACCTAATAAAGACAGTTCCCATGAAACTATATTTTACTTATTTACAAATGTTTTATTTTACAGAATAGGTATTAGGTAAAACAGTATAAATGAGATAAAATAGTATAATGTAATAATGGTAGGTGTAACTTTATCAGTCTCGATTGTGTACTTTTCAGTATCTTGAGTATTTTCTTAATTAGAAAAGAATTGTGCAGAGTTTTAACCAGCACATTCTAACTCGCACCATCTTAACTCCCCTGATTAACATTTGGTCGTCATCATACAATGACCTCGATCACTGCTCACAGCTGAGGAGCTGAGGGAGGGATGGCAGCGGAAAAGTTTCAATTAGATGGAATAAGGCCTGATGCCAAGATGACTCCACACTTGTGCTTATTATCAGATGTTTTCATGTGTGTATGGTGTGTGTGTGTGTGTGTCTGTGTGTGTGTGTGTGTGTGAACTTGTACTTCTATCTTCACGAGGACCAGTTTGAGTTATAGACCTTACAGAATGAGGACATTTTGGACCGGCTTCACAACTTGAAAGGCTGTGAAGGTTCAGATTTGGTTTTAAAGTTCAGGGTTAGAATTAGGTTTAGGTTAAGATAGAAGTACAAGTGTGCGTGTGTGTGTCACAGATGCTCACAAGTCATTTATAGCAAATCTAAGTCAAGTCTCAAGTCTCTAATGTTTGTAATGAGCTTTCTATCATCTGCTGCTCGTCGTCCATACTGCTTACAACACTGCACTATCATATCTAAGGAATTCAAAGCATGTACTGCATTATCATCACCGCTTCATCTATAAAGTTACACATGACAATAAGGGAGGGAATGACATTCAGCTCATCAGACATTTTCTTAATGTTAATACGCCAAAAATATAAAATGTAGAAAATGCTCTCAGTAGAGCGCAGGGCTTCGCCAAAACCAATGTCAAACAACATACAACAGGGAAGGAGCGGAAATAGAAATCAGCCCGGGACTTTTGACTTAGATTAGACCGCCAAAACCTATTTGGAGACACCATCACACAGGCTATGGCCTGTGTCACACTTAAGAAGAATCATGTAGTAAACAGAGGATAAATTGATTATGATGATTTGTCGAACAATACATGAAATAGAACAGGCACATTCAACTGTAGTTCCTTTTTTCACTATCCTCTGTATAAAGAAGGGTGCGAGATTACAGTTCAGACTGAACAGTACAGTAGTAAATACAACACCAGACATATTTTGATTTTAATGGTTTCCTTCCTCTCATTGGATTTTTCTGTAATTAAATTCTGTAGATCTGAGCTAATCACACAGACTTTGAGCAACCTCCTTGGTGGTAGTAATGAAATGAAGATTGTTCACGGGTCCCAAATCTCGAGTCTGAGTCGAGTCGAGTCAATTAAGGATGAGTCTCAAGTCAAGTCTCACGTCGTGTGTGTGTGGTGTGTGTGGGTATGATTTAGGCTACTTTTGGGGGTCAAATGTTAGACTAGAGACCAGTTAATTGGGGACGGCTTGTCTTAGATGGGGACAAAAGTTGTGTCCCCAGAAAAGTGACAAAAGTAAATGTGAGTGTGTGTGTTGTTCATTGATGACTTTCAAATGTCTGCTCACAATGTTTAACTAACTTGCTAACCAACTCTAACTGTACACAGTGCATGGTGTTCAAAATAATATGGGTCATTATGTCTAGACATACATTTTAAATGTGTTTATATGTTTGTGATTATTATAATTCTGACTAATGCACAAAAAACTAAATTCAGTGTGATGGATAACTTATTGTACTGCTGCATTTGTGAAAAAAAAGTTGTATAAAGCCTTTTTTTGGGAGGTCTAGAGGGAGCTGTGTGAAGTCTGATAAATTGTCTGATGATAATGAAGAAGATGATGATGATGTCACTAGAGTAGCGTCCACTGGGGCTGAAGATTATAAATTTGAAAATTGAACAAAAATCTGTGATTGTAGAATTAGAAAGAAGTGATAGTGTTATCGCATCTCTGTGACCTGCTCCTCATCTCTGCTTGAGGGTTGTAGCACAAGACCACATTAGCCACTACTAGCATAACAAACCTGGATATCCAGCTGTTGCTGATGGAATTGCACTGTGGGTGATACGCACCAGATCTGGGTCTGCTGCATCGCTTGTGATTTCTTTTACTTTTATGCTGGCCATCATGAGTGTGGAGTAGCTTACTCTTATATGCAAGTTGTTTCTGCAAGCTGATTTCGATAGTATACTACACTGAAACTAAAACTAAAACGTAAAAGAAAATACATACTTGTGAATGTGTTAAAAATATTAAGCAGCACCATCCGGAAAAGTCAAAATTTTTTGACGAAGTCCTTCATGTTAAATTTTAATGCCTTAGAGACATACTCAATCCTAGTGTCACCAAATATTTGTATTTTACTGATTACAACACAACACCCATTACTTTTTGGTGCTCTGGTGCCGCAACTTTCAGCCACAGTTGTTGCAACATATGAATGATGCCACCATATCAGCACTTCACTAGAACTCTATTGATCAGATAGGCTCAAATTAAAAGGTCACTGCAGTGTGGTAAAGTGTTCTTTTGCATTTGTTTGATATTTTTTACAGCTGTTGTAGTTGCTCCTTTGTGCTTATTAGACATGATTAAAATCTGTTTTGTGAGGTGAAGTGAATATAACTAAGCCTCAAGTATAAAAGACGAGTGAAATAGGCCTGAGACAGAGGGCTATGTGACACTGAGAGAGAGCGAGAGAGAGACCCAATCTGTGCCCTGGTTTCTAACATCCACTAATCAATAGCAAGTATTGATCCCTCCGTATTTGCATTGTGGCTACAGAACGTAGAGGTTCATTTAGGTTTTGTACACTGTGTTCACAATGTTAATTAAACTCCCCATCGTCCAATCATTAATCACCCATGAAACACATAACACAGCAGAATTACACTGTGCTGTGAATCTTCCTTTCTCAAATTGTTGTTTTTGGATCATAAGAGCAGGAAATAGGGCAGATCACATGTGACACAGGAGACAAAGAAAGAGACAGAGCAAAATGAAGAACATTCACATTTTCAGAGCCTTTGTCAATGACACTGAAATCATATTCCCTACAAACCTAATCTTTCCACATGACATCCTAATATGGTCAGATAATCTGGATAGAAAGAGGACAGGGGAGGTCCCATAGGGAGAAAGAATACATGGTGAGAGACCAACAAGGAGAGAAAGATATGTGGTGAAAGTGGATTATGAACGTGATTGTCAAAGCAGATGTTCTGCTGTATGAAGTTTTTCTGTTAATGTAGTTCTCAAAATAGTTGCTAATTCAAACCAGTGAGAGTTGTAAAACAATAAGACTGGCTTCAACATTGCTTTTGCCAATGAATGCTGCGCGCTCAGTGCTTTATTGCATTTGCTATGGTATCTTTAGCTGCTGCTGCTGCTAAGAGGCTGAACATTGATAGAAGAGGAATCATTTACTTGGCATAAGATTTTGGTTTATGCCGATGATGTAATTTAATTTATTTAGATTCTCATAAGAAATTAAATCCGTATTAGTAGAGTTTATTGTGATTATGGTATTTTTGGGGTGTAAAATATACAACAGTAAAGCTATGGTCCTTAATAGATCACATGAATTAAATTCCACTAAAATGTCTTATAGATTGCTTCAAGGCTGCAAGTCAAGTCACATTTTATTTATAGCCAAATATCACAAAACACAAATTTGCGCCAAGGGTTTTAACAATCTGTACAGCATTTGACACCCTCTGTCCTTAGGCCCTCAATCAATTAATCTTTGGATGAACTTCTGAATTAATCAATATATTGCTGGTTTTATAAAGCATCAGAAAACTTGAGATGTCATCAAATTTCTTGCCAATTATTTTCCTGTTGATTGACTAGCCAATTAATTGACTAATCATTGCATCTGTAGAATGGTTTATTACTGACCTTTGCTCTATGTGGTTTATTGTGAATTTCGATGAATAATCTTATATGGAAAAGGATACTAAATCACATATAAAATAAACAATGTCCAGTTCAGTGAACTATTGTCCACTGTTATGCATTCAAACTCTTCACACAATATGGATAACCACTGTGTAATCTAATATCAGAGGCGGGTGTTTGCTGCAAGAAATCTGTTTGGCTGAAGGACCCACAAACTTTAGTCCCATCACATCTTCCAGCCTTCGTTATATAAGGAAGGACTGTGGATCAGATGCTGCTCTGGGGGACCTGATAGTGTGAAGCAACAACTTCGCACTGACAATTTTCCCACACGTGTTCTTATATGTGGAGTCGTTTGAGATATTTGCCACCTCACCATGATAAGGTTAGGCAACGCAAGGACACACGGACGCTCACATTGCCTATATACACTCACACAAATGCACACACACACTTCCCTCATCACCTACTCTAGCTACTGTCGTCAGTTGTCCAGCAACACCTCAACCCATTGACTGAGATAGCAGACCTGAGAGCTTGTTCATTTGGTAGTGTTGGCAGGAGCTACAGTAGAGGCACCAAGGTCAGGGCTGCCTCCTCACACATTTGTTCATTAACTGAGCATTAAGCAGCACAAGCCTAGCAGAATCTGTCTTTACCATTTTTAGTACCTTAAACAACTATATCGTTCAGTCTGAGTTCCAGTGTCGATCCAACATTAAATCCATCCACTTAATAAGCTACCTTTATAATTTTTCACTCATTTTTACAACGTTACTACATTTAGCAGTGTAATAAAAGCCTTTGTAGTTATTTTGTTTGCATTTTGTTTGCATTGTCATGCATTATAGACGAATACGTTAAATCCTGATTTTCATTTCTTTCACCTTTATGGTATTTGTATAATGGTGAAGCTACAATAGTGATTGCACTGGCCAAAAGTATGCACTACATTGTTTATTTATTCATCCATGTGGATCATTTGGATATGTCTCAGATTCTAGTGAAAGTATTGATTGTTGTAAGGTGAATATTATATTTGTCTATAGGTCTGCAGAAATTGGGGGCAACATTTGTTAGATAAGGTGACTTATACTGCTTTTGTCCTCAAATCCTGTGCATGTCATAACATATCCTACCTGTATGTGTTTATACATATTCTTACCATTTTCTATAAAAGTGTGGCTCTTATGTAAATCCTCCCCGGATTAGCAAAACCATTGGTGAGATTACCGGAGTCACGAGCACAGCTGTAATCCACAGCATATCGCCATCTCCACAGCAAGACACCACCTACTACCTCTTCACCCCAAAACAACCCAGAGTCCCAGTTTATTCCAGTCTGTCTGAGCTACAATTCCCAGTCTCACCCCCCTCCCCTTAACTATTTCAGTCTATTGGCTTTAATCCACTGTTTATCAAAGATTACTCACCCTGTACCACTTGGTATCCTTCATCAGGGGCTTTTTCAAATTAGATAACCTATTTTTTGATTCAATTGTTCTCCCTTTAAAGTTCTATAAATACCCTCTTTGTAGCCATTAAAACATTTTTTGAATTATGTAATATGAATATTAGCTGCACTCACTCCAGACTGGCCAATGCTCTGTGCAAGATATTTATCATTTCAATGGTGTATATTCTGATACTGATTTGTAGTTCAGTTCTAAATGTATATACATTTTCAGAAGATACGAATGGTAAGTGACAGAACTGTTTCTCTCCGTTTCTCTTCACAGGCTCCATGATTGCACGGGTTCATCTCAGTGTTTCGCCTTTAGAGAGGTTGGTTCTTCAGGTTGAGGCTGTTTATGGGAAAACCTCCACCAATATTTGAGTGAAATCCAGTAACAATCAAAATACTGGAGCCAAAGAGCCGAACAACTAATGGTAGGTTTCAGATCTCCATCCATTTAGTTATTTGTCATATACAGCATACTTTAGATTTGAACTGATATAAAATATGAATAGATGCATTAATGTGAAAACAGAATGGTTTTATTTGTGATAGCATTGAACAAGCTACCTTATGTTTAATATTCATTCTCTATTTGTTTGTGCTCATTTTTTTTTTCAAGACTTGCAGTGCATTAGACAAGAAGGCCATGAAACAAGAATACTAAACAGACACCAACAACTCTGCAAAGGGAACGGAGCAACCAGCAAACTCTTTTATTGTCTTCTCCTGTGTGGTTCTTCCCCCCAAAATCATCAAAGCTGAGTGCTTTTACTGAACATGTGTCAGAAAGGAAGGTCCACACACACGTGAAGATGAACCCATATGTCACTTCCCACTTCAGGAGGGATCTCTTTCCCCATTTCCATTTGTTGTAGACTTTTGACTACCCTTCTGTTACTGGTTGACTGAAATGGCTTCTTCCATATTTGTACAGTTATAGCAATAGCTCTTGTTGAATGTTTTTCAGTTGTGTTTGTACTTGCAACAGTTGAGGATTACGGTTGAGGAGTTGATTCTGTCCACTGTCCCAAAGAGACTGGATGTGGATACTTTGTCATGATTCAGTAGTAGAGTTTTCTGGAAATGGTTGGGCAAGGTAAACACTAACAAGCATATCTTTTCATTGCCAGATGTATTTGGACGTCTCTTTTGCTTAATTTAAAAACTATGAGTTTTTATGCATTATTTCTATATATTATGAAATTCTGCATGCTCATGCATGTTTTTTAGTAGTTTATGGTGCACTCTTGCATGTCCTTAGTAGCACATTGCATCTGCATATGATAATCATCTCTGTTGTTTGCAGAAACTCTCTCTGATGTTCAGGTAGCCTTTTGGTGATATGATTCAGGGATGCTGAGTAAGAGATTACAATCCACAAACCCAGTTACGCTGTCAGCCACCTTAGTTCTCAGCTCCTCTCCTTCTGTGGCATACACCTGATCTACTAACCTTGGCACCAGACCTCCAGAAAAATGTAGAAAACTTCCTCAGGTGACCTGTGTACTTACCTTTTTTCCTCCATATTAATCTTCCACTTAAATCTAGAATCACAAGCAATGTCGGAGATAGATCAAAGTAATCTCTCTCTGTTGTTTTCTTCTCTTCTTCTTATCTTTTGTCAGGCATAGGTGAATTCTCAGCCGTAATGCTGAGCTGTAATGAGGTATGTTCTGTCCTGAGAGATTAACTGTTGCAGATGATTGCTAACAGCCCTGTAGTTCAGGTCAATAATATCCATGCAACAGTAAGGACCCAAAGCAAGTCTTCACCAAATTGACAATGGCCATCAAACATAAATACAGACCCTTAGAAAGGAAATGTGAAATTGTTAAAGCAGTGACATGACTGAACAGGAAATGGCAAACAAATGTTTTTCAGTTGGGCCCCTCTTGCTGGGAAAAAGTGACATTTCCTTGACTTGGGAAGACAAGCTTATTGAATTGCTGCATTATATTAAGCGCTTTATCCAAGATGTATTGGCACTGAATTATGATGATGAATAATGTCTGTAAGCATTTAATTTTCTGAAAGTGCTGTATTCTTTATTTCCTCATGCCCATACCAAGGGGTTGTGAAACTGGGAAGAACTTTGATCGTAAGAATTGGCATGTTTTCTTTTCTTTTCTTTTTTTTGTGCTTTTTTGACTGCATGTTGGAAATGATATCATATCATCCTATTGGAAGTTAATGCCTAAAATTATGCCTAATCTGCATCTTGTCCAAATGTTATGAAATGTACCCTGTAATGAGCTGTAAATCCTTAATGTCTTCATCTCCATCCTCTTACTCCACCGCATTATCAGTTTACAGCTTTTATCAGTTCATGCCTGCTCAAGGCTTCCCTTTTATTGTTTTGAACTGAACTGAACCTATCCAGCATGCTCCTGTGATGTCTGTTGAGGTGAACCCAGCCCACTACTCCTTGTCAAACCAATTCTTGCAAATTGAGGGTTACAGAAAAAGATTCCTTCCTATTGCTGACATCCTTCATTTCAGCTCAGCTCACTTTATTTCCTTCAGTGAGTATGATTTAACTGGTTTGTAACTGGATCCACCTGTGGACCTACTTCAAGAAAGCCCACTTTGTTGAGGGATCTATCACTGAAAGGATAGACTATACTGAGAAAAAGCATTACAGTTTGCGGAAAGGATACTGACACAAGTGACTGATTAGTGTCGTTGGAGGGAACTATTCTCTGGGTTATCATTGACCACTATGGACCTACAAATATCTCTTCATTAAGAAGGCCTGAAAGACTGACTGTTGTCAGTCACCATACTTAACTTCCCTGACTTTATCGAGCTGCTTAGTTACCACATCAACATTCAAATCAAGGTTCACTAAGAAATACTGAGAAACTGAACTTCTCTATAACAGAGAGGAGACTTTATAGTACATGATGGGAGCGGCACGTGTGAAACGCCGCTTCAGTGCTGTGGTGGATGGGCCAGTGGAGGAAGAGGAGGTCATGAGGCTAGCACAGAGTGCTGCAGATACGGCTCGGGCAGGGGGGAGCCCAGTGGGGTCAGTGACCCCAACCAGCCCCTCCCCGACCCATGCCCTCAACGGCAAAGCGCTACCTCTTCAGAGCAACACCAACAATGCACGGAGGCAGAGTGCCATTGGAGAGTCATTTGGGGGAGATTCAGGAGGAGAAGGCGGGGTGAGAGCAGGAGGAAAGTGCTCAGGGTTAAGGAGTGGAAGAGGCAGTGGTGGAGGAGGAAGAGGTGAAGGCCGTTCATCCTCGGACCCAGATTCACTCTCTTCCCCCTCCACTACCAGCCGCCGGCGCACCAGGCGCTCAAGCCGCTGGCCCCGACAACGCTTTGTGGGCAAGGACGGACGCTGCAACGTCACCTTCGTCAACATGAGTGAGAGGGGCCAGCGGTACCTCAGTGACCTCTTCACCACCTGTGTGGACATCCGCTGGCGCTGGATGCTGGTCATCTTCACCCTCTCCTTCCTTCTCTCCTGGCTGCTCTTTGGATTTGCCTTCTGGCTCATTGCCTCCGCACATGGGGACCTCTCCATTCGGCTTACCCCCAGCTCAGGTTCCTCTCCGGGATCAGGAGAGGCCGGTTCTGGAGGAGAGTCTGATAGAGAGGCAGTTGTTGAGGAGCCATGCTTCCTCCAGGTGAACAGCTTCATGGCGGCCTTTCTATTCTCCTTGGAGACGCAGACATCCATCGGTTACGGATTCAGAAGCGTGACCGAAGAATGCCCCCTGGCGGTGGTGGCGGTCGTTTTGCAGTGCATTGTGGGCTGCATTATTGACGCCTTCATCATCGGGGCAGTCATGGCAAAGATTGCCAAGCCCAAGAAGCGCAACGAAACACTAGTGTTTTCTGAAACAGCTGTGGTGGCACTAAGGGATGGGAAACTCTGCATGATGTGGAGGGTTGGAAACCTACGCAAGAGCCACCTGGTAGAGGCACATGTCAGAGCACAACTATTAAAGGTAAGTGGAGGGAAGATGTATAATGACCACAATGAAAAGAGGAAAGAGGTCAGAAAGTATGGCAATGATAAAAGAGACGAGGGTTATTTTTGTAAGGAAAGGGTCAAAGAAGTAATTTGGTGAGGTTAAAATAGTCAGGGAAAAGTATGAAAATAAAAAAGCACCAAAAAATAGAGGTTGTGACTGTGAGAGATAGCGGTAGTGGAAAAAAGGTTGCAGCAGAGAGAAAGAGAGAGCGCTGAGACCATCTGGCCTGTATTCTGTGGACCGTAGTTAATGAGAGCTTGTTTTATTTTCCCTCTGGGGTTAGGAAGATTTACCATGGATTAACTTGCCCACAATTCTTTAACTAAGAACTATTGTCCTTTGTCATCTCATTTTCCCTTGTGTGTACTGTATCTATGTGGGTTAGGTGATTGTACTGTATGTATACTTTTGTTTACCCTACTGTTTGATCCAATGTGGGTAGTTTTCAACATGTTTCTTTGAGGGTAATGTTTTGTCATCATCATCATCATCGCTGTGTCTGTATATGTGTGTGTGCTGCCAGAGTTGTCCGCAGGGTCAAAATCTGTAACACTGAGGCTAAAGCATAGACAATTTGATATCTCTTAATAGCATGACCATATCAAAGTTCAGACAGGGCAGATGGGATTAAGTTTGCAAGGATCAAAGAAATACAATTCTAAATGCGGGAACTGGATATTGTTCTATAGTAAGGGTTGGGTGAGTATAAGCAATGTAATACCACCAATGCATAAGCCTGTGTATTGATGGTATGACTGAAGACTCACATTGTCAAATTTAACTGGATATAAACCAAATTCTAAGCTTTTGGGTTAGGGTAAGAACTTTTAATTTCCAATGCTTTCCTCTGATGACCTTAGGAAATGATGTTAATTGTATTTAAAATGTTCATATACATTATGGCTTTAGAGGTGACAGAACACATCTTCTTTATACCATGGTTTTCCATTTTGTTGCCAGAATTACAGCTTAATTTTATTCATTTTTATGGCCCATTGTACTCGACCATGTCCAGCCTGCCTTTTGCTTTTGTTTGTTTCATATTGGAAATCGTTTCTGGTCTCCATTTGATATTTTCCCACATGTGAAAATCAATTTGCAACATCTGATGTGGAAAGTTTTATGTACCAAATAGTGACTTTGTTTTACTTTCTTTTCCCAACCTGCTCTTAGCCAAGGGTGACACCAGAGGGAGAGTTCCTCCCACTGGACAACATGGACATCAACGTGGGTTTTGACACTGGCACTGACCGCATCTTCTTGGTCTCACCTGTTACAATTGTTCATGAGATTAATGATGAGTCGCCCTTCTTTGAGATGGACCGAAAGACTCTGGAGAGTGACTCTGAGTTGGAGGTAGTGGTCATACTTGAGGGAATGGTGGAGGCCACAGCCATGACCACACAGTGCCGTAGCTCCTATCTGGCTTCCGAAATCCTCTGGGGACACCGCTTTGAACCAGTGCTCTTCGAGAGGAAAGACTGCTACCAGGTGAGAGAGGAAAGACAGAGATATACATGAAGGATATAGAACATTCCCTTCCCTTATGCTAAGTCTGAAATTAAGTATTCGTTACTTCACTATAGTTGGGAGGGGTGTATGTTAAGTGTGTAAGTGTTTTTGGCCACATTTGAAGCATGGCCCTAGTGATTGCAATGTTCTTTGATGAATCCACCACTTTGGTCCAAAATGAGACATTAATGATTTCCAGATGATGTATCCTTATTACCACTTCACTTGTCCTCTAGCGCCACCATCAGGTTAAAATTTCTATTTATCCAGTACTTTGGTTTATGCCCAAACACCGATTATTGTGATGGTGATGTTAGCATTTAGCTCAAAGCACCACTCTACTCAAATGCAATCTCACAGAGCCACTAGCTTAGCTATAGATTCTTTGTCTTGTTACCATTCAAATAAAACGTGTATTGAAAAATGTTTGTGTTCTACCCTTTTTCCAGGTGGACTACTCGTTCTTCCATCGGACGTATGAAATTCCTAACACACCGTCATGCAGCGCTAAAGAGCTGGCCGAGCAAAAATACATTCAAAGCTCTCGCGCGTCATTTTGCTATGAGAATGAAGTGGCTCTGCAACTTGTCTCCCCTGATGATGAGCCTGACCGAGACCCTGAGTGTCCCTCCCCACTGACCCAAAGGCCATCTCTGGCGGAACATCTCCACTACAATTGAACTTGATGGACAGCAGGCCTCAAGGGAAAAGAGACAGGACGATGACCCTGGACTTTAGAGGAAGTACAGGCAAAAAGAGAGGCTTAGACTGTTAGGAATGAGCAAACCAAGAGAGGCAGGATTAAAAGTAGATAAGGCCATGCTTTTGTCAGTGTCAGGATTGTTTACAGTGATTAGACAGGGAAGAAAGCCTTGAGTAGGAACAGGTTAAGACATCCATTTGCAAGATTTACATCCGTACTATCATACAGATTAGAAGATTTTTCAGAGAAATAGAAAGGAAATGGACAGATAGATAAAGAATATAAAGTTTACAGTCAGTCTATTAGGGAAATAAGTTACTACACTGACCTAGTTGTCTGATTGGCCCTGGCAATCTGTCATAATCATTGAAAACTCGTCTGCTAAGTCTCACATCTGGCCCATCACTATCACAGCACACTCATCTGGTTCTAATCCCTGACTCACATGGTGTGCAACAGCACCCTATGGTGGCTCTAACCTGCAACGGCACCTCCATTTTTGTGATCCTGGATAAAATTTTGACCTCTAATTTAGGTGGCTTCTGTAAGCGATAAATGGTAGTGTACTTACTACTCAGGAATGTACTCCAATATGATGCTGACTTATCACTTTCATGTTTTATTTTCTTATGGTAAGTATGGACAGTGCACATTTTGTGATACTTTGACCTTGAGGGGCTGTTGAGAATGTAATTCAGTATTAGGCTAGGCTACTTGTAGAGCCAAAGTGAGCAACAGTAACATGGAGAAACAGCTGAAAACTAGCAGCGGCTTTGAGCAGTTTCTTTCCCATGTGATGTACTGTATGTTGTTTATTTTTTGGCTTTTTTCTATGTGTCATGAAAACAATGTTCTTTGATTGTAACATTTGCTTTATTTAATCTACCATTTGTGTTGAGTTGAATGCCAGTAGGTCAGAGGAAGCATTGTAGTGTTAGTCATCTTCACTGCAGTGGTACACAATGACAGATTATGTTGGGTGTGTCCATACCAGTTTACCACCATACATTCTTTCTTGCACTACTATATACAGTATCTTTTCATGTTCTCTTTTGCTAAAATCAACCACACTGTATTGTTTTGCTCTGTTAGTAAATTGGGACTGTGCTATGACATTATAATGTTTTAAGTGTCTTGGCACTTGGATGACCTTTGATGTTTCAGACTGGCAAAAGGAACTGCTCTCACTGACTGTAAATACACCGGAGGCCTGCAGCCACCGCCAACATCACTAGAACAGTACCAAGTTAAACTGAGTGGATGAAGTGTTAAGATGAAGGTAATGACTTTGTTGCTGCATCTCTGAGAGTAAAGCAACTGTCCACCATCTGCACAAACTGATGAGGATCAAACTGGAAATTAGATGACATTCATAGAAAATTGTTCTATATTTTTGTGCCCATAAAATCGTGTGACACCCTCCTAAATCTAATGTGGTACTGTTGGTTTCTCTCACAAAATGTGAGAACAGTGTAGTGGGTGGTGCCTTCATAACGAACTACAGATTTTGCAACTGGACCTTCATCTGTAGCAATTAATTTCATGTTTAAAATGTGCTTAAAGCTTATTTTTATTGTATGTATTTGCATTATGCTATTCTTGCAAGAGTGTTTTTGCAATCACCTTAACATTCGTAGTATGTTGTTCTAAGTAGACAAAATGTCTATGCAAATAATTACTGTGAATCTGCTCAATGATTGAGTAGTATATAACCATGCACTGATAACAGATAGATGCTTTTAGCTGAATTATAAGGTAGACTATGTGATAGTTGCAATTGTAGGTGTATTACAGAGCACCTGAAGTGTTCTCGTTTATTTTAGATCATGTAATCATTTCCCGTAAATTATACCACCTGAGTATTTGATTACAGAAGGTGTTGTAGGAGAATTAGGGAGTGTAAGGAATGCACCTTTATATTAAGTGTTGACCAATAATCAGCCTGTCCAATGCACAGCCTGGGAACTTGTTTTTTGTACTTTGCACTAAAGTAATATATGGAAACTAATATCACTGATGAAGCTCTAAAACAGCACAGTAGTGTTGCTGGATAAACACAGGTTAACCTCAATGCATCAGTCACAGTGTTTCACTTGAGTTATTGAAAAGATACTCTGTGGTAACCTCAGGGGGTTGAGGGATTGATGACATATTATCCGTTACAATTAATGTTAATGCTGTTCTGTGTTTGTGTCTTCACTTACACTTCTCCTTTATGGCTACCATGTTCTATTTATAGGCTGCACGGTGGGTCATGTTGTTCACCCTGCCTCCACTTCCATGAAATGTAACTTGAACTTATAGCACCATCACTTTAACTACGATAGCGCTTTTAAACACCCCAGAAAGAAATAGACAGTTGGATTATTTAGTATTTTCACTGGTTGCTTAGGGTTCACTACTCACAGTAAACATACATTTTTTAAATCATAAGTATTTATAATATACATTGTGTAAAATACATGGTAAACTGTAATACTACATACATTTTTAATAAATTAGTGAGATGAAACCAATAAAAGCTGTAGCTACCTTTCCTTGGTTATTTTTCTAAAGTAAAGGGAAACCTCTCTGCTCGTATGTTGAAATGTAATTTCAGAGCTGCCTCAGGCGCAGAGCACTTCCAAGTGAAAATGAACTGTGTTGTAGAGCAAATAAAACAGGGACTGAATTGCAATTATTGGTTGATTCTTTATTTATCCACTTTGTAGCTCTCCTTGCAGCTCATGCTGCAAGTCTATAAGACTCTTATAGATGCAAAACAAAAATCTTGTTTTGTCACAGAAGGAAGTGCAAGAAATGTTTGTGTTTTCTACATTTTCCCTGATAGTCCTGTCTGTCAGAGTAGAGACTGGACCTAAACTAAACAATTCATTTATTTCTTATAGGAGCACATGGAAGAATGTTAAAACCTTATGATGTACCAAAATTATGTACAAAATTAACGTTGGCAGTTAAAGGATTAAAATAAAGTATAATAGTTTTGATTTATTCTTATAGTCTAAATAACATGTACGTTTCTGCAGTATGTGGTTAATTAGTTTATATCTAGTGAAACAAATTCCAGTGACTGGCCATTAAACCTTAACACTGCTGATAAATGATAAAAAATAAACAGCTGATAAAAAATAAACACCCCTTCTGAAAATAACTACAACACTATAACATTTACAACTGTAGAAAAAACACAGGAGACAACAAGTAGCCCAGCGTTCAATGGCAAGTGGTAATTCAAAATTAAGTGAGGAATAGCCTACACAGCTAAATCCTCTAGCGATACGAAAATTTCAATTGTTTATTTATTCATGGTTTATTTTACCCCCCCCCTCTCTTTCTCTCTCTCTAAGTGGCCCTCTACTTGTGACACGCTGAAAAGGACAAATATCTATTAATTGTAATTTTATTGTAAAAGAAATTGTAGCCTAAGATGTCTGTAATAGGATTATGGTCACAATTACCAATATTAGACACTTACAATACTGCTAAAAGTAAGCTATGGTTTTCTGACAAAATAATGATAATAATTCATTTTACAGCTGGCTTCATGTGGTGTTTTCAACCGCATCTCACTCTCCTCAGGAGCGGATTGGAGTTCACTTTATGATACATACGATACATTTTTCTATGTAGGATATTATATGGGCTAAATGAACATTTCAGAAGTTTTATCGATGACTGCTGTGATGTTTACACCGGTGTAAATACGTATCACTTGCCCCGGAACCCTGGTACCTCGGCTACCAGGGTTCAGTCGGATTTTCTGGGATGATCTGAATCACGCGCCTGGAGTCAGATCATTCCAAGTAAACCGTAGGTTGTGTCTGGACGGGGATTCGAGCAAATCCGATCCCAGATCAGTGTCTGCGGGCACTCGCTGCAACAGAAGTGGTAAACAAAGGGCGCGCAAATTTCCCTACTCTAGCGCGAGAGTGCCGCACAGCCACCTGCTGCAGCACTCCTATTGGCTGTATGACACGTCAGTCACAGTTGGCCCCGCCTCTTATCCGTTAGCATTGGTTAATGGCGGAGATTTCTGCGCTGCCGACAACACCATTCGTCGCCGCTCCTGTTTCATGCCAGCTGTGGGGCGGAAAGCTCCCGTCGTATTCATGAGGCGGGTCTACTGCTCGGTTGTAGATTTTGATTGGAGTCGTTCCTCACTGAGGCTTGTCTTGGAGCCGTCTCCTCGTATCCGGTTGGTCCTCTGGCAGGAAGCGCTTCTCCGGGGCTGAAGCCGTCGCCGTGCCCTCACTGCTCTCCGTCTGTTTTATTCTCAGTGTGTGCGGCTTCACTGAGAGAGCGGTGCAATGATAAAAGCCGCATATGCGGTAGCCTATACACCTATCAGGGAGCAAAATACCCAAGAAACAGCCTCATCCCGGTTCTCCTCGCACCACAGCCTTATCCACGACTCAGAGCGGAACCTGAAGGTGAGAGATTTAATTGCCTTTACCCTAATCCAACTCGTAAATAGCCGGTGTAATATCCTAAACGTATCATATTTCAGTGGAGCAGGCTAACCTCGCTTGGTTAGTCTAAATGCGGTGGGATAACGCCTAAAAAATGAAAGATTGGTGGGACTAGTGGCGTTTATGTTAGCTTGATCGTTATGAACGCCTTCGAAGAGAGGCTTACATCGAGATGACCTGAAGTCTGACCAAGGAAAACTGTTTGTTCAAGGACCATATTATAAAGGATTTCGACCCATATAATTATAAGGTATACGCCTACTGTGAGCCTAGTGTATATTAGCCTTTATAGTAATGATAATAAAACCTACCCATTAATTCCAGTGAAAATTGCTTGGTTTTGTGGCTGCCACATGTCTGCAGTTCACATAGTCAATTAAAGGCTGGGGCCCATGTGATTGTTCATGTCTTATGTTCAAGGTGTGGTTGGCTTCGTCAGTGTTTGTGCTGGAGCTACAGTCTTAAAATGCAGGTAATTTATAGGGGTCACGCCGCAGCTGTACTGCTCTGCAGCCGCACTGTAATTGTTATAGCCAGTGGCTTAATATTGTCACCTCTCCTTACTGTCTGCTAATGTGCGCAGATGTCACAATATCATCACCGATGCAATGCCACTTCGCATCAAAGCTGAAGAAAAAGGCGTTTCCAGCTTCCCCTGTCCGCTTCACACACGCACCACAATCAAGCGTAGGCACCCACTCATTAATCACACACACACACACACACACACACACACACACACACACACACACACACACACACACACACACAGCACAGGACCCCCCGCAGTGAATGACCTCAGTTGAAACTCAGAAGGTATTGTCTGTGGGCTGCTGCTGAGTGTTCAGGGTGTTGCTATGGAGGAGAGCAGTCTGATTTTGGCAACTCCAGCTGCTGCAGGACGAGTTTGCTGGTCAGTCCAGGCTGTACTGCGACAACCTGTGAGGTCTCTGTGTATGAGTGTGAGTGTGTGCGTTAAGATTTTGCTTTAGGGGAATCGTTGGCATCGATGGGACTCCGCAGCACCATACACTGCAACTATAAGATTGATGAGCAGAGACCTCATCTACAATCATTGTCGAAGATGATTTGAAGTGAGAAACTGTATTGAGTTGTCTGCATCTCATATGCTAATTGGACAGAGAATTGGTCATATATTACTACTATAGGACAAGGCTGGCAATATTCTTTATTTTTCTTATTGTCATCAAATGCCATAAAAAGATGAAAACAAATAATGAATTAATCATACTAAGCCTGATAAAGCTTGTTCACCAGTGCCATGGACCTTCACTTTGTCCAAAATCTATTAAAACACATCAGTGAGCCACACTGTTACACTGGGTTCCTTCATTACCATGAGCAGGGGCACTATAGATTATTCTCATGTCCCAAATACACTTTCCTGGTGCGGTAAATGCTCACAAGAGCAACAAATGAATCTGTGACAAAGATGGTCTCAAACAAATGCAGTAATTACCCCTGTTTAAGTAGCATTTGCTAAAAGTTACAGTGCCCAGCTGTTTGTGAAAATTTCTGGCCAAAACTAGACATTTGTGACCCGTTTTTAATGATTTACATCTTCAGAACCAGCAGGGTTGGGGCTGAGTGCCACAGACAGGGTAGGGAAGTTGGAAGTTTTTGAGAGTAGGACCAGCTCGTTGTTGGTTTTGGTTTCTTTGTGGGATTTGTTTTCCATGAGAAAGATATAAATTTATATTGAGACACCAGCCTTTAAAAACAGATTCACAGCTGTTGTATGCCACCAAGGGATCGCATATTTTCCATACTGACTGGCTGGGTGGTGCGACTTCTTTTGTCAACATGTTTACACACCCAGAATCATATTGGAGTAACAAGTATGGTAACGGCAGGGTTGGGGACTGGGACTTGTCATGAGCAGACAGAGAGGAAAAAACTGAGACTGAGACGCATAGCAGGGATCAGGACAGATGACATACCTGCTGAGGCATGAAGACGCCTAATAGTTAACAAACACACACCATACAAGCCGGTACAATAGCTTACCTGTCTGTTCAAAGTTGACAGTTGACATGCTTGTTTCATACCTTTTAGTTACTTGAGAAGACCTTGAGTCAGCTCATTCCTCTATAAAGCCTAATTTACATCATCATTAAAATTTAGTCTCAGATATGTGAAGATACAGAAGCCCTTTGCTTTACTACCAATAATGAAATCTTATGTCATCAATGAAATTTTCAAATGTCTGATTTTGGAATCATGGATCATTTGGGTCACATTTTTAATCAATTACTGTGCGATAAATCCATGTAAAGATTCTATTCAGCAGCTTTGTGAATGTCAATGGTCCTGTGCTAATGTTGTCTCATATGGGAGTTAATACCAGTTTCCGACCTTTTTAAATACTGTTCACGTCATCATCCAAGATGTAATTTTGACATGGATTTTTTTGAAACCGTTGATATACAGTATCACTCATGCCGCTAAATAATGTGAACGTGCCTGAGAAAGCAAAAAAAAGATAAAGTTGGATAGATGATAAAGTCTTGGATGGATAAATTCTTGTATTGTCCATACACAGTTTTTTTCCCCTTCCCATCTTCCTATACAACAAACTGCAGGGGCTGTCTGATGGTGAGAACGCTTGCATGTCATAAACAATGATGTGAATCCCGTGTAACATTCAGTGGGTCATAATCTACCGCCCTGACCCAGTGCTAATGCTGTGTGAACCAGTCATCAGTGACAGTCACTTTTAAATGGTCAGTATGGAACATCCTGTGCAGGGCAGCAGCCACTCCATCTGCAGCAAAGTCATCCTTACTGCTGTCAATGGACAGTGTTATAGTCACGAGTTCTCCCTCTCTCTCCAATAAGGGAACTTTTCTCACAGAATTACTGCTGGACATGATTTTTTGGTTGGCAGAGCAAATCTAGAAACATCCTGTTGCAGTATTACTGTCACTCTGACTGAAGATTGCTTCGTGTTTTAGAGTGGTGACAACTTCTGGCTCCAGTCACCTCCTCTCTCACATGATACCAGCCCCTGAGGCGAATTGACATTTTGGCCCCACTGTGTGCATGAGTCCTCAGTAGAGGGCCTCACTGGAGTTTTATCTCTGCTGAGTCCAGTGGCCTGTACTACAAGGCTGCTTCATTTTCTTTGAGTTAACAACAGATTCAGCCCAGTATGATCCTTTCTCCCCACTCCCATCCCACCCTTTTCCTTCTTCCTCGCCATCCCTCCCCCTCTCACTGTCATGTCAGTTTACTCAGTCGATTGATGTATCTCGCTGCCCCTCCACCCCTCCACCCACCAATCCACCAATGTCTCTGCCTTTCTTCCATCCCTGTCTTCTCCTTGATTTGCTGTGTCTTTGAATTAGGCCATCCCTGGCCCAATCTCAACTGGATGTGGCCTTCATGCTACTTGCGTGCTACTACTGCTCTTTCTATATGTGTGGGTGGGACCAATGAAGTGTGTGTCTGTAATGCCTTGACACAGAATCACATCAGTGTCACTGTCTGACAGTCCTTTACATCATCCACGGTGCTCCAGTTTTCAGCCTCCCCCAAGAGAGTAGAAATAGAGAGAAATCACTCGACACATACTAACTTTTTATTGTCCCTCTTTTTTTTTTGTCTCCTCTCCCAGTGCCAGTAGTACCATGTCCAGGCCAACGGGGGGCGGTGTCAACGATGTCACCCGCTTCCTGTCATCGGGGGCGGCGCCAGGGTCTCCCACGTCCAACTCCATGTTCTCTGCCGCCAGCCAGGCCGACTGGGCGGCCAAGAGGCTGGTGTGGGTGCCATCAGAGAAGCATGGCTTTGAGGTAAGCTGGTGTTGTCCACTCAGAAGAGAAGTGGATGACCCTTGGGCTTTTGTTCCCAACAAGTACCAACATCTACTTGAGGACACAGTGGATGTAAAGAGGTTAAACAAGTTGAATTTCAGGGTTAAATGTGGTTTATTTTTTCAACTTGTTTTCACATTTCTTTTTCTCACTTTCTTGCTATTAAGCCTCTGGTAAATTATTAGCCGCAAGTATGTGCCTTCCACTGGAGGTGTGTCAAAAGGGTGGGGCAAAGCAGTACAGGGTGTGTATGTCTATATGTGTATGTTATCATTTTTTTATCCCCATGACAGATCCCTATTTTTATGCTTATCTTCCTCCTTTGATATGCCTTGTGATGCTTTTTTACACATTTAGACTTAATGACTATCACAAGGCCTTTGTCCTAATATTAATAAGTTCCACTTTCCCTTGTATAATGCACATTACAAGTTTTCATTAGTGCATACTGTAGGATGTGACATATGAATTCAATGTCCTATCTCTGAGTCTCCCTCTCTCTGCTGGACTGGTTTCATAGAGAGCTCTATGAATAGAACAATACTCTCCTTCAGCCTCCTAATGTTAAAGAGGCCGTTGCAGAGACACTGACTTCATTTTACACTCATGATCTGAGAATTGCACTGTTGGACAAACACACACACACACACACACACACACACACACACACACACCAAATACACACATTCATACACTATACACGCACATATACACACAAAGACACGCACGCTTTCATCCAGTTTCATATTCTGAGCATGTAGTTCAATCTGTGACTAATATACACCCACATGCATGCAAACACAGACACACGCATACAGTATTTTGTGTGTTGTGCATATCAAGTAGCAGAGAGAATAAAGTGTAGCAAAGCAGAGTCTTGTGACCTGGTCAGTCCCCGAATTTACTACTTCCTGTCCAACAAGCACGAGTCCAGCAGAGTGACAAAGAAGGTCCTCTCTTCTACTTTCTTTCTCCATCTGTTCTTCTGTTGTCTAATATAATGACACTCATACTCTAAAGATCACTGGCAGAGATACTGCCAAACATTTTCCCCAATATAGTTTCAATATTTGTTTCATTTTAAATGCAGGCCAGCCAGTTTACTGTAGATTTAAAGGGTTACACCAGTTTTTTGTTGTCCTATAGCCCAGGAACTACAAACCTACAGTACAACTACAATGTTCCAAAGCAATCTAAAGCTAATGGTTTCCAGGGAGCCATTAGCGTCTATTCTTTTCAGTGCAGGATAAAAAATTTCAGAATCTTGAAACTTGCTTGGGATTGGTAATATGACACACTGTCACAGTTTAGTCTGTTTTATTTTTAGTCAATGTTGCTTTTATTATGAGCAAGGACCGCTCTAAAAGCTCTGTGTTATTGGTGCATCAAAGGAAAATGCAGCATCAACATGTTTACGACTTCTGAGAAGATTTTAAGCTGCCAAACCACATCTTTTTAATGGAGGGTATTTTAATCATTAAATTCACATTATTCTTTTGAAGGGATTGAATTTTGTTGATTAGAGAGAAATGACAGCGTATCTTGTGAATGCATTGCTTTTTGGCATCCATCTGAAATCTTGATGTCCACTGTGGTGGATTACCTTTCTCAAGCAGATTTAAAGTATCTGGCAACTGATTTTCCCTGTACTTTTTTTGTTAAATCTCTCTGTCTCTTTCTAATCCTAGTCGGCCAGTATTCGGGAGGAGCGCGGCGACGAGGTGGAGGTTGAGCTTACAGACAGCCAGCGGAAGTTGACTCTGTCCAGGGAGGAGGTGCAGCGGATGAACCCTCCTCGCTTCAGTAAAGTGGAGGACATGGCCGACCTGACCTGCCTCAACGAAGCCTCCGTGCTTCACAACCTTAGAGAGAGATACTTCTCCGGTTTGATCTATGTGAGTGCACAAAAAATTGAATGCACGTAAGAACGCATTCACAGCATAAAACTAATATGTGTCTCCAGTACAGAACCAGTACACCTGTACACATACATGCATGAACAGGAGGGAGCGGTCTGGGCGCACACACAGCCTGTGATGTTTTGTACATGCATGTGTTAGCAATGAGCCCCTCTGGCATCTCCTGTGTAACTGATATGGGGCAGTAAGAGAGGTGAGGAGTCAGTTTACAAAGTTGCTCATGTGGGGCAATGGGAGCGTCTCTGGTTTCTGTTGCAGAAAAGGGAGACAAGAGTGCAAAGAAGAGTTATGAGTATACATAGATGGACAGAAAGACAGATAGGAACAGAAGTGATAGTGATACGAGCCAATGATAACTGACATACCCTGACATTATATACTGTAGTATGTGGAATTAAAGTAGCATGATATATAGGAAATTAAATGCAGTGTCCTGTCACTCAGATGGAGGATGTAGCTCAGAGGAAAGCTTAAGAGATGGGCTGAGAGGAGCAGAGATGGATTGTTGAAATAGCTTCGAGAGGTGTGTTACAATAGAAAATAAGGTAAAGGGGGTTTTACAATCATGACTTTCACTATGGTCGCAATGAATTATGAGAATGCTGATGTCGGGGTGTGGTTGGGGGCGGTGTCGGAAATGACATCACCTGCTGCATTCAGATGAGTCACAGTTGTTCTTTATAAGTGAATAATACATTGGTGAATCTTACTGAATGTTTTACATTACAGTATGACGAATCTGGTGTAGGAATGTATTTGTACATTTTATGAGTGGGTGAAACCGACATTTTTATCATTGTGATTGTGGGTGTTTATTTATGTTTTGATGTTAGGTATGTCACATAGGTATGTAGTTGGTGTTTCATTTTAATATTTGAAATTAATCCTTCTACCAGAAATATTTGACTGTTCATTTGCTTGAGTGACATCAAACCTACTAACAATTCCCACTTGATCATGAGCTTATCCCTCAATGTTTTCATAAGATGTTTTGTTTACCTGTGCCACAATAAGTAATCAGGGAGATTGGCGCCATCTTCCATAATTTATTGAATCCAGAAAAAAGACAGGACTTGAGACCAGTATTGGTTTACTGCCTTACTTTCAACTGAAGCAACAGTTCAGTGAGATTATGCTTCACCTGCCAGTAGGAGTAGTAAAGCCACCCACAGCAACCACAATTTACAATCTCCTGGAATCTGGCATCAGTCACTTCAACCAAGTGAGCAAGAATGCAGTGTATATTCAAAAACAGACAATAATCCGAGAGAGTGTTTACATGATACATTTGCATTTTCCAATGAATTACAAAATGTGTATACCAACCCATTCAAACAGAACTACAAGTAAATGAGACAGTTGTATTTGGCGTGGATTGTTATCCTAAATAAAAGGTAAATGTAAATATACTGAGGATAAGGTTTGTGCAAATCTCTCTGGTTTGTGTTTTTCCAGACATATTCAGGATTGTTCTGCGTGGTGGTGAACCCTTACAAGAACCTGCCCATCTACACAGAGTCCATCGTGGAGATGTACCGGGGCAAAAAACGCCACGAGATGCCACCGCACATCTATGCCATATCAGAGGCTGCCTATCGCAGCATGCTGCAAGGTACTCAACGCTATCTGTGACCTCTGACCCCTGACTTTGACACTGTAACTAACCCATGCACATCTGCTATCAGCTCAGCTGGCGTGGAATGTAGCACTGAATCTCCTCTGTGATCTTTGATCGCTAAGCCACACCGTGACTGCTATGCGAAGGTGTGGCTTTTATCAAAAGGTTTAAAAGTGATGACAAATGCTTAAGATGGAGTTTTTTACAACAGAGAATTCCAGGTGTGGCTGTCCTTTCAATGATATAATTGAATATTTGTTGTGGTAATGATAGTAACCACATACTGTACTAGTTACAACAATTCACGACAGGCATTCGTTAGTCCTTACCTGTCACAGTGACTTTATGAAATGAGACAGAGAATTCCCAGCAACGATTTCAAAGCAGTTAAGGGTCGATTGAGCAACGTCTCTGCCTCAGGGTGTCTTCCTGAGATAACAGGACGGGACAGATGAGACTCTGTATTTGCCACCCCCTCCCGCCCCCCACAGGGCATGTTGTAGGTGTGTTACCACAGTGATTGAACCTGTAGAACCAGTATGAATTCTTCCAGACTGAATGCGTGGGAATCTTAAAAGCAGATATAAGCAGTGTTGCAAACAATGTCCACTCAACGACTCCCAGTGCTGATGGTCTGGCAGCCTGGACAGACCAGTTCAGCTGGCGACCTTCTTCTCTCAACAGCACTAATTAGTGGAGTGACTGACATGCAAAGAGTTAGAGCACAGTCCGAGATTTGAACACTTGATGAGTGCGCATGTGTGACTCCGTCTCTGCATTCATATAATGGGTGGATGTGTTAACCATCAAAACATGAAATGTGAGTGTCCTATGGAGGCTTCCAGAGCCCGTCATGCCTGATTAGTGGATGTGGAGGCTTAGTGTAACAAGAGCCAACCTATGTCATAGATAAACTCCTCACTCCCATACAGCACCTTACAATGTGTCATTTCAAGGAAATGTATGTCAACATATGTAGACTCCATCCATCCATCCATCCATGCATTTATTAATTAATATATTAATTCTCTAGATTTTTGTTGTGTAGGGTGTTTTCATCTCATTCATCTTTACCTAAACCTGTTGTTGTTGACTGAGTATTTGTGTCATGCACTGGCCAAGTGATGTACATGTTGTCATTTCACTCATAGAGTATGACTTCACACTGTGTTTTTTTTTCCTTTCACAGACCGAGAAGATCAGTCAATCCTCTGCACGTGAGTAGCCTGAAGTAGGACACCAGTGTGTCTGAGTTCTTTTGAAATTTGCAATGAGGAAAATCTCTATAGGGGGTCACATTGAGTGTGTCTGCCTCTCTGGAGTGTGTGTGCATGTATGTGTCTTGTGCGCTTCTATGTGTTTTATTTCATATGTGTTAATTCCAGCATACATGTCCCACAGATCTAATGTATTTCGCAGTAGTGTTAACAGAGAAAATATTCCCTTTTTGGGCATTTTAGCTTTTATTGAGATAGTACAGCCAAAAATGGGAACCATGGGAAGAGAAAATGACAAAGGTCCCAAACCAGAATCAAACCAAGGACATGTCTTGTCTTGAGCGCTGAGACACCAGGAGAATCCGTGTGAATCAGTTCTGGCTCATTTTCAATGTGGTTTGAGTAACTCAATGTGAGCCACAGTAATAACTCCAAGACAGAAATTAAACGGTAAGCACTCCACTGTGCTGACTCCTCTACTGCTCCCACACACATCTATGCAGCTGCGAACACAGCTACAGCTCTGCCTCTTAGCACTTTTTGGCCCTTTTAAGTGACTTGCATGTGTAATTGTTTTTAATATATATATCATTTGTTGCATGTGGAATACAGAAATGCTGGTATTCGTTGTTTTACAGTAAATTGTAATTTCAATTTAACCTTCATGTTCATACTGAGATTCAGTATGAGCCATTTTAAACATGAATTCAAAGAGTCACAACGGAAAAATCTCATCAAAGCAACAAGTCAGAACTGAGCAAAAAGGCCTGCACTATGTACTATAGGCTCCTGTCTGTCTCTATCCATCATTTGTCTTACCTACATGTTTGCCTGAGGGTCTGCCATCTGTCTCTCTGTCAGCCTGTCTTCCTGCCAGACTCTTCCTGTCATTGTCAAGAATCCCACTTTAGGTTCATCTTGAACCAGTATTTGGGACGAGGTGCCTGCTCCTTTTAGATCTTTTACAGCTGCTATTTTTGCTCCCTTCTCCTACATTCTTCTCCAAGAGCAACAATACTGACGCAGCCTGTATCCTCCACACCTGCTTTCTATTTAGACTTGTGGCTTTGAATGCACTGCATGGGCTCTGCATTTATTGGTGTGATGAATGTGTGTTTGGACACTTGTGTGTGTGTTCCCTCTCTTTAAAATGCTTATATACACCGTTCATAATTTGGACCATATGTGTTTAAGATGGACCATTTTGTGAAGAGAAAGTCATTTATTGTGGTTGGTTCTGTATGTATGTGTTTATTCCAGGGGCGAATCTGGAGCTGGGAAAACGGAGAACACTAAGAAAGTCATCCAGTATTTGGCTCACGTTGCTTCCTCCCATAAGAGTGGCACTCTGGGTAGGAACAAGGAAGCTGTGCAGGTATGTCACAGTAGAGACTGACACCACAGAAGTGAGAATGACAGATGAGCAGCTGGTAAAAGGACATACAAAAAGAAGAAGAGCCTTGTTGGAACATTAAGAATGAAAAGGGGAGGGAGGGGGGTAGAGAATAAGCAAGACTGTTACTGTCACATTACTGTAATGCAAAATTTGTAAATCCTCTTGATTTGGTTTAAATTAGTGAGATCACTATTACAGTTGTTTCATCTTGTCAGTGCTGTTCCTCTTGGTCTATGAAATCCTTCTTTGTTTGATATATGTTGTCATGATTCTCCAGACTTTGCAGTTTGTTTGTTTTTTTTTTAACCAATATACTGAACCTACAATTACAAAGTTATATGTAATATCTCCTGTTCCTTTAACCTAATATGAGCTGCCTCTGTTGCAGTGTGTTCAGTGGTGTTTTATTAGTTCATCGTTGCTCTTCTGCAATCCTCTGTGTTTCTTCCCTAACCCAATCACAATTTACTGAGCCTGCATCACATCACTTTTCTCATTATTTATTTATTCATAATGACTGATGTTATAATTACAATATATCATGCGTTTTCCTGCAGTTGCAGTTATGTCTATCTTTTCTCACCTTCTGATATCAGATCTATTTTTTCTCTGCATTATTCCTTGCCTACCTTCCTTCCAGCACTTGTTTCCCCTCATTGGCTTTTCTCTGCATTGTCCTTCTCTCTTTCCTGCATGTTCAGATGGATGGCTCTAGGTCCTTAACAAGAGGCAGTACTATGGTGAACAGGGTGAGTTTCCTCTGTCTTTCCCTTTGCTTTTCGCTCCTCCTACTTTCTCCTCAATGGACTCCACAATGATTCTGACTAACTCAACAGAGTAACCTCAAACCTTTAAACTGTCACTACTGATGTGGCTCCTCATATTGTTGGTTGTTATTGTTGTCTTATTTGTCTTTTTTTTGTTTGTTTATCCCATTCATATGTTCACCCATCCACCCACTCTCCTCCGCCCTAAAACTTCATTTCCCCCCACAATTCGTCAGAGTATACAATATGTGAGTATGAAAGTACTTGGGGATTGGGGATCAGATTTTGTAGAGCTGAAACTTTCCATGTAGAATATTTACTAGAGCTGATATGATTCCTCTTATTTTGTGAAGAGAATCATATTTCCTGTGCATATGGCTTTTCTTTCTGACTTTTAACTGAAGAAAGCCTGGCTTTCGTGGGGCTCTAGTTTTGGCCTGTTTTTATTCTCTTCTTCTTGTAATACCCAGTGGACTTAAGGTTGGTTTCCCATTCCTAATGCCTTGTAAATGCCACAGGTGTTTGTTGAACTGTGAAACATTTCTGCCGTAGAGGTGGTTTTTATCACTTGAACTGTACAGTATGTGTGAATGCAGTTGAGTGAGTGCAGACTCAGGCTTGAGAGTGGGTGTGGCTGTGTTGTTGCAGCCGTCCGTGTGTGTGTGGCAAGTGAACAAGTGTACTGCGCAGTGTACGCATTGTTTGCTGTACGTTTTGTCACTTAAAATCTGCCGACCTCTTGCTCTGTGTGTGTTTGTGTGTGTGTGTGTGTCTGCTTTTCAGTGTTGGCTAGCTGACATTCCTTGCCAGTTTTTACATTACAACCATCCCCTATAGCTACAGTGACTTCCCTGATACCCATCACTGGCTGCTGCTGCTGCTGCTGCTGCTGCTGCTGCTGCTGCTGCTGCTGCAGCTGCATAGACGGCTGCTGCACGGGCAATGCGTCAACTGCAGTAATGCATTACAGCTAGCTAGAATCAGCCAACATGTAGCTTATGTATGATGTTAGCATCTGCAGCTTCCCTCTGCCCTCATTGCTCTACAACAGTGGTTCTCAACTGACTCCCGTTACTTGGTTTCTAGAGATTGTCTCTTAATAATGTAAGAAATTACATTTTAATCAGTTTAATGTCAAACATGATTGACGCCCTTATTATTGATTGCTTAACTAATGAGGGCCCATTACTCTTACTGATGTTGAGAATCATTTACTCCTGGGTCTGGCAGTGTGTGTGTGTGTCTTGTGGATGTTATTTTGGGCCCTAAAATGCACCAGTTTGTGTCACTGCTCTTCAACGATGAGTCATGTATTTTGTTTGTATTTTACATAACAGATCAGTGGTTAGTGAAAAGAGAGCTGGCTTAAATGGTGCATTTTAGTAGATGGTCCCTGTGGAAGTCTTTTGTTGAGGCTCTTATCGCTGTATTATTGTGAAGCTGATCTGATGTCTCCTGTGTGTCTCAGGGTGAGCTGGAGAGACAGCTGCTGCAGGCCAACCCCATACTGGAGGCCTTCGGCAACGCAAAGACAGTCAAGAACGACAATTCTTCTAGATTTGTAAGACCCGTCTAGATTTATTCATTTGTACTTAGCTCCTAAATTTTTTTTATGTCAGTCTCATCCGTTGTAATATTTTCTATCGAAATAAACTGAAACATAAAACCTCTCCTCCTTCTTCAGGGTAAATTCATCCGCATTAATTTTGATGTGGCGGGGTACATCGTTGGTGCCAACATTGAGACCTGTATCCTTTCAAATGTCTTTGGACAGATCAGTAGAATTTCTTGGATTGGATTTGAGTGTTTTCTAAACCTGACTTGTCACTCTTTCATTGTCCATTGGCAAAAAATATGTTAGATTAATTGTTTATTTGAAGGTTTATATCCTAATCTCAAAGGGTAAAAATGTTAGTAATAGATCAGAGCTCATGCACAATAGTTTCAACTCATTTTATGATAAGAACCTGCACTACTATGCAATTTTTGGTTGTAGATTTCCATGACACATAAATCTAGACCTCCTTGAAAAGTCTCGGGCCACCCGTCAGGCCAAAGATGAGAGGACGTTCCACATCTTTTACCAGTTGTTGTGTGGAGCTTCAGAGGAAACAAGAGGTGAGCAAAGAGACAGAGAGAGGTTGACTGAGAGTGATGCACTGCTATACATGCATATTATATGTTATTCTGGAAATCAGTGGTCTAGTCATTTATCACTGTCCTGAACAATATCCATGGAATTTCTGCTCAAATCTCTCCGTTTCACCTTTTGTCTTCTCTTCTTTAGCGGACCTGCTCTTAGGAACGGCTGATGAGTACCGCTTTCTCAGTGGAGGCTCCATCCCTGTTCCTGGTCAGAGCGATTCAGAGAACTTCACCCAGACCATGGACTCTATGGCGATAATGGGCTTCACCCCAGAAGAGTTGCTATGTAAGAGAGGTTATGATACAGAGGGGAGAACGAGGGAGAGTAGCTTGCTTCTTGTCCTTGCTATCAGTCACCTTCGCTCTCCTTGTCTGACCTCTTTTCAGCCATGCTGAAGTTGATCTCATCCGTGCTCCAGTTTGGGAACATTTCTTTCATGAAGGAGAAGAACCAGGACCAGGCCTCCATGCCTGATAACACAGCTGCTCAGAAACTGTGCCATCTGCTGGGCATCAACGTGCTGGAGTTCACTCGGGCCATCCTCACTCCCAGGATCAAAGTGGGTCGAGAGTATGTGCAGAAAGCCCAGACTAAAGAACAGGTAAGATTTTGTAAGCCTTGGCTCATGCAGATAAACAGACGTGTCCTTGTGAAGTGCATCTAACGGCGTTTCTTCTTCTAGGCTGACTTTGCTGTGGAGGCTTTGGGGAAGGCCACATATGAGCGTCTGTTCAGATGGTTGGTGCACAGGATCAACAGAGCTCTGGACCGCAGACAGAGACAGGGAGCCTCCTTCATAGGGATCCTTGATATCGCTGGATTTGAGATCTTCCAGGTTTGTTCACGTGATGATGTTTTTATTTTCATTACATGTGTCAGACATTTAGCAGATTGTGACAGAGGGATAACAAAATTAATTCATCTTCTCTTCTCTCACTTCAGTCTTAGACACGCAGGATATGATAGTTGACGTTACATGACTTGGTGAAATTATTGAATCTTCGTTTGCTTTCCTAAATCTCTCCTCTGCAGCTCAACTCCTTTGAGCAGCTGTGCATCAACTACACCAATGAGAAGCTGCAGCAACTCTTCAACCACACCATGTTCATCCTGGAGCAGGAGGAGTACCAGCGGGAGGGCATCGAGTGGAACTTCATTGACTTTGGCCTGGACTTACAGCCCTGCATTGACCTCATTGAGAGACCGGTACAAACACACAGAAACACTGTGTTCTCTCTTAAACACTGTCATCTTGAATAATAAAATCCACATTTCACTCTCAATAAATTTTGTTGTTTTTGCCTGTCTTTGTCAGGCCCACCCACCTGGTGTTCTGGCCCTGCTGGATGAAGAGTGCTGGTTCCCCCGGGCGACAGACCGCTCATTTGTGGAGAAGCTGTCTGCTGAGCAAGGCAGCCATCCAAAATTCTTCAAATCAAAGCAGCCACGTGGGGAGGCTGACTTCTCAATCATTCACTATGCTGGAAAGGTATCCCTTGGTTTTTTTCAGTTTTTTTTTTTTTTTTTTTTTAGCTAATTTCATGCTATCGTTCCCATTCTAATGAATCACCCAGCAAAAAGGCGCATCTCACCTTTTGTCTCCCCCGTCTGGCCTCCACACTGTCAGGTGGACTATAAGGCAGATGACTGGTTGGTAAAGAACATGGATCCTCTGAACGACAACGTGGCGTCTCTGCTCCACCAGTCATCAGATCATTTTGTCTCAGAGCTCTGGAAGGAGGGTGAGGCTCATTCACACATCCACATCTCTACTCTGTACAGTAAACCTTTAACTCCTGGACAGTATGCAAAAATGTATGTAAAAAAAAAAAAAATGAGGATAATGTAGTTTTAATTGTATTTTTTAAGCCTTTCTGGTGCAAAATGTACTAACTTAACTGTATTTCTTTCTTTTCTCTTTCTCTATCATGCATCTATATTATCTTCCTGCTGTCTTTTGCTTTCGGTTCATCTCTCTGTTCTTCCTTCTTGTTCTCTCCTGTGTTTGCGTTGTTCTTTTCCCTTTCCCTCTTGTTCTTTTCTCTTGCCTCTCCACTAATTCGGTGCTTTCTTGGGCTCCTTCTCTCCTTCTCTCTAATCTTTCTCCCTGTCCTCTCCTTCTTCCTGCATTAGATATTCAAACTCTTCCTCGTGTGTACTTCTTTGACTCCTATGCCACACTACAGGCTAATGGCTCCGACAGTAGGTTTTTCTCCTCCGCTGTGTGTCACACTCACATTCCTCACTCCCACCTCTTCTCACATTACTCAATTGTTTTTTGTCTGCCCAGTTTTTGATTGTAGTGTGCCTCTTTGTGTCATTTTTGTTTGCTCTTTAGTTGGTATTTGTGCTGTGGTGTCGTAAGCTGTTAGATATTGTTAATTCTTTTAGCATATTTCCACTCTACTGTTAGCTGAGTGCTCTCTTTTTGCTCTTTTACCAAGTCTTGGCGTTTAGTATCAGTGAGTGCTGTGCTTGTGTGTTGAAGCTTTTTCCATTTATACAGAAGTAATTCACTTTGGATTTGTGAGTGTCAAGGTAGCAGCATGCTCTTAATTAGTCATTAAAGCCTAATTCAGCATCACATTACATAGAGTTGTGCCGCACAAAAATACTGACACAAACAGCTGCTACTGGAAGCAGCAATGTGATCCTGAATCACCTCTAGAGATGCAGCAACATATTGACATAACTTCAGCATTGGTCGAGTATGCTCATTAATGCAGGTATTTGACTGTATCCACATTAATGAGTTTGGTTATGTCCCTCAATACAGCTGTCAAATCAGGAAAATAAATAAAGAAATACAATTATCATGATCTTAGACAGGCAAACCTACAGTCATGGCTGTCTAGACATGTCCAAAGTTAACAGGTTGAGCTGGAAAAGCTTTACCTGTTGTATCTTATTGGCTGATATGCGTGAGAAAATATCCTACTTTGGTTTTTGGTTTCAAAAAACCAAACCACTGCATCTCTAATGAGCTTTGCATCCATTGTCAACCATCTGATATCATCTGTCCAGAGTCATGATAGCAGATGTGAAAGCAGGTGTGAAATGTTTATGCCATCATTATGCCACGGCATTCCCTCAGGCATCACCAAGTCTGGCAAACACTCAACTTTCACTCTACTTACTTGATGATTGCTGCTGTGCTGTGTGTTCGTCCAGTGGACAGGATCGTGGGTCTGGACCAGGTGTCGTCAGGAGAGAACAGCGGGCCCGTCACATTCGGAGCGGCAGGTCTGAAGACGAAGAAGGGAATGTTCAGGACCGTTGGTCAGCTTTACAAAGAGTCTCTCACTAAGCTGATGGCCACACTGAGGAACACCAACCCAAACTTCCTCCGCTGCATCATCCCCAACCACGAGAAGAGGGTGAGACAGGGGGGAACTGGATGAAGGGGGAGAAGGGATAGGAGTGTGGAAAAAACCTGTTGTAAGCTGGAGGAAATGATTTTTTTCTGTTCATTTTACCTCTTCCTTTCTCTCCATTCCTCTCTCTCAGGCCGGTAAGCTGTCTCCCCATTTGGTTTTGGACCAGCTGAGGTGTAATGGAGTTCTGGAGGGGATCCGTATCTGCAGACAAGGCTTCCCTAACCGCATCCCATTCCAGGAGTTCAGACAAAGGTGTGTGTGTGTGTGTGTGTGTGTGTGTGTGTGTGTGTGTGTGTGTGTGTGTGTGTGTGTGTGTGTGTGTGATTGTATTTTTCACCATGTAAGCTGTTGGACAAAAAATAAGCTACCTTTCATAACCATCTGTCTGTCTCTCTTTCTCTCTCTCACTCTCACACACTACATGTTTCCTCAAGCACTTACTCTGGCACCTGTAAATGAACCTTTCTTAAACATTCTCAGTGTCAAACACACACACTTACAGAATCACCCTTGTCTTCCAGATATGAGATCCTGACTCCTAATGCTATTCCTCGCACCTTCATGGATGGCAAACAGGCATCAGAACTCATGGTGAGTCATTTTCCAGTAGCTATAAACATACAGTGCAGTGTTCGATTGACCAGCCACTGAACCCTGTGTCCTCGTTCAGATCAGCGCTTTGGAGCTCGATCACAACCTGTTCAGGGTGGGTCAGAGCAAAGTCTTCTTCAGAGCCGGAGTCCTGGCTCACCTGGAAGAAGAGAGAGACTTGAAGATCACTGACACCATCATTCGCTTCCAGAGCGCAGCCAGAGGCTACCTAGCACGCAAGTAAGAGTATTAACAAAAGAGTCAACATTAACAGAGAGTGAGAGGTGTGATAGATAGAACTTCAGTCCTCAACCAGTCAACGTCACGCTTTTAGTAAATGAAGCAAAAGGGATAGGAGAAGACAGACATCTAACACTGGTGGGGTTTCTCTTTAAGGAGCGCTTGCTTGCTGCTGTTTAGGAGGCAGTTTTGTATTTCGCTCTTGATGGAGCATTAATATTTAATCTGTTTTCTCAGCCCCTATCAGTGACTCAGTTGCAGCAGCATTGACAGGTCTTTGGCACAGCGTATGGAAGCCTGTACATGACATAAATAATAAAGCTATATTTTTTACAGTGGAGCCTAACTAATTAGAGGTAATTAAAAAATGTAATATTCATGGATTTATGGTTTCATGAATCTGTAATAACACGATTAAAGAAAGGCAAATATATTTTGTATAGTACAACTCATACTGAAAGGCAATTCGAAGGGCTTTACATAATGCTTTAAAACATAAAAATAAAAAACGGAAAAAAAAAAGTTTAAGTGCAAATTTAAGAGTGTCATTAGTGTCCCTAGTCATTGTCTTGACTAATAAAACTTCTTTGTGTTTTGCTTTTTTGCTTGACATCAAAATATCTTGTGCAGTACAGTCACTCAGAGTTTTGAGTTGAGTTAACTGACATGCTAATATCGGACATTATGTGCTTTCGGTGTCTAGAGGGACGATCCGCCACATCGAATCCTTTTAGAGGTGATCTGCACGTGTATTTTTGTTGATTTATGTTTTTATTTGTTACTTCTCAGAGCCTTTATGAAGAAGCAGCAGCAGCTGAGTGCTCTGAGGGTGATGCAGAGGAACTGTGCTGCTTACCTCAAACTCAGGAACTGGCAGTGGTGGCGGCTGTTCACTAAGGTACTAAGGTTTTAGTTATAATACTGAAACAAAATTTAAGGATTTAAATAGCTGTGCTAAAATGTGACAGTGAAAGCACATTCCAGCTCACATTAAACAAAATTCACAACTAAAGCTAAAGATTGGGTATAAGAAACCGACAATAGAAACACTAAGATAGAAAATCCATACAGGGACTTTAGAGCCATGACAAAGGAATGAAAAATAACACCAGCCCAATTCATGAAATATCACTAGACCTTGACCTCTGACCCTTGTTCTGGTCCTACCTAGGTGAAGCCCCTGCTGCAGGTGACTCGGCAGGATGAGGAGATTCAGGTCAGGGAAGCGGAGCTCCAGAAGGCGAAGGACAAGCTCACTCGAGTGGAGCAGGACTACACCGAGCTGGACAGGAAACACGCTCAGGTAAACACACCTCCATCTTATTCAGCCGACTGTCCACCCCGGTTCCCCCTACACTGAAATCCCTTTGCTCTGGCTTTGCTATGAATCGGTCGCTCCCTCATCACTGCTCTTCCTCCTGTCTCTGTCACGTTTTAGCTGGTGGAGGAGAAGGCGGTGCTGGCTGACCAGCTGCAGGCAGAGGCGGAGCTGTTTGCGGAGGCGGAGGAGATGAGGGCCAGGCTGGCCAGTCGGAAACAGGAGCTGGAGGAAGTGCTGGGCGAGCTGGAGAGTCGATTGGAGGAGGAGGAGGAGAGGGGCGCGCAGCTGACCAATGAGAAGAAGAGGATGCAGCAGAACATACAGGTTAGGAGGGATATACTGTTTTTTCTGCCAGTTTCACAAAAATTTGTCAAGAAAATCTATGAAGTGATATTGAAACAAAGGCTTGCAATATAGATTTTTAGCCTTGTCTTGTTTGCTCTTGCACTAGTCTGTCCCTGTCCTGATATGTTACTTATATTACTCGCTTTTATCTCCATCAGGACCTGGAGGAGCAGTTAGAGGAGGAGGAAAGTGCCCGACAGCGCCTCCTGCTGGAGAAGGTTACCTTGGAGACTAAAGTGAAAAGTCTGGAAACGGACCTGCTGAGTGCAGTGGAGCAGAGAGACCGACTCAGCAAGGTGGTCATCATATTAAAACTGTGTGTGTTTTATACATATTTCTATGTTTGTTTCATAACCATATACAACATTATTGCTATTTTTCTCTTGAGCAGGAGAAGAAACAATTTGAGGAGCGTCTGAGTGAGGTGACCGACCAGCTCACTGAGGAAGAGGAGAAAACCAAAAGTCTGAACAAACTCAAGAACAAGCAGGAGGCTGTCATCGCTGATTTAGAGGGTAACTGTCCTAACGTCAATCCACAGGCAATCTACAGGTGTAATGTACAGAAACTTAGATTTTCTATGTAGTGATTGATCCTTTTGATGTGGTACTGTGATGGCATTAAAATAACTGAACATTTTTAGTGAAGGTTTATTTTGATATGTATTTTTGACATTTGAAATGCTTTTTATGTAAAGGTTTTTGAGCAGGATGTTCAATATAACTATCTGATTATTATTTAGCAAAAATAATTATGACATAATCTTAACCCTAACTAGTGGAATCTTGTATTTTACCTCCCTATTTTGTCACTGTTGAAATGTCGTGATCTGTTTGTAACTTGCTCCATCACTGCGTGCAGAGCGCCTGAAGCGTGAGGAGCAGGGTCGCTTGGAGCAGGAGAAGTGGAAGAGGAGGATGGAGAGCGAGTCGGTGGAGGCCCAGGAGCAGCTGTCAGACCTGGGCATGCTGTCCGCCGAGCTGAGGGGCAGTCTGGCTCAGAAGGAAAAGGAGATCACCACATTACAGGGCCGGTGAGACACAGGAGGGCGTATAGTAGACAAACTTACACACAAAAAGGACCTTTTTTTTCCCCATACTACAATCCTCTCTTCATTCATCTCTCGCTGTTTCTTTTAGACTGGAAGAAGAGGGTGCTCGCCGTTCTGAAGCTCAGAGGGCACTAAGGGAGGCCATGTCCCAGGTGTCTGAGCTAAAGGAGGAAGTGGAGAATGAGCGAGGGATGAGGGAAAGGGCGGAGAAGCAGAGGCGAGACCTGGGGGAAGAGCTGGAGGCTTTGAGAACTGAGCTGGAGGACACTTTGGACACCACAGCTGCCCAGCAGGAACTAAGGTGAATGATAATAGGAATTATCATGAATTTAGGTTTTGAAATTGAAAAGGTCATATTTTGTCTTTTTCTGGTTGGATCAAGACTGAAAAATATAATATGATAAAATGCTAAAAAAAATTAGAGAAAATGATTACTGGATGAAATGAATTTGTCCTCCTACTTCTTTCATCTGTACAGGTCTCGTCGTGAGGCAGAGTTGAGCGAGCTTCAGCGATGTGTTGAAGAGGAGACTCGGCGCCATGAGGCCCAGCTGTCAGAGCTCAGAGTCAAACACAGCGCTGCCATAGACAGCCTCCAGGAGCAGCTCGACAACAGCAAGAGGGTACGACGACCACACACCTATGCTCAAAAACACATACGTGTGCAAAACGTGCACCGTCACTCATCACGTGTCGTCCATTCTCTCTTTCAGGCACGTCAGTCCCTGGAGAAGGCCAAGACGGTTCTGGAGGAGGAGAGGCAGAATCTGTCCTCCGAGCTCAAGAGTCTCCAAGCGAGCCGCACGGAGAGCGAGAGAGGTCGTAAGAGGGCCGACAGTCAGCTGCAGGAGCTCAGCGCCCGCCTGACTCAGGCTGACAGAGAGAGGGAGGAGAGGGAGGAGCGAGTGCATAAGCTACAGGTATTTATTTGTTCGTTTTCATATCTGGTCAAGAAGGTGTAAGCAGATTGTTGTGCTGCTGTAAAGAAAGCCGCTTGTGTTTTATTTTACGTTGATACATTTACCCCCTACTCTTTCTCTTTCAGTGTGAGATTGAGTCTCTCTCCAGTAATTTGTCCTCCTCTGACACCAAATCCCTCCGGCTCACGAAAGAGGTCAGCAGCCTGGAGAGCCAGCTGCATGATGCAAAGGTAACAAACTGAAAAACACACATACACAGACACCTGGATGGGGGTCAAGTGTAATGTTGGGCTTTGGCTTTTGGGCTGTAACCACAAATACTTTTCGTACTTTCTCCTATAGTTGAGAGGCCCGCAATACTTCGTTTTAAACTTGCACAGAATTGAGGAATTGGCTGAAATCCTTATTCAAAAACACTTCGACCCTCTTTGTCTTTTCCTCTCTCTCAGGAATTGCTGCAGGATGAAACTCGTCAGAAGATGGCTCTGGCCTCGAGGGTGCGAGCGCTGGAGGAGGAGAAGAATGGACTGATGGAGAGACTCGAGGAGGAGGAGGAAAGAGCCAAAGAGTTGACCCGGCAGATCCAGACTCACACTCAGCAGGTAAATCAGAGCGCCAACCAGGCTGGGTTTAACTCATTCGATAGATATTAATACACGTTATTCAGGATCATGGTTCACAGTACTTTAAGATCAAAATTACCCATAACATAAAAAAAAACAATACAGTGATACATACACACAAATATCACATTGCACTTTCTCACATTTCAAGTAGTTTCCACTAATATTTCACAATGTCCTCAGTAGACAAAAGATGTAAAATCCGTGTTTACATGATTGTTGCTTGTAAGTTAAAATAAACATACCCATGACATTTATAAACCCCACTTCTCCCTCTTTTGTAGTTGGCAGAGGTTCGTAAGCAGTCGGAGGAGGTGAACACCGCGGTGGAAGCCGGAGAGGAGACACGCAGGAAACTTCAGCGAGAACTGGACAGCGCCGTCCAAAGGGAGCGCCAGAAGGAGGAGGAAAAGGAGAGAGTGGAGAGGCAGAGGGAACGTCTGAGGGAGGAGATAGAGGACATGACGCTGGCCCTGCAGAGAGAAAGGCAAAACTGCACAGCCCTGGAGAAGAGGCAGAAGAAGTTCGACCAGGTCGGAAACTCATTGGTTTGCTTCAAAGCACAGGCTGCAAAAATCTTACTGAGCTGATTTTCCTGAAATGTCCTCCTCGGGACCTCTGACTTTACCTCCTTCACTTTTCCCCTTCAGTGTCTGGCAGAGGAAAAGGCGGTGAGCACTCGGCTGGCAGAGGAGAGGGACAGAGCAGAAGCAGATAGCCGAGAGAAGGAGACAAGATATCTGGCACTTTCCCGAGCCCTGCAGGTAAACTATTAGAGAGCAGACAATACGAGAAAGTTTGTTACGTATCCGTGATCGTGGTGATTAATCCTCTGTGTTTCTGTGTGTAGGAGGCCCAGGACCAGAGGGAAGAGCTGGAGAGGGCGAACAAGCAGCTCCGTGCGGAAATGGAACAGCTTGTAAACCAGCAGGATGATGTCGGGAAGAACGTAAGAATCTTCCTCTTGGGGCTCCTTTGTTATTTCTCTGTCTCAATCCTCAGTGCGTCACCCTCTCTTATCTGCTTGTGGATTAGGTTCACGAGCTGGAGCGGACCCGGAGGAGCTTAGAAACAGAAGCCCAGAACCTGCGAGTTCAGACTCAGGAGCTGGAGGAGGAGCTGTCGGAGGCGGAGAACTCGAGGCTGAGGCTGGAGGTCACCTTGCAGGCGCTCAAGGCTCAGTTTGAGAGGGAGATCAGCACCAGCGAGGAGAAGGGAGAGGAGAAGAGGAGGGCGCTCAGCAAACAGGTAGAGAAGAGAAAGAGAGAGGAAATCGAAGAACGCGTTGGCTGCTGTTCCTTTCTCCTAATCACTCAAAATGTTCTTATGTCCTCCATCCTATGCCAGGTGAGGGAGCTGGAGATCCAACTGGAGGAGGAGAGGAGTCAGCGGTCTCAGGCTGTGTCCTCCAAGAAGCAGCTGGACGCAGAGCTGCAGGAAGCCGAGGCCCAGGTGGAGACAGCCAGCCGTGGCAAAGAGGAGGCTGTGAAGCAGCTACGGAGGCTGCAGGTAAAACAGAAATTTCCCCACACACAAGCACAGTTTCCTATGCCTTGTCTACGTACGGCCTTTTTATAACATTGATTTTTATTTGCCACAGGGTCAGATGAAAGAAGTTCTTCGCGAGCTGGATGAGACCAAGTTGACTCGGGACGAGGTGATCGTCCAGTCGAAAGACAGCGAGAAGAAAATCCAAACCTTGGAGGCAGAAGTCCTGCAACTCTCTGAGGTGCGTATGTTCAACGTCGGATAAAATCCATTTACTATGAATATTGGTGTTGGAAGTGACACTCAACATCCATTTCTCTGTGTAGGAGCTGTCTGTATCAGAGAGACAGAAGAGACAGGCTCAGCAGGAAAGAGACGAGATGGCAGACGAGATGGTCAACAGCAGTTCTGGAAAGTTAGTATCTCTTTACTATTGATGTATTGTGTCATTCAGTGCGTTGGTGCCTGTGTTACTCAAATTGTGTGTTTGTCCAGAACTGCCCTATGTGAGGAGAAGCGGAGGTTAGAGGCTCGGGTGAGTCAGCTGGAAGAGGAGCTGGAGGAGGAGCAGACCAACTCTGAACTGCTGGCAGAGAGACAGAGGAAGACAGGTCTACAGGTAACTGCACGCACGCACACACACACACCAACCACTCTGTCTGTCGCCTTCACACACATCTATGTAATCACACATCGTCATTGCTACTCTGCTCGTGCTCCAGGTGGAGACTCTGACCGTGCAGCTGCAGGGAGAGAGGACACTGGCCCAGAAGGCCGAGGCGGCTCGGGAGCAGCTGGAGAGGCAGAACAAGGAGCTGAAGACACGGCTGGGGGAGATGGAAGGCGCCGTGAGGGGCAAACACAGGCTCAGCGTCGCCGCCCTCGAGGCCAAGATAGAGTCAATGGAGGAGCAGCTGGAACAGGAGAGACAGTGAGAGAAAAGGACAAACATACAAACAAAGAACAAAAATAAGCAGGGGGAATACATAAATTCAAAAATAAAGGTTAAATATGTGTTAAAAGTTACATTACCAATTTTCAAAGTAAATTTTATCATTTGAACTTATTCAGTACCTTTGTAAAATGTATAAAATCTGAATAAAAATCTGCCATTATTCAGGTGCAGTAAAAATAAAATAGGAATGAACTAGGGAGGGCAGCTTCTTTGTTTTTTTTTAATTCCCTGCTGTGCGTCATGGGTACTGCAGATACAGTATAAGCAACATTTTAATCACAGCGCTGCCCACACAAACCACGCAGTGACCATACATCTTAACAAACATTTCATAAATACGCTATGAAATCCATTACTTCTAAATTTAAAACAATAGGACAGAAATGTGGGATGTATGTCGTGTAAAAGCAATGGATTGTTACAAATTCTAAAAAAGAATATGCAATGGATAAACAAACTTAGAGGGAAATGTTTCATCTTTATAGATGTCTGTAATTGTTTTGTGCAGCAGGTAGCTTATAATGACCTTTGGTGTCTCTCAGGGAACGAGCGATTGCCAACAAACTGGTGCGAAAGACAGAGAAGAAACTGAAGGAGGTGGTGATGCAGGCAGAGGATGAGAGGAGACATGCAGACCAGTACAGAGAACAGGTAAGGAAATTAACATTACTCTGACTTTAGATGTTAAGGTGAGCCACAGAAGCACACACAGAGTAGGATGACCGGGGACCGAGCATAAAATAATCATTTAATGGGGGCCACGTCAGCTAAAACGCCACTGTAATTGTGCCCCAGGGCACAGAGAGTGTTGAAAAATCATCCTAAAATGAGTGATTTATCCGGCTCAGTCTGACCTAATCCTAATCCTGCCCAGGCATCTGTGTGGTCATTGGGAAGGTAGAGTGTACTCCAAATAAATCCCTTAACCAAACTAGAGACACTGACTCTCCTCCCAAAACATCATCAGTGATAATCTGCCAGATTTAATCTGACTCCTGATCCCTATCAGTCCTCCTGTTCCCAGACTAATCTCTTTTTTTATATACCCGTCCCCTTCTCTCTATTCTTCTTTCCTCCAATCTCATGTCTCGCTCTGACCTCTGCAATACGCTCTGTCCTTTTCCCCCCTTCTTCCCCTCCTCTCCCCCTTGGGCACCCCTCCAGCTGGATAAATCGATGGTCCGACTGAAGCAACTGAAGAGGCAGCTGGAGGAGGTGGAGGAGGAGAACTCTCGCTCCAATGCCCAGAAGAGGAAGCTGCAGAGAGAGCTGGAGGAGCTCACCGACAGCAGTCAGACTATGACACGAGAGATCACCTCCCTCCGCAGCCAGCTCAGGTAACAGTGTGTGTGTGAGACTGTGTGCCTGTATTTTCGGTGCTTGAATGATCATCATTTATTGTTGTTTTGTTTGTTTTTAACCCCCCCGTTAACTTGATATGATTTGTTTTGCTTTGCTCTTTTGTTGCATCCATTTGTGTCCATCTAACCCTGACTCACTGTCCATCTGTCTGCGTCACACCAACACTCAGCGTCCCTGAATGGAGACCAGATAAGTAGGTCACCATGTGTGTTTTTTTTTTTTGTTTGTTTGTTTTTTTTTAAATCATTTGTGTTTGTCTTCTGTGGAAAGGTGGAGACTTGAAGTACACCTACAATTCATATTGTGCTGAAAATTTTGCAACCATTTTTTATTGTTTTTGCATTTCAGTGGAGCTAACATCTGTGGCTGTAGCTTCATATTTACTGTACAGACATGCGAGTGGTATTAATCATTTCATCCCAATTTTACCAAGAAAGCAAATAAGTGCATTTCCCAAAATGTTGAACTATTTCTTTAATTCAAGAGATTTATTGATAATAATGATAATAATCCTGTTGTTCAGTCCCTCAGAAGCGTTTGTGAAACCTTGACCTCCATAATCTAATACTCCATTGTTATTCTGATGGTCTGCTACAAGACATGATCATTGTAGTGTTGAGTAATGGCTTAGTCGATCAACAGAATCATTAAATCATCAATAAATCATTGAAGTCATTTCATAAGAAAAAACCCAAACTTATTCTGGTACCAACACTTTGTCAACAATGAGATAATTTGCTCCTCCAACTGTTGGTTGGACAAAACAAGAAACCTGAAGATGTTACTTTGGGTTCTGGAAACTTGGGACGAGCATTTTTCACTATTTTCTGGCTTATTATGGAGTAAACAAAGGATTAATTGAAACAATAATGAAAAATAGTTTTTGGTGGCTGATGGACACTAGTTTTCCAAAGAAGTGACTTCCCTGTGGTGTGTTTGCTTCAGACTGCACTCAGCTGCTTCACAGCAGGACAAACTGTAACTGTCTCTCTCTTCTTGTCCAGGCGTGCTCCATTGCCCCTGGCAATGCGTGGACGCAGAGCGTTGGTCGATGACCTCTCGTTGGAGAACTCTGACTCTGAGGAGCCCCCAGCCTCTCCGACTCCCTCCTCTGGACTCCCGGGGACTCCGACTCCCTCCTCTGAACACAGTCTGGACCCTCCACCTCCCTACAGCGTCAACAATACAGAGTGACGCACACATAGCCTCAGTTACACACATAACATGTACACACACGCACATGCACACATACATACACACCCTACTTAATCACACACTCACGGCCTGGACTACTCAGGGGTGAAGGAGTGACATGCACACACTACAAAACAGCACTGTAGTTTATAAAAGTGAACAAATAAAGTCATATAGGATACATACATCAGGCGCTATAACTATAAAACAACAAATATATTGATGCTTTTCAAGATTCTGCCTCATTTTTTCTGAACAAGTACAGAAAACATGTAAAAATGAGATTTTACAAAGAGGCAACTGGAATTCATTTTTATTTTGTAACAAACTGTGACATAAAAAGCAACATAACAAAGACTGGGAATTTCTACATTAACTTGCATTACATCTCTGTAATGCACGTCTGAGAAACTAAACTACATCTCCCAGAGTTCCACGGGGAAAGTGAATTACTACCAACTAATTTCATGATGCTGTATAGTAGTTAGAGAACAGAAAACATTATGGTGGTCATGTCTTTTACATGAGGAGGTATTTCAAAACTAAGCCATGTTTAACCCTTTGATGAGGATTGAATACTTATACAATCTGATTTCACAAAGGGCTGCTGGAGGGTGAAAATACTTCTGAAAGTTGTTAAGACAATCTATATTAATGTTACGTAAAATAGCCAACAAGAGAAAAACACGGAAAGGAGAATTTCACCCTCTTTATGAGCGTGTTTTACATCCAAATGTGATTTGTGACATCTTCATATGTCAGTTAACTTTTTAAAAAAGTACAAATGAAAGTTTGAATAATCTGGAAAAAAGAGAGAAAAAAAACTGTGAAGGAGAAACAACAATATTTAATCAAACTTGTATTAAAATGGTTGAAACTGGGAAGCATTACATTAAGTTCCCTAACATATTGATCTCATTTTCATATCATGTTGGTCACAATTTTAGTACATTTGACCATAAAAAGCCGTCGACATGCAGTCACATTCGCTGCATTAAGGTTGTATGAAATGATAAATCCTTTTTCTATAGATTAGAAACACTATGTTGTTAGACAATGCAGTAGGTAGTATTAGATAGTTTCTTTAACTAAAGTCTTAACATATTGCTTCAGAAATTTGAATTTGTATAATTTATATGAAATATGAACTTAAGTTATTGATAGCTGGTTGTTTTCTGTACGACTCCATCTGGTGGGGGAAGCATGTTAGTCTGATTGTTTCTGCTCCTGCTGGCACCGCTGTCAGCCTGGACCAGGTTACATTCATGGACAGCTTAGACTTGTTTCAGTCAGCGTTACAGGATCAGGTCTTTTTGCATGGAAGACCTTTCTGGTTAAAGTCAGATTTATGGATTGTCTGTCACAGCAACATAACTACTACTGCATTAATTTATCTTTTTATCCAAAGCAAAACAAATTGTGACAATGGATCTTTTTTTTTTTTTTTTTCTTGTTTTTCGACTGATAAACACATCACATTTTATTTTGAAAAGCATCTTATACATTGTACTTTTGATTTTTACTGATTGTGTAAATTATTGATCAAACAAAGCTTTTGTGTTTAACCAAATGGTGGGCGTATGGATGAGAAAAAGGGACATCAATTTGTAGAAAACGTAGAATAGATGTAGAATAGAGTAGAAGACAGGAGCAGAGACTGGTTGGATGTCCTACTATCATCATTAGTAGAATAAACTCAGTCTCTGCTCACAGCTCCTGTGTAGAAGATTGTAGATCTGAGCACGAGACTCAGCATTTTCAGATACTAGTAGTATTAGAGTAAAAAAAAATGACAATGGAGGCACTGAAGAATGAATTTTTATGAAGCAAACGGCAAGTAGAACAAAAAGTAGATTTTTTTTTTTTTTTTTTACCCAAGCTAACAAAACTCAAAATGACATACATGTGTGCAGTGTAAACAAAACACATGCAGCTTGACGATGATCCTGCTTTTGTGAAACCTGGTTTTAAAGATGTTTTTCTTTTAGGTGAAACATACAAACCATTTTTCCAGCATGTTTTTTTTTAAATAATTTTTTATCAGATGAAGGTCATTTTTATCCATTGTAGGTTTCTTTAGGACCTTCTTCAGCACCTGTTTGCCTGTCACAGCTTTAAGGCTGTCCAGGATGTTAATGTGATCTCTACTTTTTGACATAGACATAAAGAGAAATAAAGGGAATAGTTTGACATTTTGGAAAATACGGTTATTCACTTACTTGCTGAGAGTTGGATGAGAAGATTGATGTCACTTTGTTTATCTTTGCACAAAGACTGGACACAAGGGGAAACAGCTACCCTGGCTCTGTCCAAAGCACCTCGAAAGCTTCAGAGGCAGTTATGTGCCAGACGATTTCTCACCCAGGCTCGGTATGCAGATACTTCAGGAAGTCACTGCTCCAGGCCAAGAAATAGTCCGACACATGATTCCTCATAAAGCAGCTTGTGAGCGTATTTCCCAAAATGCCAAACTATTCCTTTAATGAACTGAGACATGCTGCTTGAATTAGAAAGAATGTCACCGTCTCTTTAACTTTCAATTGGAACTAAAATATAAAGATTGTGTTGCTATTGGAATTGCTATGGAATTGTTGTGAATGTTGTTTTTCTGGATTTACGTCTATATAGGAAAGGGTTTTAATGATCCAGTTGGTGTTTACCTTTGATTACACACAGGACCAGTACAGTAGTTTCCGGTAATCAGGGTTGTCATTACCGCCCCTTTTTCTTCCGTCTGTTTAAGTGGTAAGGTTTATAATGCACTGAGAAAACAAGAACAATAAGCGTGTACAGTATTCAACAGGCCTGACATCCCATGTGTATCTATACTTTCAGCTTCTTTTGTTTTTTGCCATACCAGGTTCACCATAAATCACAGTTAGTGACAGGTGAAGACAGATCAAACTAGTTGGGTCAAGAAAGAATTTGACTACTGATGACATATATTTAACACCCTATTAAAGGGTTTTATTTTTTATTTTATGTATGTACAATTATTTTATTTTAGCAATATGCAAAGGATTTTGTTTGAAGCTGTGTTTTTTTTAAAGATATTGTGTAAATGCTGCACTTTACACACTACCAGTGGAGACAAACACAGCCGGACACTGTCAGTACATCATGTCTGCTTTATCAGGTTATGATTTATTGCAAAGAGGCCGACATAGCATTAAGCCAAATCAGCTGACATCACGTGTCATCACGATACGGTCTGTCACTCTGAACTACTTAAATGTTGTAATCTCAAAATGTCATATCAGCGTCTAAACGTGACGGCTTTGTTCACGCCTTGATAGACCAAAATCTGAAGACACGTTGATTGAACTGCTGGAACGAGAACAGATCGGTTCTGTTCCCCCGTAGCAAGAGACGAGGCCGGTGCTTCTCTAAGGTGTTATTTTTCTCTCTGTGTTTGTTTATGGCTACTGTGGAACTTGAAACATTTTGGAAATGTGTTTTATTGTTTTAGCCTTTTTTTTGTTAATGATGCTGTAATTATAAAACATCTGACTGGGGTTAACTTTAATATATGTCGTTGGTTTTGATCTTTGTGTGTCTGTGTGTTTTCTTTGCACAGGTCGGGCGTCCACACACATGCAAGCGGAAGCAGGTTCATACAAACACACGCAAATGCACATGTCTCAAAAAGAAAACAGACTTGGAGGAATTAGAATTGTCACACATCATTTATAAATTTTATTCACATTATAGATATTTGACACACACCACTTAAACAGGAACATTTCATACTTAGGACATAATACTACTGTAATCAACACACTGACACACACAGCTCAGATAACAGTTAAAACCTTAAACATGAATACACGTCAAAGGTTTGGTGCAAATTAAAGTCAGGCTGAGTATAATAATGTTACTGTCTGTCTAACGTGTTTAACTGAACAAAAAAGATTCTGGTTAAATCCCAAGTGAATCCACTTTAATTGATTGTAATTACTGTATAATTAGAAATTCAATCAGGGAGCAACCTGCAAAACTGAGCTTTGATTGTCAAAAGAACAGATTTGTAACCACAAACATCAAGATGAAAAACAAAAAAAGGTGGAGCATGAATAACGTTCCTATGTTATGCTTTTATTAAAAAAAGATGAACCCCTTTTGGTGGAAGGTATCATGCTATCACCTTCCTTGCTCAACATTCAAAGGCATTTATTACTTGTTTCCACATACATTCAATATCACACCTGCAGGAAAAAAGCAGTCAGGTGACTTCCTGTCCTTCAGGATATCAGTGAACAGCCAGTCATCCTCATGTGGTGGTGTTGGTATGGGACGGTGCTCAGGATTACGAAGTGGGACAGAGAACGACTGAGCAACACCCTCAAATGGTGTAAAATTCAGGTTATTGTCACAGTTCACCATCATACAGCGACGGTCTTCCTCTGCTCGCTGGTACGTCTGCAGGTGTGAGACGTTGTAGTGGCAGCTGATCGACGTGGGGAGCTGGTTTTGGGAGATGTCTGAACCTTCAGATGGTTTAAAATTGTTGAATTGTGTCTCTGCAGTGTGGTTCATGGTCAGTCCCTGGTTTCCATGGCAACTATATCCATATTCATATCTGTACTCACCTCTCTCACAGTGTAGATCCTCTACCTCAGATCTGTGCATCCTTTCCGTGAAACTATCTGACTGCTCTGTAAATGTCAAGTCATCTGCACCGACCTCCTGCCCTCCATCGCCTTGGCGCCCGCAGATACTTTCAAAGTAGGCCTCTACATCCATGCAGCCTCCTAAGTCCTTGCTGCCAACGCTGAATAGATCCATGATGTCTGTCCACGGACTCTCTGCAATGTCAGCGATGCTCTTCTGAGCCTGTGTGCAGGTTGAGTTGTCTGTGAACATTTGGATCGAGAAGTCGCAAGAGTCAAGAGACAACGGAGAGAGCTCCGGAGAGAAGGGGGGAGACATGTCCATATTTTGGCCAGAATGGATGAAGTTTGAGTTTTGTAGGGCTGTTTGAGTGTCTTCTGAGAGGTTGTTGATTGACTTCGATGGACTTTCACCATCGTAGTACTCAGAATGAAAGAGCTCTGCCCCCTGGTAATAGTCTATACCTTTTGGCGAGCTAATAGATGTGAATTCAACTAGTTTTTTCTTTCTCCCTTTGCCCTGGTTGTTTTTTCTAGTGGTACAGGTGGTTGGGTGTGATTTGGGATGCTGTTTCCAAAGATGTTGCAAGTCTGAGTGCTTCTCTTCACTGACCTCAGTTTGATGTGAATCAATAGAGATGTCAGTCCTAGACTTTGAGATGCCACCTGCATCAATGTGAACGCTGCATTTCTCTGGATCTTGTAGCTGGCTGCTTCGGGAGGGGCTATCAGCCTCTGGCTTCTGTGACTGCAAAGCTGATACGTTTTTCTCCTCATCCTTGAAATAAAGAGCAGATGCTAGTCGGTGGTTTGCTGCCTCTATGTCTGCAAACTTTCTGTTGAGAGAGAAAGATGAAATGCTGAAACAGTAGTCGTTTTTTACAGTGCCATGAGATAGTGGTTTCAAATCTTTTTACTTTTCTAATCTTATTACTCTTTCTAGCACATTAAATATGAAGCTACAGAATGGACTGATTACTGAATAGGCCTACCAGGCACAGGCCCAGGGGCACAAGGGGTAAACGGGCCTCTCGACCAGAAGTCTTGTTGAAAAGTGCAATTCATTTTACAGATAGATATTCACAAAAAATTATATGTATGCACGTATATATATACATACATATATGTATATATACCTACATACACATACCCTGTAAGAATACATAGGTACACATCTGTATACATATAAAAATACCTTGGTGAATACTTTATCTGAAAGGAAACTAGTTTATCCCTTTAATCATCTGGTGAATCCTCTGATTCTTCTTGGGACGGACCCCCAGTTTAGGAACCACTGCCTCAAGATACTGCCTGGAGCAAACTGTTTTTCACTTTCTCAGCTGACTTCAGTGTTTCTCTGATGGCCCAACACACCTCTGAATCATGTTGTGCAGAAAGCGACGGTGGTTGACCTGGCGTTTGGACGGACGGTTTTTCCGGGGTTTCTGCAGGGTCCTCATCATGTGACCTGCTGCTGAAGTTACAAAAGTGTAGAGGTCGCGACCCCAAGGGACCCCTCTCTCCAAGCCGGTCTCCAGAGTAACAGAGATAGATGGTCGCATGGCTGAAAAAGAGAGAGGGCGAGAGTTCAGAGATAAGTTTGAAGAGGATAGGTTATGAGGCAAGAGCAAATGAGGATAGAAAAAAAGGATAGACACAGTGAGATGACAAATTCAAGCTGTATCCGTCATGTCACTGAGAAATACTGTGTTGAAATCACAGGAAAATTTTAAGGAATCATTTCTTTCATAGCCACTGAGCTCGACAACATTATCATGCACTTTAATCATCTCAAGCCTAAACACAAAATAGCTATCTTGAAATTAAACCAGTTAAAATCAACAACAATTTTCAGAGGGTACTGCTATTTTCTACTCAATTACCTTTATTTCACAACTTTAGTAATTAGTTAATCTGCAGATTAGTTTCTATATAGGTTGCACAACCAATGTTGAGTTAAAAAGTACAGTGCATTTCCATAGGTTAGTTTACCAAACAGTACAGTGCATGGGTATATATATTATATATATATATATATATATATTATATATATATATTATATATACAGTATAAAATTGGCTCCACCGCAACCAGCTGCAACATTAAATGCTGTTTACACGTCAATGACAATACTGATCCAATAATCCGACATAGATAATAACATAACACTGACAGGTGCCATTTCAAGCATAGACTTTAACTTTTAACTTGAACTATGTGCAAACTGTGTTGTTTGCTATGTTTAGCCCCGTGTTCTATTCAGCTGTATACAAAATAAGCAGAAAAATCATCCTTACCTTTCTCCTCCTCAAGCTGCTGTGTGTCTTCTACAAACTGCACTGATTACTGAGGAGGCTTCAGGGAGAGAGGTGTGGTAGTTTAATTGTTGACGTATGTCTGTGCTTGTATTGTGGGTCTGTGCACACAAATTAAGTCAAGTGACGCTCAATGCAAGTGCACAAAATGATTTCCCCCCAGCAGTATGAATGGAATCCGACTCGACAAATTGATAGTGGGAGAGGAAGTGAGACACGATGAGAGGCTTTGAAAAGAAAGAGGCAATTATCTGAGAAGTCAACCGCTCGTGGAGGTGTGAGCACACGTCTCCATTGTGTGCCACACTAAAGGCAGCTTGTTAAATACTGGGAGACACAAACGCACCAGTTGAGGCAGTTAACAAGCCCTTAATTGATCAGCTAAAACTCTGGCCCTAATTATCACATTCTCAGAGGGAAGAGCTAAGATGGTTGCTAGTGGCTTTAATTGACCTTTGCAATTCAACAGCACAGCTCCCAAGTGCAGAATTTTACATATCTATGGCAGCAGGTGGGTGAATAGGCTGGTCTTTTCACAAAGCTGAGAGAAGAGGAATAAAATAAGAAGTTTCTTTGTATGTGGTTTTTTGTTACTGGTTCACTTTTTTCCAGGGCTTGTTTTCTGTAATGCTTTAATTTTTGTTGAGTATTCAGATTTGTAAACTAAATGTGCCACAACCCAACATATAACGTACATACTGTATATGCAATCTATTTTCCAGCTTTTCCATATCAAGACAGTTACGTTACACGTTGAAATGTTTTTATATGTAAATGATGTGTCTGCTGTAAAAAAAAAAAATTATTTATTTATTGTAAAAACCTGTTCACAGGATGAGAAATTTCCCATCTGCTGTAGTCAGTGTAACCATCCAAAAAATGATCAGCTTTACACAAATTTCTTGTTAATGCTTTGGCTACAAGCAGATTTTTTTTTTCCACTTTATCTCAAACACCTTTCTGGCTCCTTTAATGCAACATCTCAACTTTGACTTCTTTCTTTACTCTAATAAAATCAAGATTTTATCCACCTTATAGCACATAACTCAAAACAGGGAAGTGCTGCTGCAGGAGTGGCATCTATTTATAGTGACACCACATGTGCTTCCTAGCAGAGAGCTGCACAGCTAACTTTCTGCTGTGGGCTCAACTTCAACACTTCACTCAACTGGAAAAATCTGTGGTAAGTAACATTTACCCTTCTGCTCCGACATCAGGGAAAATGACACAAGTGACTTTTATTAACATGACGAGGTATAAGAGGTATAACAACTCACACTGCATCATGAAAACATGTTGCCAACTGCAGGTTATTGCTTTGTTGGTCACTTCTTTATCATTTCTCACATGTGGTATTTTCTCAGATTCCTCTCCAGTGCTCTGATAAAGGTCTTATCACACATTTCCTGCGACAGTGGCAGAACTTTGACCCGGTGAGAAAACCTCTCTCACTTGTAGATTCACCTCAGCTCCGCCTCCTTGTTCAGCAGAACCAATCAGAAAACAGCCTGTGTCTCTTTGGTCTTGGAAATTAAAGGAGAGGGTTAGAAAAGCGCTGCTGAAAGGTAGGTTTGACTGATATTTGGATAAAAGCCATTACTTACAGTGGTTCAAGACACTGCAGTTATCATTTTCAGTATGAATTTAAAACATCATTGGTGAGTCATATACATTATGTCATGTGACTTTGGTCATCAAACCATCAATTTTGTTTCCTTTCCTTTAACATCAGTTTTATTTGAACATGTATTTTAAAGCCCTCCACTCACTTAAAAGTGTCATACTTTAAAGCAGTGACACCCAGTGGCTTTATTATGAATGAATTCAGCTTTAATCTTCTCTCTGGTCAGATTTTTCATCATGAACCGAGCCTGGGCTGTGTTCAAGGCTCATCCCTACATCAGTAACGTTGTGGGATACACAACTCTGTTTGCCTCTGCTGACGTGATTCAGCAGAGCGTGCTCGGTGGGAAACATGCAGCAGGAGCCACATCAGATGGTTCAGCTGGCATTGACTGGTGTCAGACGGCTCGAGTGGCAACCGTTGGTTTCTGTTTCCATGCCAACTTCAATTACCACTGGCTCAGGTGGCTGGAGAGGATGCTGCCGGGGGGCGGAGTGAAGGCGGTGACAGGGAAAGTTGTGGTGGATCAGCTGGTCGCAGCACCTCTCACCATCAGTGCTTTTTATATTGGTAGGTTTGTTACAATGACTAGACTTAAGACTATGACTAAATCTTTCACTTATTCTTAATCGCCATGTGTGGTTTTATTTGGGTCTTGTATTATTTCTTGAGAAATGCTGTAGCTGTTGTGCTGCTGTTTTTATATTATATATAAATGTTCTGGTACCACAGTATTTTATTTTATTTAAAGTAAATATTCAGTCATTGTTCTTTTATTATTGTCAGCTTTGTTCACCATATACAGTATGTTGATCTGTATGGCTGTCTGCAGACAAATTTATAATTCACTGACTAAAAATGCCATCTAAAACCCCATAGCAATAAATTGGAATTAATGAATTATAATTGTACTTGTCAAACATGTCTCTGTTTTCCTTATAAGAGCCAAATTCCACAATTTCTTTGAGGAAACTTCCTAGAAATTATTTGAAACTGACAGACCCGTAAAATAAAGCTTTCCCAGATAGTTTTACTCTGTTTGAAAAGATTAGAAATGTTAGACTGAAGTGGGTTTGAATGATAATCCCAACAGAGGCTCAATAAAACAGTGTAACCGCCACCTCTGCCTTCTCAGGTTTAAGTTTACTAGAAAAGAAAGAGGACCCACTTGAAGACTGGAGACAGAAATTCTGGACATCTTACAAGGTACATGAGAAAGTTAAAGGTTGTTGTTAGACTAAATAATAAGAGCGATGGCTACATGTTTCCAAGATGCTATGTGTATATATCTTCTGTTCATCTCTCCAGGCTGGAGTTGTATTTTGGTCAACAATGCAGGTGAGATATTCTTGTATCATCATCATTACTTACACACAGATTCAAAGATATGTCTCACAGACATGCATACATGCATGAGTGAGATATCAATTTCTTTTCAATGTCTTTGATCCTTTCAGGCAGTGAACTTTGCCCTGGTTCCCCCTGTGGCACGGACAGTGTTTCTGGGAGGCATCGCACTGACTTTCACAGTCTTCCTGTGCCACCTCAGACAGCAGCACGGTCACAAACTTGAATAAACCCTTGATCCTCAGCTCCATCATGCAAGTCTTTTGTAAACCAGCAACATTAGATGAGTCTTACTTACACAGAATTCAGTTGCAGAGTCAATAGATTTAATGAGGAAACTGGGGAGGATTCCTACTGTAAAGGTCACATCTCTGTGAATCAGTTGATGAGGATGTGTGACGGGTTTCTATCTCATTTCAACTTCCTGTACTGAATGCAAATGTAAATTATGATGCAATAGTGTCTGGGTTAAATCCTGCTGATACGCTTGATATGTTGGTGTGATCTTTTCCTTTGAGAACGTAGAGATCAACAGAGGTCTTACACCCATCACACTGTTTCAGTATCTCATACTGGACTATGTTTGTGGTTGCTGTCATACATTTTTTAATAAATTACAAAAAAAAAATCATTATCTTTTTTTTCCTTTGAACATTCTACTAAGATTCAAATTGTGTAATATGCCAATAGCTTCTTTTGTCATATTAATTTTGTATTAGAAAATTGAATTTATTACACTAAGAGTTTGAGATTTAACTGGGAAAGATATGAAAATATGATTATTATATTACTATAATATATGCCATAAATCTTAGTGTTGGAGGTTTAATTCCCAGCACTGCCTGTTTATTTGTCAAACTGTCCTTGAGCAATGCGTTAATGTCGCTTTGTACAAATGTAACAAATGAATATATTTTGGTCAGGGATTATAGCGTTACCTTAAATCAAATGTTTTCTTCCAATAAAAAGCAATAAAAGTGTTTTCCACTTGTTATTATTTCTACTTGGCATCATTTGCAATAAATAAATAAAGAGGCGCTTTTATAAGGTAATGAATGCCTGAATGAAAAATAAAATGTCCACATAAATTAAAGGGCCAAGTTTTCGTCCATATTGCAAAAATGAATTTTATAACTTACCTTATGACTTACATGATGTTAGAACAGTTTTTAATTTTAATAGGGAAATAATATTATCATTATGTGAACTCTCTGACTCTTTAAAGAGGTTATCACTACACATATGCAAATATTGTAACACTAAGAGAGTGCAGAGTGTTTCTGTTGACACAATCGATACTCAGATGAAGAATGTGTCTAGTATCGATACTTTAGGAATCAATCAACACCGTTTTTTTTTTAAAGCTTTTTATAGGTGAGTTATATTTATGTGTATGAAACCTAGCTGGTATAATTAAAAGGTGGATGATGTGCGCTCATAACTTAAGGACCCAAACAGTAGAAATGTATACAACAAATCAAATTATGCATTGAATAATCAATAATAGCCGTCTCTCCTGCTGTTTCCACCACTGGAGGCACCATTCTAAATCCTCACAGGTAGTTTGAGTTTGGCCCCCAGGAAGCGCATGCTTAGTAGCCAATCAGAGACCCGAGATTTCAGAGCATTGTTTATCGCGAGACCTCGGCTCTTCCTTTTCCCTTTTCGCTCTGAGTCCAAGATGGTAGGTAACGCTAGTAGAATTTTTTAAACACGATACCCTGTATATCCACGATCATCCTCTGAATTAAAGTATCACACCTTTTTAATGACAACAGTAACTGGTTCTGAACATGATTTACGTTACATCCATGCCATGATTTCGTGATTTTTGACCATGTAATACATATTAGCTTACCCTCTGTGGTGCCGACATTAGTGCTGCATCCACTTCACGCCGTGAGGATGATCTAAAAATGGCTTTGGAAGTGGTTTTAGAATTCGGGATATTGTATTAAACTATATTCTTCAGTCCAATAAATTTAATGTGTGTTTCCAAATGTTAAACTCTGCTTAACGTGAGCTGTAAGCTTGTTCTCTGTGCAGTTTTTGATAGCAGTTAGCAGTGGAGTGTCAACGTGTGAACCGGACACTGCTACACGTTAAACCAGTTGTTTTCACTAGTAGTATAAATTCTACTACTACTTTACACTTGTTTTAATTTTTCGTTTTGTCAGAATTAGGCTAGACTGTGCAATGAGTTCAGCTACTTAGCCCAGTTGTAAGATTTCATTGTCACACAAGACGTTGGAGACTGAGTTTAAAGGAGCTGCTTGTTCATGAATTACTGTTTATTGTGTTAATGTGCTTATGTTCACTTTTCAAGGGAGTTGACATCAGACACAACAAGGACCGTAAGGTGCACAGGAAAGAGCCAAAGAGCCAGGATATCTATCTGAGACTCCTGGTCAAGGTAAATCTTTCACATGTTTTACTCATTGGGATGGTAGCACCACCACCAGTAGTAGTGGTGATTTCTGTCATCTTGGCACAATACTAATAAGTCTGATCACACATAATGTATCTAACCATCCTGCTGGTTTCTTACAGTTGTACAGGTTCCTGGCCCGCCGCTCTAATGCTCCCTTCAACAAGGTTGTCCTGAGGAGGCTCTTTATGAGCAGGACCAACAGGCCTCCCATCTCTGTCTCCCGCCTGGTCAGTCTCATCCCCCTCACCATGTCTACCACTAATGAATCCTGTGCTTGTTCTTACTAGATAGTGGTACTGTTGGAGCCAGTTGTAATTGGTCAACATCAATTGATGACATGTAAAATTCGGTTTGAGTGTTGGGTTCAGGGATGCCTTTATTCAAACCACTGGATAAATGATAGTGCAGATGTGACTAGTTGATATAAGTGTTTTGTTTTTTTGGTTAATGTATAGGATTTAGTGTCTGCTATTGGTTTCATTCAGTCAGTCTTGGTGGCCTGATAATTTTTTTTGTGTCTTAACATCCATGGCCTCATGTGACCCTGCACTGAATATGATCCTATGAGTTCTATGCAGTGAGGTGTACAGATTTTAAATAGTGCGAAAAAAGCATCTGATTGGTGCTTAGTATAGCAGTTACCCTGAGTTATGGTGTTTAGGGAGAAAAAGTTGTGATGGTGGATACTTAATTGTGTTTATGTAGTCTGTTCTGCTCTCTTGTGTTTCTGAGTTTTGTGATGAATTTGGGATTGAGTTAACTAATTTGGATAGAATTGATGATCAACATGTTTTCCTATTTGCCTCCTTTTATTGCCTCTCAACACAATACTAAATTTGACTATCTCCTTATTTTGAAGTATTCCTTTATTGTAAAGGAATTAATTGTGGACCAAACTGAATGTAATCAGAATTACTTTGTTCATCCACTACCCAATTACATTGCAAATCAAACAAGTTTTATTACATAATTGATAATATTAGACAGTTTTATCAGTTGACTTTCTGACTCTGCTTCCCCTTTTCCAGATTCGTAAGATGAAGATGCCCGGCCGTGAGAACAGAATTGCTGTTGTTGTCGGAACCGTCACTGATGATGTCAGGATTCAGGATATCCCCAAGCTCAAGGTAATTACTCCTTTTACAGTGTTTTTTGATGAATTTATCAATCATTGGATCTTCCTCAACATTGATGTTGGAAATCTCTGAGAAAGTTCTCATGTCCTGTTTGTTGTCCCACAGATCTGTGCTCTGAGGGTGACCGATGGTGCCCGCAGCAGAATCCTGAAGGCAGGCGGTCAGGTGATGACCTTTGACCAGCTGGCTTTGGCTTCTCCCAAAGGACAGGGCACAGTGCTGCTGTCAGGTAATTAAACATGTAGCTATAAATTTAAACTAACAATGCAATTGAAGTATTTAAAAGAAGTAGTGACTGTTTGATTGTTGTCAGGGCATCAAGCACTAAATACAAATGTGTCCTACAGTGCTGTCAGTTGAGCATAGTGGTTGAGATTGCCATTAGGATTACCCATGTTAAATTTTCACGTTTATGGTGCATCTGGGTACGTTCGATCGATGTCTTCAAGCATGGAAAATTATGTAACAACAGGAACTGCCTTTAGTCAACATTACTATTGTGATTTCACTCAGGATTGTTTAGTCACTGTAGGAAGGCGTATAACACTGCTGCCAAACAGTAATGACTGGGCAGCTGCTCACTGTGTCTGAATAAAGTAGATTCATACACTTTCAAGGGAACTTGGTGTATTGTACTGTGATAGATAAATTTGCTTGAATTAAGAAAGATTTTCATCCGTTTTCTGGCGTGATTGTTACCAGATAGTTTAACATTTCTCTGCAATCATTTGTAAGCTTTATTGACCTTTCTTTGGTTTTATTTGTTCAGCACAATTCACCTCTATTTGTTCAGAGCCCCAAATTTCTCAACTTTATGCTTTGTGTGGCAGGCATCTCTTAAAAGTAATAGTATCCGCTATCCACCCCTATTATTGGATCTTTGCAAAAGAAGGGGCGTCTGGAATCTGTTGTGTTGACCCATGTTGTTTGAACAGTTCTATTATCAGCAGTCAAAACATGTTGTTTTCCTTGCCAACGAACTCAAAACTATTCACCAGTAAATATGAGCAAGCCACACATGGTTTTCTTTCTTAAATACTGAATCTGCACATGTATGTGGTTCTTCCATGAGGCCAAATACACCGGAGGTTATCCTAGGTCATAGATTGGTTAGATTGTATTTAATTTCAAAAGGTTTAGTCTTTTAAAAAAATTAATACGATAAATGCAATGGCACATTTATAAAAAAAATAAATAAAAAAAAATCTAGTCAAAGGCTGTAAAAACAGTGAACCTGTCAGTCTCTCATAGCCACTATTAATGTTCGCCTAAACTGTAATCCAAGCAAATGACAAATTGACTTCTATTGAGAGAATTTGAACTTTTAATTAAATCTCAAGGTACACATATACAAACTATCTTAAATGGTATGTTAGTATTAAATATTTATGAATGGAAGCTGTATTTTTAGACAGTAACTCAACCGATCTTAGCAATTACAGGCTACATTAACCTTTCAGTCTACACACTGACTATTGTTCATCAGATGCTGCATAGCATTTGTAACATCTCATACTCTAACATTTGTTTGTTCTCCAGGACCCCGCAAAGGCAGAGAGGTGTACAGGCACTTTGGAAAAGCCCCTGGAACCCCTCACAGCCACACCAAGTACGTATACAGATGATGTATTGGTACTGTTGTTAAACACAGAATGACCACCTCAACAGTCTCAGCAATTGATACTTTTGCACCAGTACTTAGATCAGTCTTGTGCCTGGTTACCACACAGGCCTGAGTAGAAGATGATGACTTTCTTATGTAAATTGCTTTAAAAATAGCGGAGTCCTGTATTTTCATAATAGACATACTGTGTGTCATTACACATTCAGCGGTATTGTCTCATCTTGCTATCTGCATCTCACTTCTACTCTTTCTGATGATGACTTAATACATCAATTACTTAACGCTAAATGTTGTGAACATAGTGAAAAGAAACATCAATAGTCTATTGTTTGTTTTTTTATTGTATTTGAATATCTCAACTTACTCAGCACTTTTACGATT